ATATCTTAGTCAATTCTTACTCAAATTTGATTAATAAAGTATCTATCTGAAGGGGATTTTAAAAGTATGAATTTAGGTACTAATAGTACACATTTATGTTAAGGATTGAGTGAGATATTGTATTTTCTTTGTGTTTTTCAACTTTGTGACGAAAAATCACGTGATCTTACCGTTCTAAGGAATTATGCAAGCAGCAGTAATGCTCAAAAACAAGCACATATATGCTAAACAACATATTAAATCAAATAAATAAAACATTTAACATGCATTATAAACAATAATATAATAATGGACACTATAATAACAACAATAATAACAATAATAATGATAATAATATGGATAGAACTAACAGAACAAATACAGAACAATATAATAACTAACACATATTATGGTTGAGCAATTATATGTAACATATTGGATTCAGCAGTTATATGTTGGATATTGCAATTACTTATCAGATACTGAATATAATACACATATCTAAGATATACAGACAAGTACAGATATACAAAAGTATAATTAATAACTACAAACCAAAAAACAATGCTACAGAGCATATAAACTAACTATGTACAAAAGAATAATGTTATAATGTATAAATATTAACTACAGCACAAGACAAGTGCAAAAATTATAATTATTAAACAAATAATACTACTTTACACATTAATACAATTGTGTAAATGCATACTAACAATGAACGAAAGAATTATATCTCTAATATACTTGAAACAACACATTAATACAACTTAATTACACAAAACATGTTATCATGACAGCTGATTATATAATAAATTTCGAAGTTGCAATGGTAACATCAACTACACAGTGTATATACCTTAACAAACAATTATTAAATTTACATTGTGACAATGTAGCTTGTAGGAGCAAAGTATTAAGCTGATAAAGCTATTACAACAAATAATACAAATATAATTATTACAAACACATTATTATAATAATTACAATCAAAAACAATCATAATATAATATGATTAAATAAATTAATAAAATGTTTAAGCCATTATCTCAGACAGTATAATATAAAATAGGTAATAACAGACATGAGCATACTTAATAGAACTCAGCACATTTACTAAAAGCACTACATAAATAATAATTACAATGTTATTAAATGAATATTATATGGAAACAAACGAATTACCATATGTTTTCAACACAAAAACAAAATATTCATTCATAGTTATGAACAATTATTAATAATGAGTTCAGAAAAAACTTATATATTATACATAATGTGTACTTATCTACTATAACAAACAAAATACACATTATATAAGTTGACAAACATTAATGGTAATGAAGATATAATAGTAATACCACTTAAATTACTCATTATAGAACATAATGAATGTTACACACAGCTTTAAAATACTAATAATTACAAATCAAACTATGAAAGCAATTACAATTATTATATATTATATTATAACAACAATTAATAAACATTAAAGAAATATCCAATTCTTCAAAGAAATACCTTCTTGAATTGAAGGGGAGAAAATGGATAATATGCACAAACAATTAATAACTAAATATAAACAACAGAATGGAAAGTATAACACTATAGATGCTACAAAAAATAGAATAACAAAATGCACAGACTAAGCACTGACTAAGTGATAGAAGTTACAGACAGACATAACAGATCATAAAGGTAAATCATTCAGTACAAAGCAAAATTATGTTGATCAGAACTAAATAACAGAAGTCAACACAACATGCAATTGAACTTCAACATTAAATAAATAATAATTCTACTACAAAACAAATGCTCATACTTGGTGAATAATATTAATATAATAATATAATTAACTTAACAGTGTTTAATACGAAAATAAATGATATACAGACAATTATCACATCATATAATGAAATAATTCATCAATTCAGACTATAGTTCATGGATAAAAGTGATGAATAACGAAAATAATACTTTGGAACATACATAAAACGATAAATAATATATCTATATGATAATACGAATATAATTGCAATATAATTCACAACTACAACAAACAATACACAGATAATAACTATATAAACAAGTATGGAGCACATACATATAATTAAATAAAACTATTAAATCAATTCTTGTACAAACAATCAATTTGCCCTCACTGCACAATTAATACAAGCATGAACAGCATTATAATACTATGAAATACATTGGATAGATACTAATAGGTATATCTATACAATGATTCAAATAAAATAAATAAAACCAATATATAAAATGTTTTACCTAGCAAACCAATTAACAAATAAAATGTTGAACAAATACTACAATTGCACATAGCACTAGATTAACTAAAGAATGCTAGGAGACAATTATAGTAAACATAATCCAATATATTACTTATATACAGATTGTGTTACAATACATTATTCTTTGCAAAAGAAAAAGCAAAGAACAATAGCCATAACATACACATATATATATAATACTATGATTGCAACAATTCACAATAACATTGTTAATAATAAATAATACAAACACATGTTAGTATTGATTTACAACAGATAACTATGTTGGCTATTAAAGAAACAACACAACAGATTGTATAGTTACTCAGGATGCATCAAAAACAATCAATTAACAAACATAATGTTAATAAATTAATACATAACTGTAAACAATAATGTAAAGCAAACAAACAAACAGTACATTCATAATATAATACATATACAATGCACCTAGACACATAGCAAGATGCCTGTAGCCAGACATAACATCTATGCAACAAATATACATTAGCATAAAACCTTATTGATCTTAGAATGAAGCAATCTGGCAAAAACAAATATTATTATTAATATTACTGATATACAATTGATGCAAAGCTTTAATCCAAAGACATAAATCAGTTATTGCTGAATGCTTAACACATATACAAATGTAGACGAATGCAGGCAGCAATGATTAAAGAAGGATATCATTACAACATCAAATATACATTTTACTAGTGTGATTCATTAGTTTCACAGCAAAGTAAAAAAGGAAATTACTAGAGTACTCAAACAAACTTAATAACAAACAAAATGACTGAATAACAAACAATAAAACAAAACAAGCAATTACATTTATGATTTAAATATGCACATATACAAACCTACATATGCTGACAAGATTCTGCAGGTCTCTGAAGCATTTACAAATTATTTAATAACATTTACAAACAATCTATTGTGATAACAATACTGTTATTGAACAGTATATTACAAACAAACAAACTAATTAAATATAATTAATTAATATAACACTGGACAAACTTAACACAAAGTGGATGATATTCAGAATGGACAGTACACAGAACAAACAATGCATTACTACAATGCTAATAATATTATTATTAACTACATCAAGTTATAAACACATTATACAAACAAACAATTGTACAATACAGTTATAATGATTAAACTATCTATACATACTGCAAGGGCCGACATGCTGAGGCGTTTGTCCACATGGATCATTGTACTAGAGTCAAAGTGCTTAGGTTGAGTTTTGCAAGCAAGCACAATGCTGTCTCTAAAGAGTATATACAGTCAATAATCTCATAACGAATACAGTAGTAAGGAATATATCTCATAAGGAATAATTTTTCCTGGCAACGGACTCGGTGCGCGGTAAATTATTCCAAATATTCGCTATGGAATAACGAATAGAAAATTTTCGGATTATTCCTTAGTAGATGTCATTTGTATACCAAAAATTGATTAGCTTGTACACTAAATGAGACTAAATTGTTTACAAATTGAAGCGAAAAGTCTAACAGTTCTATAGAACATGGAAAATAAGCTTTATTAATGTCTAAAGGAGTAAAGAATCTTAAGATATAGTACTGTCAGGAACAAGTTACAGAGCTGAAGAAAAAATGCAACACATACCTATACTAAGGATAGTGAAGACAACAAACCCGTTATTGAAGTGCCATCACCTCTTGAAGGAATTCAGATGTGCAATACAATGACCAATCTTTCTATTACACACTGTGAAGCAGCCAGTATACCACTCCTTCAGTTTCAGCATCATCTTTGTCTCATGTGTGGATACCTTGTTCGACTCAACCAGTCTGTGCAAAAGCAGACAACACTTGATACATTCTTCAAATCCAATGTAAGTATTTGATAATATGTTTTCTTCTGTCTTCCTATAGCTTGATGCTTTGTCTGCAGAGGTAAAGAATAGCTTTAGCAGAGGCCAAGGGTGGTACTTAAAGGTGTAGATATGTAGCGGTGGAAATCAGTCATAATTATTAAGTAATACACGTGGTTGAATATGTCACATTATGTCACAAAACGTGACAACTCGGTACAGAATAAATCTATTAAGGAATAAAATATATGTGAAACCAATGTATTCGTTATGAGATTATTGACTGTATAGTGATAACCTTCTGGAACACTGCCCCTTCCAATGTTTTACTCGTTTCCAGAGACTTTCTTCAATACAATTGTTAAGAAAGGGGAAAGAGGTTATGTGAGAGGCTTAGAGAGATCACACAAAGAGGGGGGATAGTGGACTTGGCTTGCTCTCTCATGGCTTGCTTCATTGTCTGTTGATTAGTTAGTCTATATATACTATGTAGGTATGTCTCAGATGTAGAATGTATGATGGAAGGTATTCCATCATTGTTTGTCATTGCTTGTAATGTAGTTTATATCATCTGAGACATACTCTTGTGTAGTCTCATCTTAACACTCCCCTTCAAACTCTTACTAGGTCTAGTAGACTTGTAAGATGTTTGCTTTCTGTACTACTACTATACACGAGTAAGTATTCATGAGTAACATGGTTGAACACAGCACAAAATGTCTATGCATTCTGCTTAAAATGGTCGTATGCTGTTCCACCTTAGAACCTCGACCGAAGCTCAATTGGCAAGCTTCCTCTGGTCGACGTGTGGCGTCAACAGAATCAGAATATAAGTCCAACATGGCATTAACTACTGAAAGCATCGAAGATTTGAGGTTACTGTCTGCTCTGCACGTTGTCAGCATAACCCGAAAATTTGCTGTACAAGGTGCCGGCTCTCTCGATAGCGGTTCTAATATTTACCTTATGTTATCCTTTTTTTCGTGGTGACTAGAAGACGTCGTGATCGTGTGAATGGATTGGTGCGAGACGAGGGCTGAGTGCTGCCAACTTCCTATCGAGTTTGTGGCAGTTTTCAATGGAACTTAAGGCACGCTTGCAAAATCCCGAAAGAAAATTCGGTTCATGGGGTACTTATTTACCAACATCGATCAGCATTGACAGCGCGAATAGAGGTAGGAGACAAGGTGAATTACTTGTTGGAGTAGTGACAAGTTAGAGAGCTCATCCTAAGCGAGACGCTGGCAGATTCCGAACGAAGAATTTCAAGAAACGAGCTGACTCGCGTCTTTGTCTTGAGGTGATGACCTTCATCTGCGACATGCCTCGTTTTTTCTTGCCGATCTCTCTCGTCACTACAAATGTCAGGTGTTTGGACTGGAGAAGAGGGGGATGTAGGCCCACAAGGAGAAAGGGAGAAATAGGATGCAGGGGGGCCAGCAATTAGCTATTTGGAGAGGTGGAATTGTCAAGGTGACCTCTGCTCACTGAAAGAAATTCTGGCCACAAAATCCGGATGGGATGCAGCCTCAGCGTTAGCTTAATGTGCGGCGGCGGCGGTGATGGGTGATGCTTCAAGGTCTGATCTTGGTCTACTCCAGAGGGGGGCAAGCCACACGTTGCAGAGCCCGGGTTCTGCGATCTGTTGGGCCGCTTGCAGACAGGAAAACGTAAGCCTTGGGCTATGTCCTTGCTCTTTGTTGGAGGAGACACCTGAATTATGCGTGAATCTCAGTATTGGAGGCATCTCGGCGTCATAATGCGTCTTCAGGTAAACTCGCATTTCTGTCGTTCTTGCCCGGAAATACTGATAAACTTAATAGTTTTCGATTTGGTCTTTGTGCGTCTCTACTGCAGGCTTCATCGCTTCACTTTGATCAGGTCTGGCGCTGTTTGATGGCTTGATGGCCCGGAGGGTCTTGATGGTCTTGAATATTGAATCTTGAAGGCATCTCTGTTCAAGTTGACGCCTTGTCTCTTGCAAAATCGATCTTGATGCAGTTCAGCTTGATTCGGGAATATCTAGTCCATTCATGGGGGTGAAAACAGTGCATTGAAGCAGTTTGGTCAAGCGACACATTGGTATCTAAGAATGATACTCAAGTGTAAGAGTGTTTCGTGCGACCCATCAATACGCTGACTCACCTTCCATATTAGGTCATCACAGTCAATGTCATAAATAGACGAGGTTTTCGTTCTGGGGTTTTCAAGTGGCTATTTGGGAGACTCTGAGACTTCTGGAGCGGCTCAGGGTAGCTGCTTAGTGATAACATAATGAATGCAAGTGCACATCAGCGAGGAGTACAGAGCGTTTGACGAAGAAGGCCGTATTTTACCGAACCGTACGAAAGACGAGTCCTAAAGGAGATCATTTCGTCTTTGCTTGTGCTACTGGTACAACACAGGGTGTATTTTTTGAAATGGCAAGGCATCCTACAACCAGGTAGCATTCAGGTCAAACGGAGAACTTCGTAACGTGACCTCCGGCGAGATGTGCTGAAGCGTTCATCCTGCTACCGAAAGATAGGTTCGCACATCAGTCGTCGTTGCCTTTGTCCTGAATTACCGTATGGAAGCCGTAACCAGTGACCTGGGTTCGGAAGTGGAATGAGGGAAGTGAGATGGACGAGGCGTGGCGTGAAAATTGTGGTCGGAAGTGTTCAAGGCGGGCAAGGACACTGGTATGTCCGCGGCTGCTGTCTCAGTTCACGTCTGCTTTGGATAGTATACGCGCAACTGGAGATGCTAAACGCTTAACTCAAACGCTGGGCCGTTGAAATTCTCTGTGGGTAATTTGTGGGGATGCTTGAGGACTTTACGGAAGTAGGTTTGACGAGCAGCGATTTGCCTCCGGCTTCGCAGACGCGTGCCGCTCGGTCTGGAAATCGAATCGCTGTTGAAAGCAGACAACGCCCTCCTCGCTTGTCTGCAATTCATTTTGTCCTTCAACCACCATCATCTAGCTATGGCGGTTCGCGTTAAACGCCCTCCGCCTGTCCCCTCACCCTACTCAAAGCCCACTGCCCAGGACCAGCTAATGGCCCTGTTCTACTCGAAAACCGAGTCGCTACTCTTGACAGCATTGAGAAACTCCAAGTGCCGCCTGTGCGACGAGTTCGTCTCAGGCCCCATATCGCACATTCGCCAAATGCACCAACTTGGTGTAAACGCTACCTTCGACTGCCCTATGTGTTTTAAGGCAGTCTCCCTAAACCTCTGCATAGACCACTTCAGGGTCAAGCATGCAGACTCCTTCCTCTCCCCTGTAAAGTGTGGGGAAATCGTTGCCAGAGCACTCCTAGCTACTGGCAACACCCCTGCACAGACGCAAGTCCCTAACCCTGAACCAGTTGGTGCTCAGCCATCCAGCCCAGCACCCGAAGCACTTCTTCCGACACCCACTCACTGCCTCAGCTGGTCTGAGGAAATGGACGAAACCATGCCCCACATTGGCATCCTCACTAACGACCCACACACAGTAACAGGCCATCAGGAAAGGCATGAGGCAGTACAGGCTACTGTCACACCTATCCCACACCCCCACTGTAAGGCTGCTATAAGCAGCCTTCTTGCAGTTTGCAAATATGCAAACAGCCTGGCTGATGCCATTCTCAATGCTGAGGATCACTTCATGCCCCCTATTTTGGACAAAACCTCAACAGAGGAAATGTGCTGAATCTTCTTTAATTTTGGCGCCCTAACAGGCAAAGTTGCTAACCTTGCCGAACTCCTAGCAAACATCTTACAACATGACCTGAAGAAGACAGTTGCTGATGCCCTTCACAAAGTATGGGACAACAGCTTTTACACTAACCACCCTGAACACACAGCTGCAATGTCCTCCCAGGTACAACTTGCTATGATGACTGGCACTGTGTCAGGCCTGCCAACAATTAGCCCCCCAGTTGGGCAAACACATGGAATCCCAACTGACAGATCTTTAGCTGATATCATCACTACTGTAAATAAGCTGGCCAAATCTGTCAAAGCCCTCCAGAAGGGAGAGTCAATGCCTTGTCTGCCTGTATTACAACAACAGCAAACAGCTGTTGCCATGGAGACACCACACAGCAATCAAAGGACCTTTGCCCAGACTGCTACTGCTAGAGCCCCTTCCAAGAAGACTGTCGTCCTTCCAACTCAGCCCTACAAGGCCCCTCCAGCAAAGACAACAAAAAAGGCCCCCCTAGCACCACAACAAACCTTCTGTGACAGGAAGATTCTCCTTTACACAGAGACTGTAGTAAACCCCATTCTGGTTCCCCTAAAGATTGTCAAAGATCTATGCCAGTTCTTGTGGACACATTGTAAAGCCAACCTCTCTGGAGGCCATTTCTCACTTGACAGCAAAACACTCAGCCTGGATTTCCCTGCAACAACCACTGTATACACACAAGAAATTGCCTGTTCTGTATCCAATGTATACAAAACCACATTCACAGTCCAACCCCTCTACACTAAGGTGTTCAACCTCTTTATTCTGAACGTCTGCATCTGTGACTACAAGACACAGCAAATATACACACCTGCACAGTTATGGGACAAAGTTCAACAGAACTACCAATTCAAACCAACTGTCCTAGCTTATCCAACTCGTTTTGCTGCCCTAGCAGACAAACTTGCAGAACAGGAATTCTGCAGAGTACAAGTACTGTTGCTTATGTCTTGAACTGACAGAATAAAACAATTCATAGACACCTGCATCAATACTTATGTATGAATGTTCAGCAAGAAACACTGTCTGGAGGAAGGGCAATCCTGGTCAGGCACTGTACAATACACAAGATGCTGGAGCTTTGGCCACAACATTAATACATGCTACAGACAATTACATTGCCCATACTACAACAGCACCCATACTGCCTCTACACACAAACACACTAAGTGTGCTGAGTGCAAGGACAAGCCCATCTGCAAACACTACTACAGATGTCTGAATTGCTTCAGCAAACACTCTACTGTTGACCAAGAATGCAAAAGCCAACTGTGCTGGGCTAGAGCATCCATCCTCTGTAATCACAAAAGCATACTCACAATACAACAGGTTGCTGACATTCTACAGGTGACAATTTCACAAGAGGCAGTGGAATGCTGTATTGTACAACAGGTACAGGCCTTATGTTTTGTAGTAGTAATGCTAGAACCCTCTTACAGTTTCATACAGGAACAGGACAAACTGATGAACAACCAGGGTAGTGAAGGAGAGTCAGAACTATCATACATCACCCAACAAGAAGGAATGTCTGAGGACATTGAATATGAGGCTGGCCCTACTAATAAACACACCAAGACCAATCTTTAAATGAACAGTTTCTTCTATAATATTCACCTGCCTCCTACATCCCCTTTCTCCCCTATTATTTCTTTCAATTGCAATTGCAGTTCTGCTACATTATATATGCTTATTCATATTCTTGAACTTTACAGTGTTCAGCCAGCAATCATAGCCTTACAAGACCCTCTGATTGTGAAAACGTCTGTTAAGACCAGAGCCAGGCTAAAATCATATCCTATTGTTCCAGCAATACCAAACTACTACTACTTACTACTACAATGTAAGAAACCAGATGTTGTGTTCCTCATTCACAACCATGTCATTGTCAATATTGTCAGTCAACTCTCTCACAGTAATAATATCTTTACAATCTGCTATGACACACAGACAATCCTTAATGTGTACTTACACAGAAGTGTGAGACAACCCATAACTGAGGATGAAACATTCATACATCACCTTGATCTGCCAGACAACTTCTTGATAATAGGCAATATCAATAGACAACATCCAATCTTCAACAACACTCCCTACACAGACATATTTGCTACATATACAGTACTATGGTTTGAATGGCTGGTTGAGCACAGTCTCCTTACCCCATCATCCTCCCTACTGTTTACATACAAATTCAGAGAGTCAATGTCCTCCCCCAATGTAGTATTCACAAACCACCTAGCAGTGTCTTGCAATATCTTTGTGTCCAGACATTACAACCACTCAGCAATTGTGATCAGCACACATAACCCACTATGGATGTGTCTTCCCCCAGTAATAAAGGAAAAACATACAGGGGTGTGGATTGAGAAATTTGCTCAAATTCTCCCTCCTTTTATGCTTGATCACCCATTAGACACGAAACTGGACTTAGACAGGTTCTTTGAGAACATCTTCACATTGGCAGCCAACACATTCTTCTTAGACAGTTCAAGACCATGTACCTGGTTTGAATGGTGAGACAACAACCTTACAGAACAGCTCATAGGGTTATCTGACAAGTTATCAGCCACAATAACACAAGTTATCTTGAACCACAAACAAGACTACTACTTGACAAAGGCTGATCAGTCTAACCATAGAACTCTCTGGACAGCTGCCTGACAGTACAAACACAAGGACCTGTGTCTCATAGCACAAATCAACAACAAAGATACCTTTCTCAGAATAGACAAGGAGTTCACACAGGCCTACTTTCCAGACAGGACCTCAACAGCCTTTGCCCCTCTACAATACAATCCTAATGTAGAAGGCCTTGATGACTACTTCACATTCCCAGAATTCATAGAGTCTCTACACCAAATTGATAAGTCTGTCTTGCCTAGCATATCTGGACTCACTCACACACCCACAGAGGCACTGTGCTATACATTTGATCATATGTTTGCTAATGTACTACAGCAGATACAGGATCTGGAATATATTCCTACTCTACTCAGATGTACACAAGTGTCAATCATATTGAAAATGAAGGACTGAGCACTTGACTTGCCCTGAGTATATCAGCCTATTTCAGTTGAAGAAACCTTTACAAAGGCAATTGCTAAGATATACACAGAAAAGTGCACAACTATAATAGAGACCCACCTGGTGTTCCTGAAGGAGATATACAGTAGAAGGAAGCATCTCTCTACAGCAGACACAATATACAATCTACACACCTTCATCAGGAAGAACAGTAAAACAAGACAAGAACAGTCTCATACCTGCCCTCTCACACTCTTTGTTAATATCCAGGGATTCTTTGACAATATCCTCCTAGATCAACTATGAGAAAACCTACACTCTCTTAGTGCTTCTCCTCAATTAATAAACATGGTTTGAGCCCTTGTAGTTGATAGAGAGTATCTACTCTGTTTCAACCACCAGTCAGGACCCTTGAGACACTGCCTGAATGTTAGAATACCCTAGGGCTCCCCCATCTCCCCTGTCCTGGCAACAATTGCCACATACTACATTATTGCTACAATCAAAACTCAATTCCCTAGCATCTTCATCCAGACCTACCTTGACAACTGGGCGTTTGTCTTTTACAGTGTGAGCAGGAAATCACTAATGTCACAAGTCAACATTTTTCTCTGTTTCCTCAAAAACTGTCTTCACAACATTGGACTCCAACTCAACCTACAGATCAATACAATCCAGTTCCAGTCTAGAACAGCATGGAGCCTCCCTGTTCAGGACCAGATTGTCCACATCAAAACCAAAGCTACATGGCTTGGCTACAGTTTACAATCTGACCTTTCACCCTCTGACCAGATTGCCAAGGTTGCACAAAAGGCCTTGAAACTAACCACAATGATGAGCCATATTATACAATGAACACACAGCATGCACCCCTACCAGGCATGCCTTGTGTACTTCAACATTGTTTGAAGTACTATGATGTATACAGCCAAGACCTGGCTGAATCCTCTCAAACACCAACTCAGCCCACTTGTCAAGATCCAAAACACGTTCCTGAGGATCATCAGCACCTTCCTGAAACCAACTCTCACTACAGACATGGAGAAAACCCTCTCAGTACTCCCCCTTCCTCTGTTCATTAGGTGACTATCTCACTGCTTCCATACAAGACAACAAGCATACCCACATATGCTAGCCCCTATTCTCTACGCGTCTCATTCAGAAACCCTGATGACAAACGTCCTGAGCTATTAAAGACCAATTACTGTGTCAAAACAATGCTCCAACTGTGAACAATTCCTTACCCCCTTGAATTTCAACAAACATAGTTGTGTAAGGACAGAACTTCCCCTACACAAATGCACACATTGTCACTTCTTGTTCAGGGACCTATGGAAGCACAAATGTCCTGCCATACAGGGTCAAACTGTACACCAGGTACTACCAAGCAAAATCCCAAATCAGGCAATTCATCATCTTGATTCAACAAATCAGATGATAATTGCTGCAAAGGTGCATGTTCCCATGTCTCCCTTGCTTATCAAAGATAATCTAAAACCTGTTGAAATGGCCTGAGTACTCTACTCACCAGACACTGTGCAGATCCAATATCACCCAGAATTGCAGACAACCACAGTCAAAACTCATACACAGTGTTTCACAGTACAACACCCAGAGAACATCTGCCACACACAGGCTGTCCTCTATACAATGAGTAGGGTCATGAATGACCTCCTGCTCCATTCCACAATCACCACAAACTGGAAGTTAGCCCTTGAACATCTCTCAACATTAAACAAGTCCACTGAACTGACACAAGATGTGTTGTCCCTTGTGAACGAGTGACAAATCACACTGATATGGACACATCAGGCAATCATGCCCAAATTCAAGGCAACTAACACTGTATACAGCAACTGGTCATCCCTACATGGTGTTCACAATCATGCCCAGACAGACACAGATCAGCTATGAGCAGAACAGTCCCATGGTGCAACCTGCAAGCCACAATTTCCTCTCCAGTCTGTACTCCCCCGACAGGCACAGGTTCTACACCTTTGCTTACAAACCAGAACGTGCAACACACGTTCCTTTATGTACTACTGGAACATAACCCACTCTAAGGAATGTCTGCTCTGCCACAGTGAGGACACGCCTCTTCACTGGATAACTAGATGCCTGGGAATCCTCTTTGACGACTGTGTACAATGTTTTTGCAATCGGACCAAGGACCATCCACAAAGGCTAGATTGTTGGCTAGACACTAAGTTCTTTTCTTCTAATTATAAAAACATTTTACATTGTATGTATGCTCACTACCCTGTAGATTATGGATAAGGCCTCTGCTCTGTTTCTCAGTCTATTTCATCTCTGTTTTGCAGTAGATAGCTTCACTATAGGCATGGTTTCTGTGGATCGGCTTTCTCCTACTTGCTGTAGGTTTTCCACCACAGTTTTAGTCCAGCCTACCATTTGAGAGGTCCTTCTATCAATCGCTTCTCTCTCACTGCATTTTGTCACTCCTCCCTGTGAAGAACTTTTTTACATACTTCGAGCCTGCAGAATTGCATGTACTTGTTTAGCTTATTTGTCAATGGTAAATTCATTTGTTGTTCCCCTAAAATTGTAATGCTTTTGCCCTCCTCACCTCTCTGTCACGGTCTTTTCCTCCATCCTTCAGTCTGCTTGACGTATTCTCTCTTTCCTTTGACTAATCGCTCTGGCATTCATTTTTTTGGTCCCTCGCATTTCCTGTTTTCGATACTTTCTCTCGATACGTAAAATATGACCCAATCTGTCATCTTTATTCTACCTGTTCGTCCTCAGCCTGCCCGTCTCGCCATCGCATTCCAGGAGACTCGAAGACGCGACGTGCACCGCTCGGTCAACGTATTTCCTTGGCGGAATGTGAAAATGCCCTGTCATGGGTTTGTTGTCGGAACTGATTGGGCGATGGTGCCTTTCGATCACTTGTCTCTGTACCCATCTATCTGACAAGGTATTGCTCTAGACAACGTTCGATAATCGCAGAGATGGTCAAGTTTTTGATTCAAAACATTTACAAACGGTACGCAGATTTTGTCGTGCTGTACGTCTTTGTATTCTTCTTAACTCTGATCTTGCTAGATAAACGAAGAGACGGAAGTGCGGTTCATCCATCCCTACGACTCACATGAGTATACAAGACATCGCGTGGACTTAACTGTCTTGGAAGAGATCCGCCATTTGGATATGCATAGACACGAAGGATTTATGAAGAGGTTATATGCAGCAACAAAAGTATGTGACTCGTCTCATTCTGTGGTCTACATATCATTTACTGCTCACTACTTCTAGTCTGCCGTTTATCGGCTTGTTCGCGGCGTTTACGATTTTTGTGGGAAATCATTTGGTTGTTTTTAGCTGAAAAATCACCATTGGACTATTGATCTTTGGGTTTTATTTTCTGATTACATCGAATTGCACTTTCTCTTGTTTCTCCCGTTCGAAGCATCTAGGATAATGCGCTTGTATTGTAGTATTACTATCGTTTCGACTACTTTGTCACATAGGTTAACCTACTCCGTACCATCTGTTCTGGCACAGGCATTTCGTATGAATGAACACATATTTGCTATTTGTCCACTAATAGCAATTCATATACAAGGACGACGTTGTATATCATACAATGCATACCAATTACGCAAGGTTAATAGCTCAAGTAGTAAATACGATTCGCTTTTCTTGTGTTAACAAAAAGGAACAGGCTAAGGAATAGATAGGGCGTGTCAAACAAGACAAGTAGCGGGTACGGTTACGGACGGCCGAAAAGATGATGATAGAAACTCCGAGCTTTGAGTTCGATTTGTGCGAGGGCGGACTGAGTATGTATCAGAATTATTTAATCCATCTCCAAGTAGTAGAAGACCCGCACCTTCGTTCCAACATATAATTTCATTAATACACCCTCTTGCCCGGGCTCCTCCAGCTGATCCCTAGTGTCCTCTATCACATTGAAAGCCAGAGAGTCGGTTGAGAAATTAAGCGGGTCAAACGGGTGAAAGAATAGGACTTCGGTGTTTTCATCGATCTGGTATGATGGCCGGTCGTTAGACCTTTATAGAGAGGAAACGATATTGAATCCCACCGTCTGTAAACGCTTGCGATCAAAGAATTGGTCGTCTGTACGTGTATCGAATGTCGCCTAGCGCCTTCATCAGCAAGTAGTTCAACCGTTGGAGAAAGACCATTCGTACCATTGCCCAGTCAGTTCCCACAACATATCCATGTCCTGACATTCTCAAATGAAAATCCTTCCAGGGAAAATGGTCTATCGGACGGCTCGCATATCGTCTCTGGCATTGTTGAAACTCGATTGCAAGCTGGGAGGACTGAGGACGGGCGAGTGGGGTAGAAGTAACACGTTGTGTCATTTTTACGTCTTGTTATAGAGTATGGAAGACAGGAGCAGCCAGAATAAAGGGAAAGAATGTGAGATGAACTTAAGAAAGGAGAAAGCAGGGCAGAAAATCGCTTCAAGCAAGCACGTAAAGAGGGAGAGAAAAGGGGAGACGGAGAGGTTGGGGTGGTAGAAGCATTCTAGGTCGTCAAGAATGAATTTACCATTATCAAAATACATTAAACAATTTCAACATGCGAATCTGCAGGCTCGAAGTATGTAAAAAAAGAAGGTCTTTACAGGGAGGAGTGACAAAATGCAGTGAGAGAGAAGTGATTGATAGAAGGACCTCTCAAATGGTAGGCTGGACTAAAACTGTGGTGGAAAACCTGCAGCAAGCAGGAGAAAACCGATCCACAGAAACCATGCCTATAGTGAAGCTATCTACTGCAAAAACAGAGATGAAATAGACTGAGAGGCAGAACAGCAGCCTTATCCATGATCTACAGGATAGTGAGCATACATATAATGTAGAATGTCTTTATAATTAGAAGAAAAGAACTTAGTGTCTAGCCAACAATCTAGCCTTTGTGGATGGTCCTTGGTCCGATTGCAAAAACGTTGTACACAGTCATCAAAGAGGATTCCCAGGCATCTAGTTATCTGGTGAAGAGGCGTGTCCTTGCTGTAGCAGAGCAGACATTCCTTAGAGTGGGTCACGTTCCATCAATATGAAAAGGAACGTGTGTTGCACGTTCTAGTTTGTAAGCAAAGGTGTAGAACCTGTGCCTGTTGGGGGAGCACAGACTGGAGAGGGAATTGTGGCTTGCAGGTTGCCCCATGGGACTGTTCTGCCCATAGCTGATCTGAGTCTGTTAAGGCATGACTGTAGACGCCATGTAAGGATGATTGATTACTGTTCACAGTGTTAGTTGCCTTGAATCTGGGCATGATTGCCTGACATGTCCATATCAGTGTGATTTGTTGCTTGCTTGTGAGGGACAACACATCTTGCATCAGTTCAGTAGACTCGTTTAAAGTTAAGAGATGTTTGAGGGCTAACTTCCAGTTTGTAGCAATTGTGGAATGGGGCAGGAGGTCATTCATGACCCTACTCATTGTATAGAGGACAGCCTGTGTGTGACAGATGTTCTCCAGGTGTTGTACTGTGAAACACTGTGTATGAGTTTTGACTGTGGCTGTCTGCAATTCTGAGTCATATTGGATCTGCACAGTGTCTGGCAAGTAGAGTACTCAGGCCATTTTGACAGGTTTTAGATTATCTTTGATGAGTGAGGGAGACATGGGAACATGCACCTTTACAGCAATTATCATCTGATTTGTTGAATTGAGATGATGAATTGCCTGATTTGGGATTTTGCTTAGTAGTACCCAGCATACAGTTTGGCCCTGTATGGCAGGACATTTGTGCTTCTGTAGGTCCCTGAACAAGAAGTGGCAATGTGTGCACTTGCATAGGGGGGATTCTGTCCTCACACAATTATGTTTGTTGAAGTTTGTAGGGGTAAGGAATTGTTCACAGTTGGAGCATTGTTTTGACACAATAATTGGTCTTCAATAGCTTGAGACATTCATCATTGGGGTTTCTGAATGAGATGCATAGAGAATAGGGGCTAGCATATGTGGGTATGCTTGTCATCTTGCATGGAAGCAGTAAGATAATTGCCTAATGAACAGGGGAAGGGGGAGTACCAAGAGGGTTTTCTCCATGTCTGCAACAAGAGTTGGTTTTGGGAAGGTGCTGATAATCCTCAGGAACATGTTTTGGATCTTGACAAGTGGGCTGAGTTGGTGTTCAAGAGGATTCAGCCAGGTCTTGGCTGTATACATTATAGTGCTCCAAACAATGTTGAAGTACACAAGGTGTGCCTGGTAGGGGTGCATACTGTATGTTTGTTGTATGATGTGGCTTGTTATTGTAGTTAGTTTCAAGGCCTTTTGTACAACCTTGGCAATCTGGTCAGTAGGCAAAAGGTTGGATCATAGACTGTAGCCAAGCCATGTAGCTTTGGTTTTGATGTGAACAATCTGGTCCTGAACAGGGAGAGTCCATGCTGTATTAGAATGGAACTGGATTGCATTAATCTGTAGGTTGAGTTAGAGTCTGATGTTGTGAAGACAGTTTTTGAGGAAACAGAGAAAAACATTGACTTGTGACATCAGTGATTTCCTGCTCACACTGTAAAAGATGAATGCTCAGTCATTAAGGTAGGTCTGGATGAAGATGCTAGGGAATTGAGTTTTGATTGTGTTGATAATGTGGTACATAGCAATTGTTGCCAGGACAGGGGAAATAAGGGAGCCCTAGGGTATTCCAACATTCAGGCAGTGTCTCAGGGGTCCTGATTAGTGGTTGAAGTAGAGTAGATACTCTCTATTGACTACAAGAGCTTGGACCATGTTTATTAATTGAGGAGAAGCATTGAGAGAGTGTAAGTTTTCTTGTAGTTGATCTAGAGGGATATTGTCAAAAAATCCCTGGATATCAACAAAAAGTGTGAGAGGGCATGTATGAGACTGTTCTCATGTGTTTTTGATGTTCTTCCTGACAAAGGTGTGTAGATTGTATATTGCATCCACTGTAGAGAGATGCTTCCTTCTACTGTATATCTCCTTTGGGAATGCCAGGTGGGTCTCCATTATTGTTGTACACTTTTCAGTGTATATCTTAGCAATTGCCTTTGTGAAGGTTTCTTCAACTGAAATAGGCCAATACACTTGAGGCAAGTCAAGTGCTCAGTCCTTCATTTTCAATATGATTGACACTTGTGTACACCTGAGTAGAGTAGGAATATATTCCAGATCTTGTATCTGTTATAGTATGTTAGCAAACATATGATCAAATGTATAACACAGTGCTTCTGTGAGTGTATGAGTGAGTCTGGATATGCCAGGCAAAACAGACTTATCAATTTGGTGTAGAGACTCTATGAATTCTGGGAATGTGAAGTAATTGTTGAGGCCTTCTACTTTGGGATTGTATTGTAGAGGGGCAAAGACTGTTGAGGCCCTGTCTGGAAAGTAGGCCTGTGTGAACTCCTCATCCATTCTGAGAAAGGTATCTTTGTTGTTGATTTATACTATAGGACACAGGTCCTTACATTTGTACTGCTAGGCAGCTGTCCAGAGAGTACTATGGTTAGACTGATCAGCCTTTGTCAAGTAGTAGTCTTGTTTGTGGTTCAAGATGACTTGTGTTATTGTGGCTGATGACTTGTCAGATAAACCTATGAGCTGTTCTGTAAGGTTGTTGTCCTACCATTCAAACTGGGTACATAGTCTTGAACTGTCTAAGAAGAACGTGTTGGCTGCTAGTGTGAAGATGTTCTCAAAAAACCTGTCTAAGTCCAGTTTTGTGTTTAATGGGTGATCAAGTATAAAAGGAGGGAGAATTTGGGCAAACTTCTCAATCCACACCCCTGTATGTTGTTCCTTTATTACTAGGGGAAGACACCTCTGTGGTGGGTTATGTGTGCTGATTGCAATTACTGAGTGGTTGTAATGTCTGGACACAAAGATATTGTAGGACACTGCTGGGTGGTTTGTGAATACTATGTTGGGGGAAGACATTGACTCTCTGAGTTTGTATGTGAACAGTAGGGAGGATGATGGGATGAGGAGACTGTGCTCAACCAGCCATTCAAACCATGACACTGTATATGTGGCAAATATGTCTGTGTAGGGAGTGTTGTTAAAGATTGGATGTTGTCTATTAATATTGCCTATCATCAAAAAGTTGTCTGGCAGGTTGAGGTGATGTATGAATGTTTCATCCTTGGTCATGAGTTGTTTTGCTCTTCCACATAAGTACACATTGAGGATTGTCTGGGTGTTGTAGTGGATTGTGAAGATATTGTTACTGTAAGAGAGTCAACTAACAATATTTACAACAACATGGTTGCAAATGAGGAATGTGACATCTGGTTTCTTGCATTATAGTAGTAAGTAGTAGTAGTTCAGTACTACTGGAACAATAGGATATGATTTTAGCCCAGCTCTGGTCTTAACAGACGTTTTCACAATCAGAGGGTCTTGTAAGGCTATGATTACTGGCTGGACACTGTGAAGTTCAAGAATATGAATGAGCATATATAATGTGGAAGAACTGTGATTACAGTTGAAAGAAATAATAGGGGAGAAAGGGGATGTAGGAGGCAGGTTAATGTTATAGAAAAAACTGTTCATTTAGTGGTTGGTCTTAGTATGTTTATTGGTGGGGCCAGTCTTGTATTCAACACTCTCAAGCATTTCTTCTTGTTGGGTGATGTATGATAGTTCCAACTCTCTGTCACTATTCTGGTTGTCCATCAGTTTGTCCTGATCCTGTATGAAACTGTGGGCAGGTTCCAGTGTTGCTGCTACAAAGCATGAGGCCTGTACCTGTTGTGTAATACAGTGTTCCACTGCTTCTTGTGAAATCGTCACCTGTAGAATGTTAGCAATCTGTTGTATTGTGAGTATGCTTTTGCAATTACAGAGGATGGATGCTCTGGCCCATTGTGGTTGGCTTTTGCATTCTTAGTCAACAGTAGAGTGTTTGCCAAAGCAATTCAGGCATCTGTAGTAGTGTTTGCAGATGGGCTTGTGCTTGCACTCAGTACACTTAGTGTGTTTGTGTGCAGAGGCAGTGTAGGTGCTGTTGCAGTATGGGTACTGTAGTTGTCTGTAGCATGTATTAATGTTGTAGCTGAAGCTCTAGCATCTTGTGCATTGTACAGTGCCTGACTAGGATTGCCCTTCTTCCAGACAGTGTTTCTTACCAAACATCCATATGTAGGCATTGACACAGGTGTCTATGAATTGTTTTATTCTGTCAGTTCGAGACATAAGCAACAGTACTTGTACTCTGCAGAATTCTTGTTCTGCAAGTTTATCTGCTAGGGCAGCAAAACGAGTTGGGTAAGCTAGAACAGTTGGCTCGAATTGGTAGTTCTGTTGAACTTTGTCCCATAACTGTGCAGGTGTGTATATTTGCTGTGTCTCGTAGTTGCAGACACAGACGTTTGGAATGAAGAGGTTGAACACCTCAGTGCAGAGGGGTTGGACTGTGAATGTAGTTTTGTATACATCAGATACAGAACAGGTGATTTCCTGTGTGTTTACAGCAGTCGTTGCAGGGAAATCCAGGCTGAGTGTTTTGCTGTCGAGTGAGAAATGGCCTCCAGAGAGGTTGGCTTTGCAATGTGTCCACAAGAACTGGTGTAGATCTTTGACAATCTTTGGGGGAACCAGAATGGGGTTCACTACAGTCTCTGTACAAAGGAGGATCTTCCTGTCACAGAAGGTATGTTGTGGTGCTGGGGGGGCCTTTTTTGTCGTCTTTGCCAGAAGGGCCTTGTAGGGCCGAGTTGGAAGTACAACAGTCTTCTTAGAAGGGGCTTCAGCAGTAGCAGTCTGGGCAAAGGTCCTTTGGTTGCCTTGTGGTGTCTCTGTGGTGACAGCTGTTTGCTGTTGTTGTAACATGGGTGGACAAGGCGTTGACTCTCCCTTCTGGAGGGCTTCGACAGATTTGGCCAGCTTGTTTACAGCAGTGATGATATCAGCTAGAGATCCGTCGGTTGGGATTCTGTGTGTTTGCCCAACTGGGGGGCTAATTGTCGGCAGGCCTGACGCAGTGCTGGTCATCATGGCAAGTTGTACCTGGGAGGACGTTGCAGCTGCGTGTTCAGGGCAGTTAGTGTAGAAACCATTGTCCCATGCTTTGTGAAGGGCATCAGCAACCGTCTTCTTCGGGTCGTGTTGCAAGATGTTGGCCAGGAGTTCGGCAAGGTTAGCAACTTTGCCCGTTAGTGTGCCGAAATTGAAGAAGATTCGGCACATTTCATCCGTTGAGGTTTCGTCCGAAATGGGAGGCGTGAAGTGATCCTCGGCCTCGAGGATAGCATCAGCCAGGCCGTTCGCATATTCGCGAACCGCAAGAAGGCCGCTTATAGCGGCCTTGCGGTGGGGGTGTGGGATAGGTGTGACAGCAGCCTGTACTGCCTCATGCCTTTCCTGATGGCCCGTTACCGTGCGTGGGTCGTCAGTGAGGATGTCGACGTGGGGTGTGGTTTCGTCCATTTCCTCAGACCAGCTGAGGCAGCGAGTGGGCGTCGGAAGAGGCGTTTCGGGCGCCGGGCTGGATGGCTGAACGTCAACTGGTTCAGGGTTAGGGACTTGCGTCTGTGCAGGGGTATCGCCAGTAGCTAGGAGTGCTTTGGCGACGATTTCTCCACACTTTACAGGGGAGAGGAGAGCATCTGCGTGCTTGACCCTGAAGTGGTCTATGCAGAGGTTCAAGGAGACTGCCTTAAAACATATGGGGCAGTCAAAGGTAGCGTGTACACCGAGTAGGTGCATCTGGCGAATGTGGGAGATGGGGCCTGAGACGAACTCGTCGCACAGGCGGCACTTGGAGTTTCTCGACGCTGTCGAGAGTAGTGACTCGGTTTTCGAGTAGAATAGGGCCATTAGCTGGTCCTGGGCAGTGGGTTTGGAGTAAGGTGAGGGGACGGCAGGAGGACGCTTAACGCGAACTGCCATAGCTAGATGATGGTGGTTGGAGAAAAAGAATGAATTGAGGCCAAGCGATGAGGGCGTTGTCCGTTTTGAGTACCGACTCGATCGCGAGACACCAGCTGCAAATCCGGGGGCAAATCATCTCTCGTATAATATGCTTCCGTTGGATTCTGTGGCATCCCGCAAGTTCCTCGAGGCTCATTTAAACCGATTAGAAAATTGGTTTAAATATCGAAAACACTCCAAGTACAGCGATAGACTCCACAATCGAGGTGAACGATCAACGGAAAATCGCGGCGGACGTACTGGTCTCTGTTTCTCACCTGCTGTCCATCACCTCCGAAATTCTGCATCCTCTCCTTGCCACACTCTTCTCCCTTCCCTTCTTCCTTTCTCCCACTACAGGCCACTGGGTAAATCTTCCATACGGAGTGTACGACAAGAATGATTGCAACCATCGCACGAACCCTTCGATCGGTGAAGTGTGACGAACTATGCAAGGTGCCTTGCAATTCTGCTGCAATTCAAATTTCTATGCCTGCTTGCCTTGGAAATCCTCTTGCTTGGAAATTTTCTGCACTCCTAGAAGCCTGTTATCCCTTGTATCAAGGACACATCGTCCTCGGGGCACATGCGCATTTCGCGCTCCCATCGTTTCCAACAGCTCTGGCTTTCTTCATGAAACGTCTTGTGTCTTCTTCACCATTTCACCTTGCTTTGTGTTGTACAGCTCTTCGACTGGTCCTCAGAGCTCCTCTCTTACTCTCCCGAGCCTCCAGAAACCAGTATTGCGAGAAACTGTGTCCAGTGCAGAGTCATCGGCAGAAATATCCTAATATGGCAAGGGTGAGTCAGCAAGAGTTGATGGGTTCGAACAATAAACACGCACGTACACTCCGCTGAATATCATACCCAGATACCATGATGTTGCCCAACTTCAACCATTCTGTGCAATCCCATACACCTTCACAATGCAAGATGGAAGAGATCCTCCCAATTGGACTGCGTCAAAATCGGCTCCTCAAGAAACAAGGAGAGAACTTGATTTCTGAACCAAGAATCTTCAAAAATTCAAGTCGTCAAGAGACGGAAAATCGAAATGGATCAGCAAGATCAAGTTGAAACCTGATAGCAGTATCGGTACCTCTGAAGCAAGGAGAAGACGAGTGTAATGACTTCACTGGAAGAACTGTAGCACCCAACAACGGTTCCGATGGCGAGATTCACGGTCAAAATCTGATATCGATATTCCCTCCAATGATGTCCCCTCCAAGGCAGACATGCAGTATCAAGATGCCATGAAGTGCTCCTTGCAAAATAGCGGCACAAGTAATGGAATTTGTGCTGGTCACGGAAAAACTGGAGACTCTGCTCGTGTGGTTGGACCTCTCCATCCCGTCTCCCGTAAATCAAAATCCTCCCACAAGGCAAAATTTGTCAATTCTCTTGAATACCTGCTCGACTTGCACGCCTACTCCTGTGATATCTATGTGGCCAGAAAACGGATGTTGTGAGCAAGACGCACCCCAATGCTTCAATGACCCCGCCTTTCGTCTGATCAATCCAAATCCACCCCCTTCCATAATCCCCTCCTTTCCCCCTCTCGACCCGGTTCCTCCTTTCCCCCTTATCCATCGACCTCAATCTTGAAGCGACTAAAGGGAATGATGCAGACGCAAAGAGAAGGACGATACGCGGCGCAAATTAGTTCGAGGCAGGACGCGAGTCAGCCCTCCCCTTGAATCTTCGGAATCTGCCAGCTCGTGCCACTTTCGCTTAGTTCACGCTTTGCAAGTCACCTTCGAGGGTGTTTATCCATTGCGTCTCTCGTCGCAGTACCGTGAAATTTTGGGCTGTCGTAAACTACGGTCAATTTAACTCGATTTACGCTGGAATTTCTTGGAGCGTGCCTCGAGTGATTCGGAAGACGGACCCAAGCCACACTCAAAGAGGACATCGGACGCTCACAAGTCACGCGAGCACACCTCTCTGTTGCTGAATAGTCCAGAATTCTTGTCGTGCGGAATATGGAGGAAAATGATCATATTTTTCGGGACGAGACAACGGTAGCGAGGGTAAACGACAGAGTGGGGATAGCTCAAGAGAATGCACAAGTGAAGCCGTTATGTACGCTCCTCTTCCCTAATTTCATCTGATTCCTACGTGCTGCTCAGAGCCTTTCATGTACCCTCACATCAGGGGCAGCGTGTGATGAGCGCTTATCCGGATGTCAAGGTCAAGCAAGTTACGTGGGGTTATATATATAAGACGACTCTCTAATTCTATCGTAACGAGGGTCTCGTTTGCCGAACTTCCTATGTGCCCCACCCTCCCTCCTTTAATTTCTCGTATCATATTTATTTGATCTGCTTAGGCGAGTGAAAATTATCTCTCAGCATCTAATATTGGAATAGATTTGCCGTTACCCTCGGCAGAACACGAAGAAATTCCTTAACTCTTGTTCTGGTGGTTGAATTCCGTCTGAAACGACTGTTTGTCTGCGAGCATGGTGAGTTAATCTTACAAACTTTCATCCTTGTTCTAGGCATAAAGATAGGTCATCGAATGTGGTATTCGGAACTTTCCTCAGCCGCTATACCCTTGACTCCAGAATGCATGACAATACAGACTATTCAGAAATTGTCTCTGGAGGTGAACAAAACACTGGGAGTCAACTTTCCAGGAGGCCTTTGCTATGGATGCTTTTGAGATAGGATTGTGCTAGTTTCCCGCATCCAAGTTTCGTGTTTTGGTTGCAGTACAATTATCGAGTGTACAGACTTCAGTGTGCAGTCGAAAGGCATGTTAAACCTTTCAAAATTGGCCTTCTCTGTAGACCGTTTCTGTGCTTAAGTACATGTAACTGTATCTACGTGCATTGTGGATAAAAATTTTTAAGCAAAATCCATCTAATTAATGATTGTTTGATAATACACGTCCTGCGTGAAATTATAACCATTGTGTGCATTATGTCTACCTGACTGAAAATCGGGGGACGACTTCTCTTCTCAATGGATCAAAAAAATGGTGTCAAACAGATTCAGAATAAACTTATCATCTGGTGACTAGCGTTGGCATCCAATAGTCAAAGTCGTAACCGGCTCCGCCAATTGTTACCATGCCCCAAAAGCTGTTATATGTTTTTGGTAATGGTTACCTAGGTAGATGTCAGTGATATTGTTACGCTCCCCTTTCTTCGATACTACCATTGACACCAATAACAAGCCCGACGTCTGGACAAGTTTTGTCTGTGGCTCGGACGACAGCATCTTCTTTCCGTACTTTCGTGGCTGATTGGAAGCATCATTGCTTACTTTCTAGTGTTTCACGATGTTTTCCAAATGCTTGCCTCTCATGCCAATATTTGATGGGGGGACGGCACGATTTTCGCCTGTATATGCAGGAGACACTGTTTGTGCTACATAACTGCTTTTCGATCTGAGGACAGAGTTATGAAAACAACTAGTGGCAAGGTTTTCGGGGTAAGCGAACCAGACAGTTCATGTATTCGATTAGATTATTCAGTTTTCCTATACTCTAAATCGATTTGTTAGTATTTACATACAAGGAGATGAGGAGACTCGTCTTGAAGTGTACTGGACGTTCTTGACTGGTTATATCCCTTGCATCTGAGATTGGGAAAATGCGGGGATTCATCTTCGAACGATTTCCACCAAATATATTGACCCTACGCAAGATTAGGCAAGTTTTCAATACAAGTGCCAGATAATAAGCAGAAAAATTACTTATTGCTGGTTGAAGGGCTCAAAATCGATAACATAGTCAATTCGTAGCCTCCTCCTGATCCCGCATTATTCGAGAGCTTCTGGAGAGATTCAGAGGGGACCAGAAGAAGACAGTTCGTGACATACCTCCACAATACCTGTAGCTCGCAACTATGCGACCTGGCCCTGTCATTTGGGAGCCTACGGTGCACCATAGTCATATGCAGCGCCTTTTCTGTGAAGCCAGTTCATTTTCAGTCGCTTGTTAGTTACTTTTCGGGCTTCTTGTCGATTTATTCGCAGGCACACTGGAGGTCGTTGATAATTAGTTATCCATCCTCATTCAGGGAGAAAAATAAAACAATTGCAGCTAGCTGTGAGCTTCTAAACACAGAAAATCGTCGACTGATTTCGACAAGCTGTGTGTGATCAAGAGTAGGATATCGGCGTGTCAAACGTTATTTCGCTGCAAGAACGAGCCCACAGTGTACCTCCGTTCGCAGATTGCAACGATTATGAGTTCCTATAATTCTGAGATTTTCTTGATATTTTTGGGCGTCGATGTTGTGGACTATAGAACGTCAAGTAGAGCTTGCTGCGTGACGAGGGGTGGGTGTTACTGCGTTCCTGCCAAGTGTGCGGCACTCTTCCACGAAACTGAAGACACGCTCCCAAAAATTCCAAAGAAATTACGGTTTGTATGAGGGACTTCATTTTCGAACGTCGACCAACATCGACAGCTCGAATAGAGGTAAAAGAGGAGGAAGATGGCTCGTATGAATAGTGACAAGCTCGGGAGACCTCTTCCTAAGCGACTTAGCGAGTGGCTGGCAGATTCCGAGGGCTGACTGAGACTCGCGTCTTGTCTTTCGACAAACGACAACCCTCATCTGCGATATGCCTCGTCCTTGCCAATCCTCCTTGTCACCATAGTGCCCGGGTGTCGAACTAGAGGGAGGGGGGACGTAAGCCTACAAGAGGAAAGGAGGAAATGGGTTGCAGGGGGATCGGGATTGGTGTCTTGTAGGAGTGGATTTATCAAGGTGCGAGCTCTCCTCACCGAAAGGGATCTGGCCACATAGTCCAGGTGGGAAGCAGCCTTGGGGTTAGCCCGACGTCCAGCAACGTTGATGGGTGCTGCTTGAGGTGTCGTCTTGGTTTGATTGAGAGGGGACAAGGTACACGTAACAGAGCCCCAGCGTCTGCGGTCTGTCAAACATACAGACCATTCTCAACCTGTTGGACTGCTGGCAGATAGGAGGGCATGGACTTGGATTATTTTCTTGCTTTTTGTTGGGGAAGATATCAGAATTTGAGCATGGATCTCAATATCGGAGGCATCTTAAGGTCATAGGGTTCTTCAGGTAAAGAGTCGATTTTCTCTTGGTTTTTCTTCTGAAATGCTGATAATTTTGACAGTCATCTACTTGATTCGACTTGGTTCTTGTGAAAATCCTCTCTAGGTTTTCGTTGCTTCGTTTTAAATTGGTCTAGCGTTGTTGGATGGCTTGAGGGTCTTGAAGTCTTCTCTGTTCAAGTTGGCTCTCTCTCTCTTGCAGAGTTGATCTTGATGCACGTTGATTTGATGCGGGCATATCAACCTCATTCGTGGAGGTGAAATAAGTGCATTGGAGAGCCTTGCTTGAGCGACATGTTGGTATCTAAGAACGATTGTTAGAGAGGTGTACGTATCTTGCGCGACTCATCAATACACTTGCTGACTCACCTTCCATATTAGGTCATCACAGTTATTGTCGTGGATAGACAGGGTTTCCTTCCGTGTTCTGGCGTGGATATTTGAGAGTCCCTAGGAGTATTGAGCCGGTTCAGGAAAATTTCTCGGGGATGATTTGAAGCATTAGGATGCACACCAGCGAGGAATATAAGGCACTTGATGAAGAAAACCATGATACCCAGACGTGACGAGGGACCACGGCCATAGACGAGGTCACTTCGTCGTTCAACGTGCTCAGTACAAGACAGAATGAACCTTTGGAGACGAAGATGATCTCAGAGCTGAAGGGCCTTCAGATAAAGCGGAAGACTTCGTAAGACGATACGCCGCCAGATGTGCCTGTTTCGCTCAGCGTACCCACCGAGGTTCGAAAGATACGCTCGCATATCGATCATCGTCATCCCTTTACCTGCACATTGCATGGAAGCACGCTGGTTTTTGAGTGGAGTGAAGCGAAAGAAGTGAGATGGACGAGGCGTGGCGTGGAACTTGGGGTATCAGAAATAATCAAGGTGACCAAGGTCACTGGTATGTCCGCGGTTCCTCTCGCCTTGGCTCACCTTTGATTTAGATAGCATAGGCGCAGCTGGACCTGGCCGATGCTAAATTCAAGTTTCAGGATGTTGAAGATCTCTGCGAGTAACCAGCGGATAATTGGGGACTTAACGGAAGCAGATTCAACGAGGGATGATCTACCTCCGGGATTCGCAGACGCGTGCTGCGCGTTTCTAGCGATCGAGACGGTGCTCAAAACGGACAACGCCCTCCTCGCTTGTCTTCAATTCATTCGCGTTGTTCCCCTAAAAGTTGTAATGTTCCTACTAACCCTCACCTCTCCGTCTCCGTTTTTCTCTCCCTCTTCCAGTCTGCTTGAAGCAATTATCTCTTTTCTTCGACCTATTCCTCTTGCGTGCCTTTTTCCCATCCTTGCTCGCATTTTCTGTCTTCGATGCATTCGATCGATACGTAAAACATGACACAGCCTACCACCCCTGCTCTTCCCGTTCGTCCTCGTCCTGCCCGTCTCGCTGTGTCGTTCCAGGAGCCTCAAGGATGCTATGTGCACAATTTGGTTGATAAATTTCCTCGGAACGACTTGAGAATGCCGCGTCATGGATTTGTTATCGGGACTGATTGGGCGATGGTGCGGTTCGGCCTCTTGATCCTGTAGCGACGTAAGTAGCTGACAAGTGAAAATGCTTTAGACAACGTTTGATAATCGCAGAGACGATCAATTTTTTGATTCAAAACGTTTACAAACGGTAAGCGGATTTGGTCGTACTGTGCGCTTTGTATGCGTATTAACTCTGATTCTGCTAGATAAACGAAGGAACGGAAGTGCGATTCTTCCACCCCTACGACACTCTTGGATATTCAAGCGACGGTGTCGATTTTAACGTCCTGGAAGAAATCCGCCAATTGGATATGCATAGACACGAAGGCTTTGTGAAGAGGTCGTTTACAATAATAAAAGTGCGTAACTCGTGCTCCTTCCATGTTCTACATGTTATTTACTACTCGTTGCTGCTCAGTCTGCAATTTATCGGCCTATTCTCTCAGTCTGCAATCTTTGTCGAAATTTATTTGCTTGCTTTTAGTCGAAAATTCACCATTTGGAAATTGTGTTTTGGGTTTATTTTATGATCATATCTGTTTGCAAAATTTCTTGTTTGATATTTCACTCGTTCCAAGTCTCCAGGAGTATTCGCTTGTATTATATCACTGCTATCGCATCAGCTATTTTGTCGTATTTTTCGTGTTTGTATAATAGCATTATCTTGTGATTTTCTTTTACAATTTACATGCGAAGTGCACGCGTGTCACGTATTGCTGCTGCGCAAACGCGCATGTAACTTTGCACAGGCACAGTGTCTCCTGCACTTGGCCTCAAACTACAATGACTCGCAGCCACAATATACTGCCATGGCTGTTGGCTGGCATATGTGGCATCGCAGCGTATGAGGTGCCATTCACTGATTCGGACTATTCCCCGCAAATATGCAGTGGCATGTTTGGCGGGTCGAATGCCTTCATAAATGGTCTGTATTGTAGAAGCTCCCGAAACATTTCATCGGAGAACTTATCTATGTATTTTTTGGCAGTTTCTTTCGATGCTACATCTCAAGGACAGGTCGCTATGGTCATCTATGAGTGGAAGGATGTTGGTATGCTTGGAAAAATAACCTCGTATATCGATGACACGCTCCCAGTAAGCAAGACACGCGTCTCTTTCTTGAGGACGTTAAGCCGAGCTTACGAATGCGATTAGCAGAAGACCTATGTATGTACAGACGACGCTGTTAAAGCAGGATTCTGCGACAGCGATAATGAGGGAAAATTCATCATTGACCTTCCGGAGGGCAAATCATTAAACGAGACGAGTTTCTGGACAGCACGAGTCGGGTTTCCGTCGGACAGCGCAAACACTACTACTGCAGACGTACTTTGGTATAACGAACCCATACAATATCCTGTCCGTAAGACAGGATTCTACTGTGTCGGAATCGTGCCGTTTACTGTCCTCCGGGACGAACGCAATGTGATGGAGCGACAGTCTGATACAGATGTGCCGTTCCATCCGCCATATAGTGGCGTCGTCCTCTTCAAGAACACATTTGATGGCAATTTACCTGCTTCGGACTATCCGAAAGTTAACTTCTATTTTGCAATGCTGTTAGCTTATGTGGTCATGGCTGGAGGTAACTAATCGTTCCTTGACTTTTTTGGGTTTCGGAAGTTATTTTTCTAACATGACTGAAATATAGCTTGGGGTTGGCTTTGCTACCGTTACAAGGAGGAACTTCTTCCAATTCAGTACTACTTGTCCAGCCTTATTGGACTGTTGGTTATCGAAATGATGGCAAATTTCGGCTACTACAGGTACCTTAACGCACACGGGAGGAGTACAGCTTCGACAGCCTTCCTGATCGTGGTAGCTATTCTGGACGCAGGGAGGAACGCACTTTCGTTCTTCCTACTGCTAGTGGTATCACTCGGTCTAAGCGTTGTCCGCGAATCACTCGGAAGGACAATGTTGAAATGCAAATTGCTCGCCGGAGCTCATTTCATTTTCGGAGGTAAGTCACTCCTAACATTACTCCTGGTTTTAAAAGCTGAACGCTTTGTCTGTGTCATTACACAGTTCTGTATGCCGTTGGCATCGTTGAGCTTATCCTAGAATCAACTTCAGCTCTCGTTCTACTTTTGTTCGTCATCCCACTCGCGTTTACCTTGAGCGCGTTTTTGCTCTGGATCATGTACGCTCTTAACGGTGCGTTCACTTTTCACTCTTATCTGTTTCTCTACTTATCTGACTGTCCCCTAACAGGAACAATTGCTCAGTTGAAAGCCCGAAAGCAGCGATACAAACTGTCCATGTTCACGAAACTACATAGGATCCTGTTGGGAGTTGTATTAGTTATTTCAATATTCTTCGTCGTTTCTTCATTATCGTTCTCGAATCGCTTGGCTGAAGGTGAGCGATGCTTGTGTGTGATTTTATCTCTTAAAAACTGATCTGACCCTCTTCCCCCCCGCAGACTTTGCTGCAAATGTAAGGTCATTGACTTGATGAGTAAATGTCCCTACTGATTAGCTTCGTAGACATGGAAGGTGCAATGGTGGCTTCTTGATGGTACGTCACACTTAACACTGAAGGCGTATGCAATCAACTCAAAGTATAAATCGGACAGGCTGGCTTTCTCTCCTCTACTTCGCAGCCTTCGCCGGCATCTGCTACCTCTGGCGTCCAACAGCACACAACAGACGACTAGCAATGTCCGAAGAGCTCGCACAAGAAGACGAAGACGCGGAGGACTACGACCTCGAAGCTATCGAATCACGTACGCGAACCAGGGACGACGATGACGACGCAACGCTCGTCGGTGGACGTCGAGGTCCTGGGTCAATGATGGGCGTTGGTGAAGACGAGGTGGTGTTTGAAATCGGTGACCATGACGAGGACGATGAGCCTAAGACGGGTGATAGTAGGAAACCACACACTGATCAGCATGTGCAAGATGATCGGGGAGATGCGCATGAGGATGAAGGAGAGAGACATGGGTTGATAGGAGGGAACACTCAGAGAGATCGGAGTGACTAGACTATCGTACTACAGTGGCAAAATTCACCTTACATGTTCGTATTTAAGCCAATTTTTTCGTTTCTTTCTTACGAGATTTCATCATAATCACTACAAATTACAATTCTACCTCATACGTTATACCAGAATGCAAGAGTAACGAGCAATTTGATCGGATTTTTCCCTATTGAACTTCAGTTGTGGGAGACCGTTGGTCAGAAGCAACTCTTCTACAAATTAAACCTATATATACATAAATTTTGTGCATTAAAGCATAGCAAAGAACAAAGAACAAAGGCAATGAACCCCTCCGATAAATCAATCCCTTATTCTCCCGGTTGAGACAGTATACAAGCGTGCAGCGATGTTCATAGCCTGCAACTCCTACAAACAATAGTGCATGTTAGTCATAAATGACAAGTTTTATGCAACGATGATTTATTACTGACCTGGAAGAGAAGCTTCGCAGCATAGGGGATGTATAACTGTGAAATACTCGTTTTGTTCTTGCATGCTCGACATTCGAAGCTTTGTTTTTTCTGCAAAGGAAAGTCACGTTAGAGTTACTGCATCGCTTTTAAACGAATTCACGTACCAGGTTTGCGATAGCAGTTAAACCGCATCTGAACGTTGATGATCGTTAGTTAATTAGATGGCTAATGGGAACAGAAAAGGACTCACAGATCGCAGACATGTAGACGGTAGGCATCACTAGCATCGAAGAGACGTTCTTTCAAGAAAGCAGCGATACCGTGTGAGATCATACAATCGCGCTGCAAGAACAATTTAGTCAGGCCGAAGCCAAAATGACATACGGAGGTGAAATACGAACCTCCATTTCTCCGAAACGCAGACCACCATCACGCGAACGACCCTCAACAGGTTGCCTCGTCAAAATCTGAACCGGTCCACGAGCACGAGCATGAATCTTATCATCCACCATATGCTTCAACCTCTGATAATATGTTGGTCCGAGGTACACCTGCGCTTGCAGCTTGCGTCCCGTATGTCCATGATACATGACTTCCAAACCACGAGATTGATAACCCTTTTCACGCAAGACGGACGATACAGAGTCGACGGTCAAGTCCGTGAACGGGGTCGCATCGCCTTCATTACCAACTATCGTCGCCAACTTCGATAACAAACATTCGACTAAGTGTCCGATTGTCATACGTGACGGAATGGCGTGAGGGTTGATGATGATATCAGGTGTGATACCCTCTGCAGTGAAAGGCATATCTTCCTGCCGATACGTAATACCGATAGTACCCTTTTGCCCGTGTCGCGAAGCGAACTTGTCTCCGATTTGAGGGATACGAGTAGAACGAACACGAATCTTCACGAATTTCGTGCCTTCCGCGTTGGTAGTGACAACAACCTGATCGACAATGCCTTGCTCGGTACTCTTCAGCGGAGTTGAGATATCACGCTTCGTGTGTCCTCTCGTCCGTTGCCCGAGCTCTTCGCTATCAGGTGGAATAGGGGCTGTCTTGCCGATGATAATATCATCACCACGAACGTTGACACCAGGAGCAATGAGACCATCATCTTCGAGCTTGTCATACGTCCCATGCTTCATACGCAGTGTCGTATCGCGCGTAGGTTTCTCGAATTCATCAACAATGATCGCTCCACTACGTTTCTCCTGGTCCATGTAAGTTCGATAATACAAACTACGGAACAAACCACGGTCAATCGAGCTCTGGTTCATAATGACGGAGTCTTCCTGGTTATAGCCACTGTAACAGAGAATGGCCACAATAGCATTTTGGCCAGCGGGCAATTCTCGGAACTTAAGATACTCCATGGCTCTCGTCGTAGCCAGCGGTTTTTGTGGGTAGTAAAGGATATTCGCCATCGTGTCTTGGCGCATTAGGAAGTTCGTGAGGTAGATACCCATAGCTTGTTTACCCATAGCAGATTGATAAGTATTACGAGGCGACTATTTTGATATGAGTCCCACGTATCTTTGTTAGGAATAACTGTCGAGACTCACCTGGTTGTGATCAGGGAAAGGTATAATACTAGCACAAATACCCAGAATCATGCTAGGGTGAATTTCACAATGTGTCCATGTATGCGCTATCGGTAACGGTTTCAACCGAGCCGCCGGGTTAAAGTCAGCCTCTGCGCGTGGATCCAGACCTCTGCGCAATAGTCGAGACTCAAGCAAGTCATCTGGTGTCATGCAGATCATGACCGTCTCCTCTTCTTCTGCGTCCAGCAGCTCAATAACACCGTCGCGAATCAACGAAGACCAAGTGAATGGCTTCTTCTTTCTCTTCACTCTTCGTTCGTCCCTCATAATCGGCCTACCCTCTTCTTCGTCTGCAACGGTCTCGCCCTCTGAAACTTCCTCCTTGTTTCTTTCTTCCCTTGGGACATACGGCCTTTCCTCAATCCTCCATTTCTCCTGCAGCCAGCGGAGATGCTGACGCTTGAGTTTCAGCTTGTGGTCTTCCACAATGAAGAGTGGTCGAAGAACTCGGCCGGCATCAGAGTATATACGTATCTCCCTCTCACGGATGTCACGAACAATTGACACTTCGCTATCGAAATCCTGCATTCGCCTGAGAGTACGGAGTGTATTCACCATGTTGAGCGGGTCGCGACACACCCCGAGCCACACGCCGTTAACGAAAACTTTGGTGAGATTCGTGGACTGGGTATTCTCCTCAAGGGTCTCTAGTCCCCATTCCTCCAAGAAGTCGATGACAGGTCCCGACACTGAGCCGACAGAGATGACGGCCATTAACGCAAGATTTTTAACCAGACCGCAAGCCTGTCCTTCCGGCGTTTCGGCAGGACATACCATACCCCAATGGGTATTATGCAATTGACGTGGCTTCGCGATCTTGCCTTCACGACCCAAGGGCGTGTTACATCTTCGAAGATGAGAAAGCGTTGACGCGTAGGTGTATCGGTTAAGCACCTGCGAGACGCCAGCCTTGGAAGACATGGCTTTCTTCTGATCACCCCAATTACCCGTCGCAAGAGAGTACTTCAGACCATTAGTAAGGGTCTGTGTCTTGATCGCCATATTGATATTAAACTCTTTGTGTGTTTCGACACACTATATGCACAGATATTAGCGGATACCGATGCCTGTGTAGGAGATCTTACCTTTTGCAAGTAACGATATACATCCTTCGTTAACTTTCGGAAGAGCATGCGGAACAGTCCTGTAAGCAAGGGACCCGCGAGATCCAGACGCTTCTTCCCAAAGTGGTCTCTGTCATCAAGTTCACGTCGTTCGAGAGCGGCAAGCAACAACCGGTGGATCATGTAACCAAAGAAATATGCTTTCTTGGACTCTGATCCTTCAGCCATCGAGATATGTGGTAACATCTCCTTTTGCAAGATTTCCTGCGCGTATCGCAGTCGCTTGTCACGATTTAGCCCAGTCGCCGTTCCTCGATTACCAATGAAGTCTAGAGCAACCTAGTGAGCAATCAGTAAGTACTATTTTACCACACAACAATATGGCCACGTACCTCACGATCCTGGATAACAAATCCATCGTCAATACACGGCTTGAGCATCTCCAGCATCGAAGAGTCATTCATGTCGAAGCAGATATGCTCAAGAATGTCTCTGTCGGAGATGACACCTAATGCACGGAAAACGACCCAGATAGGGATATCGACCTTGATGTACGGAATAGTAGCCTTCATAACACTGCCGGACTAACAGATAAATGTTAGTAACATTTTTCAATGCGAAGACACGTTGTACATACCGCTCGTTCTTGACCTCTATGGTACATTTTGACTTGGAATTGACTGATCGTCTTTCCACCCTGCTCCACGGCACTACGAATTTCGGCCAAGAAACTGATAGGGGATGGTTGAGCCTTTGCAAAGACATAAACGTGATTTGTGGCCATTCGTTCTTGAGCAATCAAGACTTTCTCCGAGCCGTTAATGATAAAATACCCTCCGGAATCATAAGGACATTCATTGACACGATAGAGGTCGCGTTCGTTGAATTTACGCAGGTTACAGAAGTAGGACCGTAACATCATAGGAATCTGGACACTTTAGTTAGACAAGAAGCTTAGACTTTGGCCAAACAGCACTCACCCGACCAATCATGGGCTTCACGTGTTCCAGCGCCTCACCCCCATGTTCAGGCTCCCAGATCATTTCACCAGTCATAGAATCCGGGTCTTCATGGCCAATCAACGTCTGCTTGGTCATTTCGCAATACACTGGAGCAGCATAGGTCAAGTTCCGTATTCGACAGTCCTGCGGGAAGATAGCTTGTGTCGAACCATCGGCTTCGCTGAAGCTCGGGTTTGATACTATAATTTGAGAAAAGTGGATATGATAGCGGCGCTGTGTCATGGATGAGCTGACTGTCATCAAACATGAGAATAAGAACAACATACAGCAGCATCCTTCTCCGACCCAGAATGCTGATCTTGCTGGTCCAAAATCAAGTCTGCGTTCTCTTCAATGATCTCTTGTATAGTGTTTTTGACAAATTCATCGAAGGAATCGAGTTGTTGTCTAACAAGACCTTTCTCGTTGAAGAACGCAGAAATGATATTCCAGCAGTCTTCTTGAGTGAACGACTCGTCTTCTTCCTCATCCTCATCCACCTCTACGTCTGCATAGTTGTTGAGATAACTTTCTGCTGCACCGAGCTGCGAGCTATCGGGAAACGAGTTCTGGGACGGAAGGTAGCCTTGGAACAAAAGTCAGAAATGAACCTACGTGACTGAACGACCAGTATGCTTACTCATTGCCCACGCTGTCGAAGTTCCTTTGAAGAGACTCGACACTCCAACTGCACTGATTGTGTTTCTAACAGATTAAGACGCAGAGATGTAGCAATACGTCCAAGTGAGATGGACGTTCGCGTTAAGGCCACTGAAGTTGTTAAGACGCGACAAACGAGAGTTTGTAACACGACGGCCTTGCTTACGTACGACAGGTAGCTCAGCCCCTGCTGAACGCGTCTCTTGTCTGTACCCGACGTCACTCGAAGCTGCTCGAACGATGCTCGGCGACGACGAGGACGTCTTCGAGAGCGTCGCATGGGAGACTCCGTCTGCTGGCTACCATACCGCTGAAGCACCGACTCCACCAACTGGCCCAGGATTCAAGCAAAGCACCGATCCAGAGGATGCTGCGCAAGAGCGTGGTCCTCATGACCCCAAATGGGAGGGCTACCTCATTCCAAGTGTCCTAGACCCCATAAAGGAGCTTGCTGAGACGAAAGATGCCTATGTCTCGTATCTTATATCTGCAAAGGTAAGCTCTTATTTGTTTATTGGTGCAGATCACTGACTGCTTTTTATATAGACCAACCTCCCTATATTCTCGACTCGCAACCCCTCTGCCCGGAGACGCTTCCAGGACTTCGTCTTCCTAAGGGAACATCTCACCAAGGACTTCCCTGCATGTGTTGTGCCACCTCTGCCAGAGAAGCATCGTCTTGGTATGCTTAAACAATTAATGTAACCCGTGTTAAAGTGCATCTGACGTTCGTTCAGAATACGTCACTGGAGACAGATTCAGTCCGGAGTTTCTTGAGCGTCGTCGACAAGAGTACGTACATCATGACTTATTACGTCGTTTAATATTTGACCTTTATGTTCCAGCCTCGAACTGTTCCTCAAGCGCCTGGCTCGCCATCCGACTCTACAACGCAGTACACTCGTCAGAGCTTTCTTTGAATCAACGGAATGGGTCCGTATTCACGACTAGCTATTGGCCATAATACCAACTAATATGACATTTAGCACGTAACAATGCACCAACACGTAGCCCACCCTCCAACAGGTCCCGAATCCAGTTCAGGCGTCCTCGACAACATCTCCGACACCCTCCTCAACGCCTTCGCAAAACTCCGCAAACCCGACGAACGCTTCCTCGCAATGCGCGACGGGGTCGACAAGTCCGAAGAAGGTCTCCATTCCTCGGAACGAATTTGGAATAGATTACGCTCTAGGACAAGCGGTGAGTAAATCCTGTTTAAATTAAGCGCCTCCATGCGCGACATTTTGTTTTGTCGTTTGTCTGAGGCTAAAGAGATGGCAATCCTGAATCTTCTGGCGAAGACCTTTCTTCCGACTATCATGACTTGGCTGTTGCGGTTCAGGGGCTTGGGTTCTTGGAATCTGGGATCACGGACCCTCTTAACCATTTCTCCAACACGTTATTGGAGTTTTCTGCAATGCTGAGACACCAGGTGAGCAGACGCTTCTACAATGCACACTGGGGACGTTATTAGTCTAACATTAAGAAAGACGACAGCAACGACAGACCCATTCCTCACCCAACTCCGTTCACTCATAGCTTACTCACATGCTCACCGAGCAGTGTTAAGACTACGTGACCAAAAGCAGTTGGACTTCGAGGAACTATCAAACTACCTCTCCGGCGTCACTCTTGAGCGTGATAGATTATCTGCGGTCATTGCTGGGCGAGCAGGTAGCACAGGCCTCGGTCTAGGAGCCTACTTACGAGACAGAGTTGATGCTCTACGAGGAGCAGACGACGACCGTAGTCGTGTAGAACGTATGAAGAAGTTAGACTCGAAGATCAAAGAGGTATGTACAGAGCTATACTTGAACCGCATTGTGCTGATAGGCTTTGAAGTTGCAAGAGGCAGTAAGCACGGCACACGAAACCTCCGAAGCTTTCAGCGACGAGACGCTGAAAGAGCAAGTCATCTTCCAACGAGCGAAGGAAGCGGAGATGAAAGAGATGCTAGGGTCTCTCGCAGATGGACAGATCGAGATGTATAAATCTGTAAGCCCTATTCCCATGCCCTTTCCTGTGCAAACTTGAACTGACTGGTGCGTGTGTTCAAGGCCATCGAGGAATGGGAGCGGGTTATTCCTATCCTTCAACGCATACGAGTTGATATTTAATACTTGTTCCATTCATGTCGCTAGTCTATTTTTGTACATGTTCCAGTCGTTACGGACCATTATAATATTCAGTGCGTTTTATCAAGAAGAAAGGGCTATTTTGAAGTTATTGAGAAGATACTTGGGAACATAATATCGAACTGCGATGAATGGTTGTCTAAAGATACAAATCAAGACATCGAGGCAAAGCAATAGACGAAAGCAGGAAGTATTTAATTACTCAACCCAAACAAACTGACGATTCAGATTCAAACAGATCGGAAAGCTCGGTCATAATCGTTCTTCCACACACTGAACCCACGGAAAGGTACTTCTCCACACAGTCTCCGTGTAATTTGGTGCATCTCATCCAGTGACTAATAATGATATTTTTGTGTCACCCAGTAGGATCAATTAGGTTAAATGCTATGCTTACCCTTATAACTTGAGAGACTGCTGTAATCCCAGTAGAGAAAAAGATAAACTCCAACGAGCTTGCGCGTTCGAAATAGCTAACGTTCTCCGTCACAGCGTACTCCCTCAGTGCCACAGCATCATGCGTATGGTGATATAATAGTCTGTCGAGTAACGACGTTGGTAGGATTTGATGTATCGGCTCTCCGTTTCGTAACGATTGAGATACGAGAGCAAAAGTGGACATGACATCTGTGATCTAAACAAGTAACGCCCCGATTAGTCAAGGTGAAATGTGGAAAACGACGAGTTCAAGCATACGAAATTTGGGTTCAACACCATGGTCCTGCGATTCAAGGATGCCCTCCAAACGGGATCCAGATGCTGTAAAGCACTAAACAGCTAAATCGCATCGAAGTCAGAGTGAAATCAAAGCGAGATTTGGGAATAGTGTCACCTGTTTGAGAGCCGATAGCATAGTCCCTTCTTGTTCCAGTAACTTGTGATACTCTTCTGCCGGCCACGCTCCTCTAATATTTCCTTCAAATTTAGCAGTAGCGGTCTGTACCTGTAACGCCTGAAGCTGTTCCTCCAGAGCCAGCATGCGCGTCCGGATAGGTGTAGCCCATCCAGGCCTCACGGTCGCCGATATTGATGGACGCACCGACTTACCGTCGGCCTCAATCTCTCGAGATTGCTCCGGTCGCTCGTCATCGTTTCGGGAATCCGCCTCTTCCTCTGCAATCCAGATTGACATGAGCGACGAGTAAAGGCTTGATAGCTCGCTGATAAATTTTGCGTTCTTCAGCCGGACTGCTTTGCGACTTGAAATCGGGGGCAGACTACTCATGATAAATGCACAAGTGACACCTGGCGAATCCTGGTTAATTAGGAAGTGCTCTATCGGATTGGTTGTACATACCAATCATGACAAGCACGAAACGTTTCCACGCAATAGGCCAACCAATACCCGGATTACCAACGACTAATATTGAATAGTTTAAAATTCGTAAAAAATATACTTCCACGTATGACGTACCATTCAAATTTGCGTCAATCCAACTGTAACCGACAATCAATGCCAGTGTCGCCTAAACGACATCGGCTATTAGCTATGAATATTTCGATGAACTTATAAAGCTTACATTGAACATAATCACAGGCTGCAACAGAGCTGGTGGAGCATTGATACGAACGAACATCGCAGGAATGACGAGTACGCCGTATGCTGCCGCGACACCGTAAGGATTTCCGTTTCCATTGCCATTTCCTTTAGGTACCTTCCAGGTCAGTGTCAATAGATAAGAGGATTTAAGGTGACTTGCCGATGTACCACACAAGCAGACCTATCCGGAATAATATGATCAAAAGACGCATCTCCCGTGACAAACACAACTCACCGACGACCAACCCCAAGAACGTGCCGATGCTACGCGTTACGATACTGAAAACTAAATTAGCAGGAACGTAGGTAGTCCTTTTAGCAGAGACTTCACCTATAAAACGAATCTGCAGCATACACATTCATTGCTGTCTGAGCCATGATAAGACCCCTAACAAAATTGGTTATCTGTGAGTATAATTGAACACTTGAGACAGGATTAGGTTACCAGACGCCTTTCTCAACGTAATAAAAGTCTATTACAGAAGTTTAGCATTGACCAGTCGCATAACGCTGCGTTGACTTACTCGCTGATGAGCGCAATACAGCTGGGAGCCAAAGAAGGACGGACACGATCGCATATTTCATTCCGAACTAATAACGACACATTTCGTTATTGCAAATATTTGAGAGGGATTTTTTGCTTACCATTGCTTGAGGCGATTTGGTCCACTTATAAACGTCGTGTAAACCGTTCATACACTTCTGGATAATATTTGTCGGCGGTCTGCTATCCGGATCACGTTCTTCACAGAAGCATGGTCAGAGGACCTCGCTCTTTCCACAACAGTGCTTACTCACTGAAAGGTTTTTCCTCCTGTTCCTCCTCCTCCTCCTCTTCTGGTAGGGGGTTTTCTCCAAGAGCTGCCTCCATTGTACTGCCCTTCTCTCTGTGTAGAATGAAGTTCCCAACTGCTCTTAGGCCACTCGGCGCCCACAACCTTGCCCTCTGTCGCTTATGGGTAGTCTTCTGAATGAGCCCGAACAAGTCAATGAGTGCATCAATAGATACGACTAATTGGGCAGCGAATGAAGACGCGATGACCAATGGTCTCAATGGAAGAGCTTTCCGCAGTTGATGGTCCTCGTCGGCCGAGCGCAACAGAGGTAGAAACGGCTCAATAATCGCAAATCGGTCCTTTGCTTTGTATGCCTCTGAGCTTGCTCGTAAGCGCTCGAGTGCAGTATCCAAGGTCGCTTCTTTCTCGGCAAGGACCTGCCTACTTCGCTTCCATCTCGTGCTGTTAATCTGCTCCATCAATTCCTGAGCAGCCTGAAGAGCGTCTAAGCATGCCATACGCAGGTTGGCCGTTGATTTGGACAAGAGCGGGATTATGTCCGACATTCGCACGTTATTCTCTGCCTCTGCAGCATCTCGGCGAGAATTAAGCTGACGAATGAGCTCGGTATCCCCGTCTATACCATCAAGGTTGCGCAGGTCTAGAACAGTGGTATCTCCATCATTCTCTCCGGTATTCGTGGTCGCCCGAGAGATTGACTGAACATTTCTGCTCAGGAGCATTGGAAAGGTAAAAAAATTACCCATACGGGTAACAACGATGCGAAAAGGCTCTTCAAGGTCCCTAGATTGATTATATTAGCTACGACAGAGTAAAACGGGATTCAGATACTGACTTTGCGTCTGAACCATTCCAGCGACCTGTCGTATACTAAATCAGGCTAGAACAGAGCATTATTCGGAAAATAATTTACCATAACTAAATTCCGCATCTATCAACGCGCTCTTCTGTTTCACTGATAAAAGGATCAGCAATTATGTCAGTGTAGATAATTGTTGAAACCTACAGGCCTGCATCGTAAGAATCAACCCCAGTCGTTGCCTCACGCACTGACCAACAATTCCACCGGAATCATCGGCTATCTCTTCTGGTGACAATTCCAGCACGGTTCCATACAACTCTCCGTATCTTTTCAAGTCACCCAACGCCTTAGTTACTAGTGCCTATAACGAGGAGTTAATGAATTAACGCCGTCCCTTAAGTTACGCCGCCGCTTACCAAATACGAATGTGCCATGGTTTCGGGAAAGATGAACACACACGTCACTAAACCGATAGCCATGTACACTCCCATAGATATCAAAAGCGAGCTAAGGATGGTATATTGGGTATTCGGGAAAAGCGGTCCAAACGTCTGATATGCATCTGTCTCAGTAAATGTTTAACGGGTCTATTCTGTCGAATACTCACACAGAAGATGTCCAAGAAGATCTGAGCAAACGTGAAAAACAAGATTAAGCGTGGCCGATAGGCGCGGCCGAGAGCAAATAAAAAAGAGAACACCCCAAACATTACTCCGAAGACCGCACTCGACCTAAAACGGCGTACTAGGTATAGACCCTTCTGAGAGGCAACGTATATCTTACCGAGGGTCTAGAAAGACGCCCTGGAATATTTCAAGTCTAAAAGCAGCATCGGGGTTTGCTGCAGTCGCGGCTCTACAGTTGGGTGTAAGGGGTGGTACAGTTGACAAAATAGTAGGAACGCACGTTTGCTGTGCTATTTCGTAGCTAGAGCGAAGAAGCACGACACTTCGAGCGGCTATCGCTGCTTTCATTGCTGCCGCACCTAAAGCCCACCCGAGAAGTTGACCAAGGATAATAAGAGAGATAACCTATTTGAGAATCGAGATGTTGGACATGCACACGTACTCCAAGACATCAAATGAATACTCACGTAGAAGAACATCTGTATGGGCATGTTGGGAGGCATCATTAATGATCCCAAGAGACAGAAGAATGCACTTAAAAATTAAACAGGAGAATTAGCGCTTCAGTTGAAAGCTACATAAATTCGAATACGAACACATTCCCGAGAGCAATCAGCGATCTGGTAGGAAGGATTACAACCAATGAAGCAAAAGTTGAAACCCAACAGCGAATCAGAGTCTTAGTCTGTCGACGGGAGCGTAAATTGTCTCCAACCCATGGAGGAAACACGTTCAGCACTCGAGAAACAACTGAAGGTCTGTTAACATCGGAGTCGGTAAGATTTTTCGGCTTGGAATCTACAGGACGCTTCGATTCAGGTTCAGGTTCTGTGTTATGCTTGGAATCAGAGTCTGGCATAATGTGGAAGGAGAAGAAAAGAAAGCGGAGGACCGGGCATGGTTCGTTGGTTGGCTTCTATGACCTCAGTCAATGTCGGTGACACGAAGCTGATTCCGTGATCGGCGCCGACTAAATTAAAATTTTAAATTTCCAAACTCGACAGTTCAATTGACAATGACGGTTGTTCTCACTTGCTACGTTTATCGCCCGTTCATTGCTCAGGAGGCTTCCAAACTTGAAAACCGGTCCTATCTAATGCACATAAAGTGGTGTTTTACGCCCCATGCTGCTGTGCGCAGGTGTATTGAACGGGTGCATATTAGTGAATCTCACCTAGCCTGAAACACGGTATTAGTGTTACTGCTTTGAGTGTGCGCCGGACCGATTTGCATGTGTCTCTGCGGCCTTACGTCCCGATCGTGCACAAGTAGTCAGTGTGGAGATGCATGAATGGATGGAAGGTACTAACAGTTAAATAAGCCTCTATTAATGACCAAGGTCCGAATGCTTACAGGCAATATTAATGTCCGTCTTATCTTCCTTCTACGGATGCAGGTGCGGATACACATGAGCAGATATCCTTTTGCATAGACTACGTATACATTGGTACGATCTATTCACTAACGCATCTTCCTCTTTGCACCTCTCGGCCCGTCGTCCAATTTCCAACAATGAACATGGATTGTTTTTATTCTGACCTAGGTATTAACTCATAATCAACATCGCCTTTTGCTTTCTTCAATCCTCCAAAGAAGCGTTTCTTTCCAAGAAGATCTAACCTTCGCACACCTTGCATCTTCTCGAACTCTGCCTCGCGACATCGACGAGTATACGCCTGTCCTGCTTCAATCACCTCAGGTTCGGACAATTTCGCCCATTCCTCATGCGTCATCTTCGTTTGCATGTGCTGATGCATTGCACTTAACACATGTCCGATCGTGATGGGGCGACGGATCGATCTGACGGTAATTGCCCAGGTATCTACGAATTTACCAAACGCCTTGCAAGTTATTCGCATATTTGTCGTTCCGGGAACCACTGCAGCTTGAAAGAGTTGGTCATTGTGGGCTGCAACGAATGTACGAGAACTCTTATCGTTATTGTTGCTTGGTATTTGTGGTAGGTATGCATGAAAAGCAAAGTCCAGGTGCATGCATTCTCGCCCTCTGAGCAATGGACTGATGGTTGGAGGTTGAGGGTGAGCAACATCTGGTGATTTGTCCTTGCGCTCTTCAATAAGATGTAAGATGAAAGGCAACCACATAATTCTGGAAGGACACAGTACCTTGACCTGTTTGACTGTTGTCAGAACGGCTTGTGCGCTGCGATTCTCTGGACGTAGAATTTCTTGCTGGTTTGTTTCCTGGTGCGAGTAAATCATTCTGACGATCGCGCCCCCTGGTACCTGCGATAAGGGTTACGAGGGTAAAGTGCGTATCCTTGGGTCTGACTTACCTTGATTAGTTCTATCTGAGCCGAAGTTTGGATTCTTAAGTCTGCCTATTATCCGCCAAGCCGTTATCCGATGCTCTGGTGGTGAGACCCAGCAACTTTCGCAGATATCCCACAAGTCTTGATTTGTCGGCGTCCAGTCATGGTATTCAACTGGCCGAGGAGGTAGTTCACCCTTGCTAATCGCGAAAATGACATTCGGATCGGTCTTGCAATCTGGATACGGACGCTGTCTTGTGAGCATTTCCTGACAGAATGAGAGGTTATTGAGTATGGACAGAGATGGGTTTGATATTAACTTACGAATACAGTCATGCCGAAAGCCCAGACATCTGACTCCTTTGTATGACGTCCGTCACTGTCGACAATCAACTCGCGCGCCATCCATCGCACGGTGCCGCTCAAACTGCTAGTACCTGCTCCACCGATGGTCGTCGAAGCACATAACATTCGAGAAAGGCCAAAGTCGCATATTAAGGTTCTACCAAAATGATTAACAAGGACGTTGTCCTTGAGAATTGTCAATATTCAGACAATCAAGTAGGTGAATGATTTTTACAGCTTTGAGATCAGAATGTACAACATTCTTCTTATGCAGATAGCCGATTCCATGAGCAATTCCTACTACCTAGTGTACATCCATTAAGAAAGAAAATTTGAGAAGGGGGAAACTGAAAGCGAACCATGCTTTTAATATCACACATTGGCTGTCGTTGAAGATATTCTCTCACTGTTCCATTTTCCATCCATTGAGCGATCACTAGAGGATAGCTTCCTTCCATTATGAATCCTTGGAGAGGTAAGATGTTGGCATGATCAAGTTTCGACCAGACAGACAGTTCTCTAGCAAGGCTCTAAGAAAACCTTTATTTCTGCAATGAGAGTGATGTCTTCTTGTTTAATGCTCACCTTTTCGAAGCTCTTATCCTTCTGAATATGTATACGAAGCCGTTTGACACTGACTTTGATTTCAGGCCTTGGTGCACGGTTCGAGGGTGGTGTCCCTCTGAGTGGAATGGCCGCAGTTCCCACAAATATGTCGCTATATCCTCCATTCATCTGCATGACCGTGGGGTCATACCGAACACTGCCCGTCAAATCGAGATGAGCGAGCTTCGCGAGTGTGTCATTCAATGGGTCCCCTGGATAATGCTTGGTAGCTAGGTCTTTAATGGCACGCGCCATGACGACTCAGACCTGCAGAGATTCTTCGCGGGTGGACACTAGAGACAATGGTGTGATACCCTGGTAGACATTCGAGACACAGAGTGTTTTGATGCCCCATCTCAGTGACGCAGAGCGCCCTGCGCACTGCAGTGACTGCACGGCTTCTTGGGAGTCCGTGAACTATTACGTCATCAAAGCAATGAATTTAAATTTGAAATCCGACTAGTTAGTTCACAAGCTGTTGCTCTCGTTCTTTACGTTTATCACTCACTCATTACTCGGGATGGCATCATTTAATGGACACGAAGTAACGTTCTACTTTTCATGCTGTTATGTGCAGGTCTTTTGAACGGGTGCACATCGTTTTTTTTCTCGACCAGCTAGCGTGAAACACTTGTACTAGTGTCACCTCTTGGAACGTGTGCCGAACCAATTTGCTTGTGTCTCTGAGGCCTTACTTGCCGGGCGTGCACAAGGAAAACCAGTAGGGGATACTTGAATTGATTTAAGGTATTGGCGATCAAATAAGCCTCAAGCTTATGGCCGGGGTTCATATGCTTAGTGCGTGCCTGTCTTTCCTTGTGTAGATGTAGATCCTGTCCAGAATTACTCGTGGACCCTCATTCGCAGGATGTACAGCTTGCAATTTGGGAAACTTGCAAATGGGACTCAACGTTCGCATTTCCCCGAATGCGGGTTCATACGCGGGGAAAGTGCAAAAACCTCGGCAACGTGTGACGTTGAAACTGGCACGCACGGCTCGGCCACCTCTCGTTCACTGCTGTAATTAAGTATAAGTTCTGGGCTTTTCGCATAATTAATTCGGGCTCAGTCTATTCTAATGGTTTGCTTCCTTGAATATTCCGCTTAGTCTCAAGTCATTTACCCCGCCTTTCATCCTGACTACGAGCATTATCCGGTGTAATACCGTGGCTGTCACAGCATGTGGGTGCGCATCCAGCCGAAGGTATAGACATTTCCATAACAATGTAATCTCAGAATCACTGAATCATATTGTTTAAGCGAATAGGATCTTCAATGAATTCTAATCTTGCGGACAATGACGTTCTCGTAGCCCATTGCTTTGCGAAATCACAATGGCACTTCCCAGCGGACTCCTTTCTCGTCGGTTTGTCGGATACCTCTGTCTGAACTGTCCCTGACTCCTGTAGCTCATTCAGTACAAGCTGACATCCGTGAACACATGACATTATTATCGACGGCTTGGCATGCAAGTCCAGCGTCTCGAACGGGCTGGAAGAAATGGCGATGAACCAGATACCGTTGTACCAAACAGATCTAGAGAAATGATTATACCACTGCGTATGGCGGATATAAAGCTACTGGTAATGTCTCAGTCCTCAGCAAACCACGCCTGCATGAGGTCCTTCGCTCAGCTTGCTGTCGGCGCAGCTGCACTTGCATCGCAAGTTTCAGCTCACTGTACGTCTGCTCGTAAATTTTCTTGTAGTTTAAGTGTTGATTCTTCATATCTCCACCGTTTTCCATTGCAACATGTTCCATGTTGATCCAGACACATTCCCTTCACTTGTCGTAAATGGACAAGTCACTCCGGCATGGTTGAACGTCCGTCGGACAAATAACTACAACTCTCAATCTCCGGTTACGGACGTTAATTCCATCGACCTTCGCTGCTATGACTCTTCAGAACCTGGCACAGCAACCACTGTTACTGTATCTGCGGGACAGGAATTAGGGATTGTGGCCGACCAGGCTGTTTACCATCAAAGCACGACGAACATCTATATGGTGAATGTTCATAAAAAGGAAAAGGTCGGATTGTTAGGTATTGACGAAGTTGTTATGTCAGGCAAGGGCTCCAGGTGACGTTGATGGTTGGGCCGGGGATGGCAATGTCTGGTTCAAGGTCTATGAGCTGCCACCAGTCACGAACGGCGGGCAGTCCATTACTTTCCCCTCTATGGGTTAGTTTCCATTTCTCACTAACAGGATCGTAAACTAACGGAATTCTCCTCCAGGCAAGTCACAATTTACTTTCACGTTACCGAAGAACCTTCCATCCGGACAGTAAGCGTTGGCAGCTAACGTTTGGTAGATTGGTAATAATGTGACATCTATTAGGTACTTGGTGCGCATGGAGAACATCGCCATTCACTCTGCGTCGTCGTACGGCGGTGTGCAGTTCTACATTTCGTGTGGTCAACTCAACGTCGAAAATGGTGGAAGCGGTACGCCTGGTCCAATGGTAGCCTTCCCTGGGGCATACACTGGCTACGGTACGTTGTGTGATTTTATTTCAACAGAGAAGAGATGAAAGGGTACCATGGGTTTCGGTAATCTAATGATTACATGTGCATGTGCCGCGCATCGTGGTTATTCCCCTTAGCTTGCTAAATACTCTTGCTGGGGCCATTTCAGCTTTTCACAAAACAACGTTATTGACGGTTATTTCTCGTAATAGAAGCAGGGTTATTGATCAATATCTACTACCCGCACGTCCTTTTCCCTCTTTCTCTGCTTTTACAAGAGTCTAACAAGTGTGATTTGCAGGATTCCGACAAACTACACTCAACCTAGACCCGTAAGTGAACAGAAATTAGAGCTTGTATATATTCACTAACATGATTCAATACATAGCCTGTCTGGTCTGGTTGATGACTGCCTTGGGAAAGAGATGCTGGGATTCTATACTTGTAGTATCAACTGGGAAACGACGTAGAACTACGAATTCGTGTGATTATGATCTAGATTTCCATATGCCTGTACCTTTTCCGGCTTATACAAGGGCAAATATCAATTCTTATAGCAAGGATGGATTACTTATAACTCCATTTGCGTTCTAATGAAGTGAGCATATGTGGAACTATTTGTAAATTCTCCAAGACGGCAGTATTTGCTGAAACTGGATGCCTGTATCCGACCACAGTCGGTATTCCAATGCCACACGGCCAGCACAATCATGCCTTCTTAATCAAGTCAAAGCCTTGCGAAATGGCGTATTTGCGCTTCCTATTTTTAGCCAATTGTATGGGTCATTTTACCGCTTACTCCTCTCAATGCAGGAGCAGGAGCATAAACTTCGGGAGTCTGTGGCTTAACGGCAAGGATAGAAATAGAAATAGGTTAATTTTGAATGTTTCAAAGACTGCGGAGACGTAGTCTTCTATTCAAGTGTTCAATTGCATACTTCGGATTTCCCGTCTAGCCTCAATACACTGATCCGCACCTCCCCCACACTGCAATGGTTTCCTGCAAGTCTCTAGACGGCTTCAATAGTTAAACATTTATTCAGGTATTCAACATATAAGATACACTCCCACAACGCAACTTGAATATGGGTCATTAGTTCTCAAGAGGACACTTACTTTTTGTTTTGTATATTTTAGGGCTTTAGGAGCTTTTCTCGGAAAAACTCGTCCACGATAAAATGTCGGATATTTCCACTTGCACTAAACCGTATCTATTACAAGTCATTCGGCACGAGAAACAACACTGACATATGCTTCTGAACATAACAATAATTTAATTATATGACGACAGATTGCAAGCTCTGGTGGTTAAAATTAGAAAAGTAGTATACTACACAGCTATAAAGAGCGTCGCAGCTAGCTTTCCAGCCCTCAAGGAACACGTCCACAATGAGGTCCTTCGCTCAATTCTGGATTGCCCTCGGGGCTCTTGCCACACAGGCTGCTGCTCACTGTATGATAATCCAGTCTCGACTGCAGGCCTGACAAGAGTACAAACTTGCTGACTGTCAACTTTTCTCTGTTCCTTAGACACTTTCCCGTCCCTTGTTGTGGATGGAACGACTACACCTGCGTGGGTGAACGTCCGTCAGACCAACAACTATAACACACAAGCGCCAGTCACAGACGTCACCTCGATGGACATTCGCTGCTATGATACTGCAGAACCGGGTACGGCCGAGACCATCACTGTCAGTGCTGGACAGCAAATCGGGATCATGAGTGACGGAGTATCACCCAAGTGTGGTTAATGTCTATGCTGTGAGAAATTAACGCATTAATACACTGGTCTATCTCTCATCAAATATGCACCTTAGGCAAAAGCTCCTGGAGATGTGGACGGTTGGGCAGGAGATGGAGCAGTATGGTTCAAGCTCTACGAGATCCCCGCAGTTACCGACGGTGGAAAAAGCATTACATTCCCTGCAGAAGGTATGTGAAATAATCTACGACCACAATTCCAAATAATAACATAAATGATAACAGGACAACCGGGAGTGACATTCACTCTGCCCTCTGCTCTTCCATCTGGACAGTAAGTGGTAGATTTTGTCAGTACTAAACTAGGGGAGAAAATGACAGAGATGAATAGATATCTTCTTCGCATGGAGAACATTGCTCTGCACGTTGCGCAATCATATGGTGGTGCACAATTCTACCTTTCCTGTGGTCAAATAAACGTCGAAAATGGTGGAAGTGGAACACCTGGGCCAACGGTAGCCTTCCCTGGGGCATACACTGGCTACGGTACGTTGTGTATTTTGATTCAACAGAGAAGAGATGAAATGGCACCATGAGAGGTTCAATCTGAACGCGCGAGAGCTTTATCACGTGACTATTGCGACTCGCGGCATGCACGTGACGGAGCATACATGCAGATACTCTCCGAGTCTCCAGTGCCATTTCAGCTCTTTTAAACACAAAACAATGTTACTGACATTCATTTCTATGGGATAGAACCAGGCATATTAATTAATATCAACTAGTAATTACGTAATCATTAAATTAAAATTAAAAAGAAACTAACACTCCTCTTTTCTAGCCGTTTGCATCTACCTCATCCTCCTCACTTTAAGAAACTGATAAACGCGACTTCTAGCTATTCCGACCAACTACACTCAGCCTGGACCAGTGAGTACACATCAATATATCATACTACTTCACTAACATGTTGCAATAATCAGCCTGTTTGGACTGGTTGATTTTATACTTGCAGGGGGATGGATCCAGTTGTTACACTCAAAGTATCACAGAGAGTCGTATTATTGGGGGTATCATCGAGGGTATTTTTATGACTTGTTTGATGCAATACTTACGAGAGGGAAGTCTGTATTTCAGTACTCGTAGTGTTAAAGAGGGATGTAACAAAGAAGTTTTGACGACGAAAAACGTTTATTGTGTGAATTTCATCCAGAACGTTTGCGCATCCCATGCTTGGTCCTTGCACTTTTTGCGAGTACAAGGAATGAGAATATTTAAAACCACTGAGAGATGACTTGTTTCATATGAAGCATCAGCACCCCAGAGGAAATGAGGGAACAGTGGAGTTATTGGGTTCTAATGGTCTATAATCTCTGATAGTCTATTTATGAACGAATGTCACCCTAAATCATTCCAGACTTGCCTCGTCAAACATGCTTTCCATGAGCAAAAACAATAATTTTGAAATACACTGTGATCTAAAGTTCGTATTGTTCAAATGTGTTCAGTAGGAAGGTGAGGTTGGCTCTTGGCAGCGCAGCGGAATTAGACCGAGCTGCTTAGTCATCCTTCGCTTGGGAACATTTGCGCATGGGACTTGGGTAGCTTTACCCGAGTGATCTGGTGACCAAGGCAAGGTTGGAAAGAAGCCTTCAAAAATATCGAGTCATCTTCGACATGTTACAGGACATTTATCGAGAGGTTTACCTCCTCCTATACCAGCATGCCTGGCCATACATCCCACGGATGGCGTCTGGTAGAAGAATATCCTAACACGTCCATCTATCGTCGGCCTCTTGGGAATACGGAACTAGGCTTTTATTGGGACTCCGTATTCTCAGGAACAGCGATCACCATTAGCCACGATGAGATTGTGGCAGAGGAAGGTTTCGAAAGAGCTTTGTTCGAAGAAGCGAATGTGACGAGGGCATGGCTCCGTATGAAGCAACGTTTCCCTCTCTTGGGTGCATTGGTCGACGAATCTCCGGATTCCAATACGGTTGAATTTGTCGTGGAAGAAGCCTTGTTACGCTCGCAGCGCCAAGGAGAAGTCCGTTACACGGAAGTCAAGGACTCAGCAGGGATCAGAAGTCTAACAAACGAACTACTTAATGGTCCTCCGACGGTCTCGAAAGACCTTACTGTACAATTATTGGTTGTGAAGCAGGAGGACGCACCGCGTCTTTATCATGTCCTCGTCTGTGCACTACACTCAATTACAGATGGGGTTGCTGGTGTTACAATTATTCGAGAATATCTCCAGGAATTGTCAAGTTTAAACAAGAGCGAAATCATCCAGGGCCTTCCTCTTGCGGATCGGCTGGCAATGATTGTACCCATCGAAGATTTGGATCCGATGCTTACTGCCAGTCCGACACGGAGGAAATGGAGGAAAGCAATCGCGAAAGTCATTGTGAATATTCGCAGAACAAAACACACTGTAAGTAGTTAATTCAATCCAAGATGTGATAGATGTGATACTGAACCGTTTCCAGGGTGGACACACGCTCCCCATTCGGCCGGGGACAAATCCTGGAAAGCCAGCGCACTCTCGCTCTATCGTTCTATGGCTTTCCGAGGATATGTCGAACCAAGTCATGAACACCTGTCGGGCACAAAGGGTCACCTTCGGCAATGCACTAGCAGTCCTAAGTCAAGTCTCAGTGTCCCGCCTTTTGCATAGTAAACGAAATACACTTGATGGATCTGGTAAATCCCTCATCAGCGACGACGAGTGGGAGCGTCGCCGCAGAGAGCCTATGTATTTCGGTGGTCCAATAAACTTTCGCCCGTATCTTGATCGCACGTGGTATGAGAAAGGCGGTGCATTCGAGATTTGCCTTGCTATTTCATTCAGCTCCTTCGTGCTCCCATTCATGCCTACTCCAAGTTCGAAATCCAGCAGCGAGTTAAACTATGCCACTAGACGATCAGGGCAAGATAGCCTTCCTTCCTTTTCGTTATTCCTTTCTCCGGAACGCTATTTCTATCGTGTCCGTTTCATACAAGCCCAGAGCGACGCACTCCTAAGGCACCCACTCTTCTACGAGATACATAACACAAATGTCCCGAACCGCGTGTCCCTGGCGAGAGCAGCAGCATTAACATGGCGTGCAAACCAGTCTGATGATGCCCCAAGTACTTACAATCACTCGCCGTTCAGATACACAAATATTGGATCAAGCCTTGGTAATGTATGCCGTCTCCACCTCTGCGTCTCGTTTCCGGTCCTTTGGTTGACATGGCATTAGCGAGACTTGATTCTACCGCGCGATTATCCAATTCGCAAGACTCCCCATGACAGAGATGTGCGTTCACAAAGTCTTATTCTCTGTCACCGCTAATCTAAAGTTATAACCGCAGTATCCAAAACCGCTATTACATATATTGAATTCAACTGTACATTTGCGCTGCCGGCCGTCAGAACTTTATCTCGGTGCACTCATGTCGAAGAGGCGCATTGCGTTCATCAGCTATGCTGATATAAACACGTATGATGAAGACGATGTGAAAGAATGGGTGGAGGGTGTGCGTGAGGCTTGCGTTCACTACCTTGGAACGGAGGGACGCGCAATAAGCCCGAGATTATAGATTGGTCTTGCATCAATGATTTATGTCCTTGTATAATCATTATAGAGGTCGGGAAATGAGAATCCATTCTGTAAGAGAATTTCCCGGACTAGTTGTCCTGAAAACGCCTCTCGTCGAGTTGGGTGGAAAGGGGATCATCCTAACCGAAATGTGCCATTTCTCACACGCACTTTGGCGCAGAGCAGCATGGGCGTTTCAAATCCATCGATTCAACAGTCATATCAACATACTCCGAACACGGAGTTCGTTACCATGAACATACATCCTCTTTGGAACATGATGAGCGACAGCTTTCTGAGTGTTGTATATTTACAAATGTTCTGTCATTGAATAAATAGTAATTAACTGGAAATTTACTGTGATAAGAGGTTGTACGAAGCAACACAAACAATAGCACTTGTCGAGCAGTTTGCAAGTCGGCGATCAGGTCTTAAGCAGAACAACTACTGTGTTCACCCACTACCTGGGCTGATGGGATTAGGAAGGTCCTTTGACCACTTGATGCAATTCCTAATCAACGATTGGCCTTATTATAGTCGGAACAGCACTCTGTGAACTAGACTGTACATGATATTGCTTCTTCAATCACCCTTGATTGACAGAGCATTATTAAAGGACTGACCTGGAGGATACTTTGTTCAGGTTGGATCTGTACCTCGGAACCAACGAGGTTACTGAAATTTGTTGCCTCGGGTTCTCCAAACTCTATGTTTGAGACAGTTTTGGAATCTGACCTTTTTTTCAAATCAGCACCGAAAGACATGTTAGATATGTCAGAATAAGTGACGGGTTCAACAGCATCCCGAATATGCATGAGCATGCGAGCAGTAAGTACAGCATGGAGTGCACGCTGAAACCTAATTTGCAATGTTAGAGGAACAATGAAAATATGATTTGTGGTTTGCCTCTTACCTTAGTAGTAGTCCAGAGAGTTCAACCTGTAATTGTCCAGAATTGTTAAACGAAAGAATAGAATCATTATTAGGTACTTACAGTTGCTAATATGACAACAAGCAGATTTGCTGAGGACACCACTGCAAGGAAGATCTTGATTAAGACTAGGGATGAATACAGCATATAGTTCTAACCTCACCAAACAAGCATATAAAATACTGAAAGCCGTCCTCAAAAAGAGCTTTCATCAATAAGCTTTTGTTTTCCTTCCCTGATTCTATAGTTAATGAAAGGCAATAAAGCAGTGAGGCTAACTCATACAGTCTGTAAAACATCTCCAGACGGTCATTATAACCACCACTTTAATTACTTGTGTTAGCTGCACTCTATCCTCTATAATTAAAGCAAATCTCACCAAATTCCTCAACCATAATTAGTACAAAATCGATGTACACAGTCCTGTCAGCTGAGAAGATGAAACAGGGAACTAATGCAGGGAACGGAGACATTGTAACTATTCCAGGTATGTAACTCTGCAATACGCATGGACTTGACAAAGCACACTCACAAATCAGTGATTGTAGATACCTCTGTAAGATAACTACTGATAAGACAATAATGACCTGTTCCATTCGCTCACAAGCTCAGCAAAGAAGAAGGACTAATTTGGACATACAAGGTTGAGAATGACCAGAAATACAAGGACATTCTTCTTTGCTCCCCAAATTGCATACACTCGCATCATCATTATAGCTTCAATAAAATATTATTACTTGTACAATGGATTTATTTTTGCATTTGACAAAGGTAGAACTCACTTTCTGCAACAATGACTCCCATAAGCATTGCCCAAGCCCCTGCCTGATAAATTGGCTTGCACAGCTGAAATAAAATACTTCAGGATAGGAGTTACACAGAAAAAGGAAAAACAAACAGTGGGCCGAAAATTAGGGTACATAATGCCTGTGGAACAGTAGTACCAAAGAAAATGCTCAGTGTGCAGGCAAGTAACAAACACAAAGTTGTAAACGTCACTGACGGATAAGAATAGATATAACTTCCAAGAACACTGGGTACCGAGTGAGAAAGAACATGACTTTACCCATGTTCCACTTTGCTGGCCAGATAAGCCGGACCTATAACAGTGACTTATTCAGATTGTTGCAGATGAAACCTGTAGGCTTCAATTACATACTTCATCAATGAAGGTCAGCAGGAAGTCATAGGCCTAAATAAGCAAAGCTAAGCAGAGCTTAGCACGCATTAACCACATGATTGCTTACAAGCAGTGTAACAGACATGACTTCAAGACACTTCGTTAATGGAGGGTAATTTTATTAGGTAGACAGACACACTGTCAATATACTAAATAGAGCCTACGTTCAGCACAACGTCGTTACATTGAAGTAATTGTTACTCACATTCACCAGTCGAGCACTATTGAGAGACAAGATAGCATTTCTGAGAAAGGTGTCTGTACCCATATTTCTCTAAGTTGGGGCATTAGTGATTGGGTCATTTCTCAAGGCAAGCATACTGCTAGACTAAATACCATAATCTATGTTGATGATCATTTGATGAAACGGTAACCATTGTTCACATCATTGATCCTAACCTGTGGCCACCGTGACCTAAAATGAGATTCTCTCCATTGTGATATTATATTGATCTAGTCTCAAAGTTTACTCTTGATAGGTGCCAAACTAACTGCTGTTTTTGACAGTACTCTTACAAGTGGAAAAGTTAATGTTTGAGTCAGCCAAATTGACTCCAAAGGTGCTCCCGATACTATGAGAAGGTTATAGAAACTTGTGCCTTCCAAGTCGACCACAATCAGAATCAAAGATTGCTGCTATTACTGTCACTTCTCACCTTGCTCCAAAAGGCATGAAGGAGTGCACTGCATTGCTTATCAATGGTTGGCATCGGTGTGCTATCTTCAAATGTTCCGGTGGATGACTTAGTGCGGCTTTTGCTTCTCTGTCTGACCCTGAAACAGACAACGTGCAAGAATCGATGACAGCTATTCGTCATACCTGTCAACCTGGAACGAATAGACTAACAAGATCAAGATTATAGGCTGGCATTATATTCGTAACGTTTATTCTTGTATAGATATTCTAGACATCGGAGCGGCAATGATAAGCACTGTGAGAGTGGTCAGGATAAGATGTTTCGCAACATGAATTGTGTCCCACACAGGATTGTGACAGGAAGGACGCAAGGTTAGGGACTGGCACGGTTACCGCCGCAGAAATCCGCAATCCGTACCGCGGATAGAGCCATCCGCGGATGAAATTCCCACGGTAACCGCAGAAACCGCGGTTGGACGCTTAGCACAGTTAAAAAGAAAAGGGTTACTAAATGTGTTTGATGATGTGACTTTAGTCACAAATGTGATGCTTTACACTAATTACATACAAGTCATTGTGAGAACTTGCTACCTTTCAAAGTTAGCTTCGTAGTATTTTGCGGATCTGCAGTAACCGCGGTAACCGTGAGAATTTCATCCGCGGTATGGTATCCGTGGGAAATTATCATCCGCAGTGCGAAACCGCGGTAAGCTCTATCCGCGCCAGTCCCTACGCAAGGTTTCAGTTCAGTTTACTTATGCTGTGCACGTGAGACGTGTTGTTGTAATCACATGTACATGTACACAGTGCACGATCAACTCATTCAGCTTCTCCAACAGTTGCGGGGCATTGCTAGTCCCAAGTCATTGCCTTAAGATTGTCATGTCGACTTCAAAGGAGCTCACTATTGCTAGACTAAATGACCTTATTCTCGGCTTATTCTCCAGAGCACCGACCTCGGGGACACTCGACCATGCCGTTAGGTACCTTAGCACATGGAGCGGCAGCGAGTGCGTTTTTGTATAATGTCTAACTGAGAACACTTTTACTAAGTGTGTTTAATTTCAGCAAGTTTTTCATGGTATGTTAGCTCACTTGGTTAAAAATTCACAATTGCATTGGACTGATCCGATCGTGCTGTCGCAGATCATACAATATATTTTGAAACTTGTCATACCATGGCTGGACATGCGAGCTAGACTACAGTATCGGTCCGGAATGAGAAAAGACTCTACTAGCACTGCTTCAGCTGCGTTATCAAAGCTCTATTCGAAAATAGGGGAATCGAGGATGCTTTGGAGATTCTGGGGTACGATAGTCGCTATGACTCTTGTGTTCACACTTTGATTATCCTCGACAGGCCTACTTCCAATATACCAATGGCTCACCTCACTTGAACGTATGCCTCCACCAACAAGAGAGCTCCTAACTGTCGAACGAATCCAAGGATGGTCTATGCTCTTCTATTATCCTTTCGAACACCTCTTCTATCTCCGCACTCACGGAATCCTCCCAGAGCGAATCTCGCTGTCCATCCCCTTCGCGAAGAACCTCTCGGTAAAATTAAACACGTCGAAGCTAGCGCTTTGGTCAACACGCGCATGGGCGGTATACGTCTTCCTGCATTTCATACACCTGCGCGAAGATGCGCGATTGTTGAGATTACGCGAGCGTGCGCTTGCAAAGTCGAAGAGCAACGGCGACGCAGAGGCGGAAAAAAGAGATCTTGCTAGGAGGAAATTGGCACTCAAGAACGAGTTCATTGAGAACTTGGGTAACCTTCCGCTTACGATTCATTGGTGAGTAATCTTCTTACACACAGCCCTTCGTGTCCGTTATGTCCGTTTTTACCCGGCGTTCGATTACTCTCACTCCAAACTATTGCATATTTTTCTAAGAAAACGGGTAACGAAGTAACTTACACGTCGCATTTTTTCTTAGGTCGCTAGAACGAGGTCTGTTCTCAAACGAGGTCCGTCAGCATTCAATCAACTCATCTCAAACTCTTCGAATCACTAATCCACGCTTTCACTAGGTCTGGGTCGGAATATTCGGACTCATCGCGGGTCTTGCATCATTTGCAAACGGCTGGTATGCAACCGCCCTCCCCCCATCTCCACCTCCACCTCCTGCTGCTTCACAAGGCGATCCAGCCCCAGAACTCGATGTGCCTGCTGGTGTTCCGTCAGGCAGCGGATCTAAACCTGCAGAATCTGACTCGGAATACGATGAAAAAACGGGTTCTGTTGTCGTCGTTTGAGGTACAGGTGCATGCGATTCAACATCTATGTATCTATGATGGTGAAGGTCTTAAGGATGATCTATGTCCTAAATGCTGTGACTTCTTTCGCACATGTATATTATATCTATTAAGGACACTTTCTTCGAAAATACACTGAAGACAAAATAAAGGCAATCGCAATTTACAGCATCTGCTTCGTTTAAATTCGTCAAGGGGATATTGCATGTAATTTAATTCGCATTGAGTAGTCATCAAAATTATACCAGCATAAGCTACAGTCTTTTGGTTTAATTCTATCCGATCGTGTGTCCGCCCTGGACACGCGTCACGCATCTACAACTCCCTTTCTAGCATGCATCTATATGCTGGGAACAAGCCTTGAAAAAACCAATAGTGAGTTTTGCAGAACTTGGACTTTAAAATTTTGAGACTTCGTACAGGCCATCTCGGACGAGGTCGTCCACTTCTCCGGTACTACCTGAGGCGAGTTGACGTACTTCGAGGAATGCCCATAACTAAGATAAAAGAAAAGACCATCAGCTCAGATAAACAAACATTCCTCGACAGGGAGAGAAGGGAAGCAGTTAGAGTCGCACATACCTTCAAATAAGCCCCCAAATCACTCTTCGGCAACTCCTTCACAGCCTCAATCCTCTCCTGCTGAGCCATCTGCTTCCCCAACTGCCTCAAAATCGGCAACGCACTCTTAAACAAATCCAACTCCGGATTCAATTGCCTCCCAATCCCTTCCAAAATCAAAACAGAAACAACAGTATTCACAAAATCCTCTCGAAGCTTGACGTGATGTTCCCGTAACGCACGGAAAACTTCAATCAAAATATCTGAGATTTTGATTTGTCCGAGAGAGAAAGTCTTGCGTTTAACTTGTAAGACGATATGTTGCATGCGTAATGCGAATGTTTCGGGGTCCCGAGCGAGTTGGGGTGAACGACAACGTTCGACCATGAGTTCGCCGGCGCGGTACCCGTCGAATTCGGCTATGGCGCGGAAGAGGTCTAGGAAGTCACGTCGATTACGGTCGTTTAGTGTTGTCACTAGCCCAGCGTCGATGAAGACGACTTCTGGTATGTAGCCTTGTTCGAAGAGACGATTAAGCTCTGCCCGCCATGCTGGAGGGTCTGATACTAAATTGTGAAGATGTTCGACCACTTCGTTGTCGTGATCGGACTCAGTCGGAGGAGGACCGAGCGTGTCGACGGATTGCTTCGTTCCCGTTAACGAGCTCCACATCCCCTTTAGGAGGAATCGTGTCGAGGGTCTGTAAAATTTGACCATGATATTCCCAGGATGCAAATCCGAATGGACGAAGTTGTCAAGCAGCAGCATGTTCAAGAACGCGTCTAAGCCAAGCTCTGCGACATGTTTATCGTACGGACCACCGCCGTTCGCAAGGAAGGATTCCATAGACAATGCAGTCTGGTACTCCTCAATAAGCACATCCCGACTGCAGAACGGCATAAGCGGACGAGGGAACGATACAGCCGACTTGCGCTGGCTGAAGTTCCGTTCAAACGTCTGTAAATTCTGAGCTTCATGTCGTAAATCAAGCTGCTCCGCCATCATCCCACCAAACACGTCAACCTCTTCAGGTAATGAGAGCCATTGCATACCGGGAATTGACGAGATCATCGTCGCGAAGAAGTGCATGATTTTGAGATCCCGCGAGACGTAAGACTCGACCCTCGGATGAAGGATCTTAATCGCAACGGAAGCTGAAGGCACAGACGGAGGCGGGTCAAAAGGAACGTTCGGATCAAATGATAGGCGGCCTTGACGTCGTGGTCGCTTCGGGTCAAGATACGATGGAGGTATGACGTCTTTTCGCAATGTTGCGCGGTACACTTGAGCAATCGCACCGACACCAATTGGCTTCTCGTCAAACTCTTCAAAGACATCTTCAAAGGGTCGTTGGAAGACACGTTCGATAACACGGCGTGTATGTTGGATCGAATGTGGCTTCCCCCTTGAATGTAATTTGCCCAACCTCGCGCAAAGTTCGGTGGGGAAGATGTCTCGGCGCGATGCCGCCCATTGTGCGACCTAGAAGAATCGCTAAGAATTCACTCTTTTCGAAGGCAAATAGATCAGACATACCTTAATAAACGTCGGCCCCGCTCTCTCCAACGCCCTCACTAAAAACGAATACCACCAAAGCGCACCACTCCTTTCACCTCCCCGTCTCAATTGCACCGTACCACATAACACGGCAGGTGAAGTCAAAATCACAGGAATGAAAATAAAGAACAAATGCACGAAACGTCGTGCAGTGAATATCGGCTCAAAAAGCCAATCGCGCAATATTCTGCGCAGACGTGCAAGGAGAGACCGGCCTTCTTCGTCCGGCGAGTTGATTACATGCTGAGTTTCCGGTCCAACGAGAGTTTCCGAATCAGAGTTGCGTGGTGGTACAGGAATGAGATGGGGTGAAGCGAAGACAGAAGAAAGTAATAGAGGCTTGTGAGGAGTCAGATAAAGCGCGACCCCTCCTACTATCGGGAGTGCCCAGAGGACACGTCTATCGAGACGCCGATTCGGGACCCGGGCACGTTGGAAAAACGGTGCGAAGTCAGGTTTTCTTGGGAAACTATGGGTAAAGCGGAGGCCGTGGATATCGTTCCGAGGCTGTCTTGGGACGGCAACACGAGCTGCTTGAGGACGGGCCAATGACCTAAGAGACGACACAGTAGAAAACGAGCGGAGCGTCGCCGACATGAAAAGGATATTATGGAGTGCTATAAGGTGGATGCATAGACAACGAGCATCGAGGTAAAGTAATGTGGTCGGCTGGTTTAAGAGGAGCAGAGCAGACTGCAAGCTGACCTCCACCCACGGCAAAGCTCAGACTGCAAGTACCTTTGCTCTGTCTCGCGGGGCGGAAAATAATCTACGGGATCGACGGCATGCCTGATATGGAATATGAAGGTATGCATTACGTCACCATAATTGACTTCGTCTAGTATCTACACGGCTGTGCGTGTATGTGCCTACTTCGACAAGACAAGAATCATGTTTGGGTATACCATACACCACACGAGAACGACTACATTAGATAAAAACAATTAAAACAGACCATCACAACTCTATTCAATACTAATCTGCCTTCTTCTCCTCGCTCGGCGCAACGGTCTCCTTTGCGCTTTGTACGTACGGCTTCGCGGTATCGACTGCCGCCTGCGCATACTGTTTCGTCGTGTCTACTGCAGACTGGACGTACGGCTCCGCGGTATTCTTAGCATTCTCAATGTGAGGTTGCACAGTGGCCTGAGCGTTCTCCACATGTGGTTGGACGGTTGACCTTGCGCTCTCAACAGTCGGCTGCAAAGTCCCTTGCGCAGTATTGAGCAGCGACTTCGTCGCACCAAGTGCCGTATTCGCAGCGCTCGCAAGTGTCGAAGTAATGCCCCCCTCTTCACTCTGTGCGGACGCTGAGAGTCGGTCTTGGCCGGCCTGGACATAACCCTGCGCAGTTGCCAATACGTTCCCGCCCACGTGCTTCGCCTGCTCTACGTACGACGTCCCAGTTTGCTTTGCCGCTTCTACGTCTCGCTTTCCTTCTTCTGCCGCTGCATCTGTCTTCTCCGATAATTTGTGCTGTAACACGTCGGCCGTTTCTGCTGTCTGCTGTGCGGCTGCGGGAAATTTCTCCTAAAATACGTAGTCAAAACTTTTAATCGTGTCGTTATATGTAGGTGTCATACCTTTGCGGTACCTGCTGCATCAGCTGCAACCGTCTGCACATCCGAAGCCTTCACTTGTGCCTCTCTCTTAATCTCTCCACCAGTTGTAGATGCTGTGTTCGTCGCATCCTTCGTCTCTTGTTTCGCACGTCTACAAAACACAACTCATCAGCAAACGAACGCCACAAAGGCGTCGAAGTCAAAAATCCGGACGTACTCAGCAGCATAAATTCCCGACTCAACAGTCTGAGTAGCAAGGTTGTTCACAGCTTGCGACATTATAGGATGGGAAATAATGAATAATAATGAGAAGTGGTGTTGTGGTTTTGTGGTATAAGTGCGCTGGATAACCAGGATATATGCGTTGTCGGGACGGATGTATCCCAGCCCTAGACTTTATATTGCAATCACATAAGTAACGCATGACGTCGGTGGAGAAACTTAGAAAAAGCTAGCGCTAGCCTCGAACCGACTCCAGTTGGAGCTTTGACCGATGACGCACTTCTATTTGATTTACACACCCATTTTTATCGAATTATCCCCAAGAAGGGAATTTCTGAATTTAGGTCACAGAGATTGATTGGATGTTGAATTGTTGACATTGACAATGAAGTTAGCGAACGGAGTAATGAACAGAGGAAAACGTCAAATACACGAATATGACTAAAAGCAACTGGATTACTAGAGTCAAACTGAGTCGAATGCCGTACAGTTTAATCTCGACGGTAATTGATCGGTGTTATAGGGGTCTCCGGACCAGACGTTTCGAGAGACACCGTCGACTGAGCCTTTGCCAACTCGTTCATCAAAGTGTCAACACGCGATGCAACCCTCTCAGAGTCCGAGTGTGAAGTAATACCAACACTCGAATACGGTCCCTCAGATACAGATATAGAGACTGTATGCACGTTTGACCCTCCACTACGCCCAGGTCGCCCGTCCTGAGAAGTTGAACTCGTAAAGAGGAAAGGTGGCTCGAGGAAACTCGTAAGGATAGCTTGCGTTGCGTTCATCGTACTCGCCCACCTGCCGGCACTCGACTCTGTCGCCATAGGCAACCTGGATTGTTCCGGTAATTCCTTGTTCCGTATTTGCTCTCCGTTATCATCTTTCACGTTACCGAGCTCCGCGTCACCGTTTTCTCGACGTATCTTCTGTATGCGTTCGCGACTAGATAGACCCTTTGAGAGGACATAGTCGCGCGAATTCAGTGTAGCAAGGAGAGAGTTGCAGTAGACTAAAATTGATTAGAGACCTTACAGCATAGACATAGAAAAAGACGGCCTCACTGCGAGAAACGATAACATGGAATGGGAGGAAATATATCCCATCCGATTTGATTGCATACTGAAAAATTCCTCAGCAACCAATTCCTGTCACGTCAATACCAGCGCTAGAAGACTCACTGCAAGCACTTCCCCAGTCTGCACAATTGCCTGGAGCACTCCACGCTGAACAGAGAACATAATCAACGCGTCAAGTACATTGTTCGCACGTCGTACACCTGTCTTGCGTATGGAGAATAGCCAACACAGAACGATGACAATGCCAACGTCGCATGCCAAGGCAGTTCCGCGAGCAATGTTGAATGCTAGGTGGTTCAGGGGTGCGACGACTATTGTATGGATGAACGCTAGTTTGAGTTGAACCGCGGGCAGGATGAGGCCTGCGCTAAATGCTGTGAGCGAAGTAAGGAAGAGGAGGATTGTGATAATGATTGGAGCGCGTACTACAAAAGACTTTGGGTTAGCCTGTAGCTGAGTAGATTATATGCGTACTCACATGCTCGAATCGTGTTAATGTAAAAGTTCTGCACAATGAATGCAAGGAACGTTGTGATAATATACTCGGTCTGGTGTCGCAAAGATCAGTATGTGTATTTGTCAAACCTCAGAGAATCAACGCATACTGGGAACTCCCTAGGCCGAATATCGATAACCATATCCAACGAACGAAGATTTTACCACGTACTTAACATCCGGATCCAACATCTCTGGTATGCCCCACGACATGATAGAATAATAATATGCGCAGTACATGAACAGCCCCATGGCAGCGCTGTCGAGCACGCTGTAAATACAGCATATAGTCAGTTGACTCCTTGAGCCATTGGGTATCCTCGAATTTCGGAACGCACAAGATGGCGGCAACGAGTATCAGCCAGCCGGGCCCATCCCTCTTGCCATGGTGAGAATAGTAGTAAAAGGTTTGAAGGACCGAAATGCCATATACACTGAACCCATTTCGTTCAGTCGGACAACGTTTTGGGAATTCTGCACATAAGACACTCACATAGCGGCAACGAAGGTGGCAATGAGCGGAGGACCCCAGAGAGCACCGTAGGCGTTCAAAGGAGGTTGAGAAGCACTGTTTGAAGAGGCAGACATTTTCAGGGTGTTAGACGGTAAGACGAAGAAGAGATTAAAGAAGATAAAGGGGAACGAGCAACTAAGCCCAAGCCTAAATACCAGGACGCGTACTTGATACTTAAATTAAATCTTCAACGCCGTAGAAGAAGGGCATGTTTCCACGATTCCCGTCAACATTTGAATTAGGCAGCATTCGCAAGATCGACTTTCTCCTGTGACCTTATGTCCTGTAGAGTTTGCCAGATAGAATGGAAGGGTTGCGAATGATTGATGTTTGATATCTGAAAGGGAGCGAGTTAGAACATGTCAAGACAGTTCCAGGGCGGCATATACACGTGTTTCGACGACAAGCCGAGGATTAATTATTCTTTAGTGAACGTTTAGTCTGCGTCACATTTCCGGCAAAGGATTAGACCATGGAGACACAAGCGCGATTGTCCTCAGTAATAAACACAGAAAGGAAACATCTCAGCCGGATCAGTTCAGTAAGTTTTCGGCTCGCCCAAGAATATGTATTCGCGATTTTCGGCAGCAGGGTACCTGAAGATCGAAGCGAGTAAAGAACGTGGTTGGTTGTACCATGCCACGAATCTGCCTTCCACGACTCTTGGACTCGTCGGCCTTTATGTGGCAACAAATCGCAGAACACCTACAGTAGAAAATGTCTTATTGCATCACATTATAATGCATAAACTTTTGACCAGAATGCATCAATTTCTCATATCTTGACTGAAGCCATGGAAGGGCCGCTCTCGAAACATCACAGTATTGGAATTATAGAATTTCACAGGTCAGGCAGATTATTATGAGGGCTGCCTAACATTGTCCTCCATGCGCGACCGCCAAGCTAAGTGATTCCGAAGAAAATGCAACTATAATAACAGAGTAAAACGCACCTTATGGCCCTGGATAAATCTGTTCACTACCGGATAATGAAAAGAACAGCTGCGTTAATGGGGCGTTTCCTGTGGCATCATTGTTGAGTGGTATTTGTCTGTTGTCAAGCTAGTGCTCATGGCAGTTCAGAGTGCTTCTCGTCTAGGGTATTCCTATCAATGTCAATCCATACATGAGCTTAACCACAAGCGCCTCTTAAATGATATTCAGATCCTTCGTTCCCGCAGCACTTTGCCAATCTCTGGCATTTTGCATTTGCGTTCATACAATTTCAAGATATTCCATATTATACAAAATCGAGGGTCCAAGAAACTTCCGTCAGTTCGTTTAGTTCGGCTTATCTTACGCGAACTTTGATGCCTAGAAAGGGAAGCAGTTATACTAAACCAATGAAAGCTATATGGGACCACTGTCACCACTCTCACCATGCTCAGCAGGCCGCCAAGTCCACCGCTGTTGCCCCCACCAGTCATACTAGAAAACTTGCTTTGCACGAGGAGCTTCATCACTGTCATCCCGGCACTGTTCACCGCGTCCTGTTTTCCGCCTGAAGCAGTACCGCCAGACTTATCGAAGAGTTGGGATGCTTCAGCCATCGCCATAGAAATCAGCGTTGACTTCGAATCCTTTTCCTTATTTTCTGAGCCACCAGAGCTCGTAAACTTCTTGAATGCCTACATATTACATGTAAATAAGGCACATCAATGTCTCTGATATGTTCGAAGATGTGGGAGCCCACCTGCAGAGCAGCAGCACTTCCTAGAGAGTCTGCGCTCATGCTCGAGCCAGAACCATGTTCATATACTTTTTGATGAGCAGATGTTACGCCTTCCTGTGGAATCGATTAGATCATTCTGGCAGAATATGATAGAGTGCATAGCTTACCTCATCAACGGGTTCATGCTTGGATCCCTATGGTGCAATAGTAATTAGATCAGGACACGATCTTTATGCTTCAGGTGCATTAAACTTTACACTGTTAGACTTAACAAAACTCATGGCCGAGGAGAACAGTGATTCGTCGCCAGACCCATGCTGAGTTGCATGTTTCACTGCATAGTCTTCATCCACTATTTCAAAATAAAGTTTATCATCCTTCAATATATGCATAAACAAAGGATCACACAGCAACGCACAGTCTGGAGAATCTGGCCGTCCTGGATCATGCTGCGAGTGCGACGGCCGGTTATATTCGCTGCCTCCCGTCTTCGACACGTTCTCCTGGCTTTTCTCGTAAGCGCTGTATCCCTGCTTAGCTAGATTGACAAAGGTATCCTGTAAATCGCACACGCGACGCGTTCGAGGTAGGCAATGAAGGGATGTAAGGATCAAGGTCAATCTAACTTCAACTGTGTAGGCAGCGAAACGTACCATGACTGAACGACGAGTAAGAAGTAAAAGCTAAATAGTAGAGGTCCCTCACGAGTCGTCGGAGTGTTGGCAAACGAAGTGAGGAGTCGCAGATATATGATTGTGACGTAATCATATTTAGGATCGCACAATGCCGAGCAGCAAGTATGGAGATCAAGTTTCTGAAGAACATGAGAGAGGGGGTGAATGTATTAGCGTAGAAGTACTTCACCAATATGATGACATGTCCGAGCACCTATGTAGTATGTTTATATGTAAGTTACGTAGGAATTTTGAGAAGTCGGCTCTGTGAAGTGACGATGTGGTATCTCTGAAATATGTCCAGTTTCAACGTCGACACATCGAAATTTGGAATAAAACACATATATACGTTGATACAGGCGTCTGACTCGTGCACAGGGGACTCTTATACGGAGACAGAAAGACTTTTCAATGCCCGAAACTACTGTGTCCCGAACGCCCCAGCATATTCAAAGACTATATATTCAAGAGGGTTATTCCATACTACCACACGGATCAATACACGTTTATCTTAATAAACTGCTAGTAAAATGTCCACGTGAAAGTGGAAAAACTATAATCTTCTATATTACATCAAAAACAAGAATCAATGTATGTAGAAAGTCGCCTTGGGCAGACGTATTATTTAATCCGAGCCAGTATCCTGGGCCAACCGAGAGGCAGCCAACTCCCTCCGAAGCCGAATCACTTCTACCCGCAGGTCAGCAACGCTCGCCTGAAGCTCTCTGATGTCTTCTCTAACAGTCTCAGAATTACTGTCCACGGTTTTCTTTAGGAACTGGTAGCCTCGTTGCCGTGCTCTTCCTTTCCTGCGATTCACCTTCGAATAAGCCATGATCAATCTTCCCTTCCCCCTGCCAGATGCCTCAGATGCCACGGCTGTTGTGTCACTTGCAATTGTCGTGTTTGATGGGCTCCGTCGAAGAGGTCTAAAAGTCTGGAGCATTTCAAACGAATCTTTCTTTGTTATTACTGGATTAAACCATTGCGTAGGAGCCCTGTAAACGACATAGCATTAGTTATTTTAACCAATTATAAATTAGAGAAACGTACTCTTCGTCGTCTGTAGATTGATATGAGTTGCTTATTGAACTACTGGGATCAGGACACTCTATCTCCTCGGGAGTTGTTTCGAATTGAACTTTGGCTATCTGGTTGATAGGCTTGGGCCTTGGACTAAGTTGAATACTAGAAATTAAACTGGTAAGTTACAGTAGAACCGTTGAGATTTGCCAGCTTGCCTGTCAAGAGAAAACGTAGTCCCGCCTTCATAGTCTTCATGGTCGGCTGTAGCTCCATCAGGCTGAGTAACCCGCTTGTTCTTCTGACGGAGCGCGGAACGACGTTTGATTGTACCGACTTAGGCATAGTAATTAGCGATGTTTATTGTGGCGCACTCCTTTTTTGCGAAGTTCCTACCTGTTTTCTTGTGGCCTTCGTCAAAATCCGTCACAATATCCCATCCTTTTTGTCGGAAATCTTTGGCACTTTTCAATTGATCTGAATCGTTCCCGCTAGCCTACAAAGGGCTGATCAATGGAGTTAAATGTGCAATTAAACAGATCTAACCTTTGCCAATGCGCAAACATCAAGTTCATGCACTATGGCAACCTCTGCGCCTGCCTACATGAAGTAAATTAAGCTATATACTATAATTAATACAGCTCTACCACTCACTTTAAGAATGGAGTCTAAAACAAACTTGTGATCTACAACGGTCTGTGATTCGGTTAAGCGCAAGCACGTTTTAAGATCAAGAGTTTACACCGGACCTCTTCGAGCTGAACATCATCATCTGAATCGTATACGACAGGGATAGGACCTGATTCCGCATCAATGTCCCTATCCATATCCATATCCTCTGGCTCTGCAGCCGCTCTCATCTTCGTAAACATGAAGAGCCTTTCCTTGACACGAAAGCCTCTCAGGAAAATGCACTGATCTTTGAATGGTTCAATATCGTCACGATTTATGTCGCCATTGTGGTTTCTAAGATGCTGCAACGGAGGATTATACGGACTTGGGCCAACCCGTATGGGAACGTGAATCGCCGATTCCGATGCTCCTGAAATACTAGTCGAGGCTGAAAGCGCAACCGCATCACCCGCCTGGATCCTAAATCCTCCGTGCGTCGCACTTTCAATGAGCGTTGCAGTTGCCCAGTTCGCGGTCAATTCATGTCCTGTTACCAGGATAATGTCTTCCAGTTCAAAGTCGAATCCCAAGTCACGAATGAATCGCCACCATGACTTGTAATGCTTTAACATATAAGACCGGTAAAGACCCAGACGAGATGCGTTCACTCGTTCTGCACTGTGCTTGATACGAAGCGCAGCAGCCTGTTGATTGGATACCAGAAAGTTGACCCTAGCTCCAGCGGCTGCAGCAGTCCTACACAAAACATGCATTAATAATTCACTCAAACGACAAATAAAAGGACAATTACACTGAAAAATCTACGTCGCCTTCAATCCGCTTGACATGGTGAGATTGCAGCCAAGCTCCTGGATTGATTTCATTGCTGAATGTCGTTAACCGGGAGGCGTCCGGTAATGGTTCAAAGCCCTCTGGCACGCCGTACGTTGAATTTATATCATACTCAGCAGACGACTCCGACTGAGGAAGTGCATTGAATATCCTCCGGAAGTATCCGTTCTTATGAGTAATACCGACATCACCAACACGTACACGGTCGTACTCGGCTGGATTAGGCTCGTACAGTGGGTAGCCGTATCCAAGTATCCGGAGCTCCTTCTGATAGACTTTGCACTCTAGACTCATCCCTACAGGTTGTCAAGCAAGAGCAACAACAATGGGAAGAGGGTAGATCTGGAGTGATGGAGGATATCGTGACTGTATATATGTCCCATTATTGGTCTGGCGCTTATTTGGTGCTGAATCTTTGACTGCATCAAAACGTGTTGCTGAAACTCAAACATCCCATTGAACGTGGAACCTAAGTCCTACATATGTTACTTAGGCGCCCATACAAGGACCTGAATATTCGTAGCAGACAAGTCATTACGAGGTTCTCGAAAAAAATCGAAATAGCTTGCAAAGCCTCACTTTTGTTGTCCAAGCAGAGACTTACTCCAGAATGAGGTCCGAAATTTGGCACGAATGTCTTGTCATATTGGTGAAGTACTTCTACGCTAATACAAAGTATCAATGCTTTGTAAGGAACGTATGTCTTGCATCGAATTAGCCTTTCGTCGCTGGTTGCTGGTCCATTCAACCAAGTCGTTGACTTGCTGTGAAGCATCTCGTGGTCACATATGCCATGTATGTTATCTCTCACCAATGAAAAACAGAGATCGGATGGTTGTTCTGGGGATATGTACACTGTTTGCATCTGTTCGGTGAGTCGTGAGTGAGTAAACTTAAAAGCATGCCACCAGACATGTAGCTCACATGATGACTAATCACATACGAATGGATGATAAATTATAATCAAACTGATTTTCCGCATCTCATTCGTATTCCTGGAAAATGACTACAATTTGGCATTACAGGCCATCGGGGTGAGGGTGCATCTTGAGGACAAAGTAGGACAAAGTTGGGGCTGAAATCTTTTTTCCTGAATATACAGTAGTGGACGAAAGAATTGCACACTTTAAAAAAATTTGTATCTTACTCAAAACAAAATATTTTTTAAGTCTGTAAAATGGTACTTGTATCCTAACATCTGAATTGTGAGATTCAAATTAGAAAAATAAAAAATATTAAAAATTGAAGTTACAGTATCTAATCTACCAAAAAACCTCATTTTCAGCTCTGCAGCTGCTGCATATATGCTCAATTAAATATCAATAAAACATTCTTCTCAAAAATTATAAGATATATAGCATTTTTAATCACAAAGATTGCTAAAGTAGTTGTTGAGTTGAGTTATGAGCCCAAAAAGTGGTCATTTTTCGCCCGTGACAGAGCAGTGACAATGTCGCGTTTACGCGTCTCCCGTGTCTCCCCCGCTTCTTTCATTACCGACGATGTCGCGGAGTCCACAAAGCCAGCCCTTATTCCTGTCAAATCCTGACGACGATACTGAAAGGGAGGGCGTAATTAACAACTCTTGTAGGGCTCAGATTGATGCCGTAAGTTTCCAATAGGATGCATGTATTCTGACCGGGCTGAAATTAGAACGCGTTTAGAACACGAGCGACGCGGAAATGCCAATTGACGCCGATTCTGAATTGCCGCGTTCGGGAATAGCGAGCTCGCAACCGCCTCCATCAAGTCCCCACAGTGAAGCTGTATCGATGTTTGACAGTGAAGAAATGAAACCTGAAGCCTCTATGTCGACAGCCAATACCTCTTTGGGATCCTATTCGCGGAAGAAGCGAAAGATCGTGCAGATTACCCACCCTGCTCCCATCATAAAACGCTCTGAATATTATCTCGGCTCGATACTGGTCGGTAATGCTTGGAGCACTGTGAGAGGCACGGGCTACGTGAAGAGTGGGGATCCCATTCTGGTGGAACGAGATACTCTACAAGATGAGGCTGCCAAAAGGGACGGCAAGCTCAATGGAAAAGGAAAACAGGGGACCATAAGCAACATGTTCAAGCCTAAAGGAGGACAGTCTAAGAAAACAAAAGTAAATACCATCGTCAGACTGACTAATATGAGGGGATTCGGTACGTATTGTGCCTTCCGCTGCACTAGATAGGCCGCTTATTAAGATATATTAAAGAATTCGGAAGGCTGCCTACTGACGTTTCGAACTGGGTCTCAAAACTGCTTGATCTCGGTATGATATGCGCATATAATCTAGATGAGCGCCGAGTTAATGTTTGGCAGGTATTATCAGCTTCAATGGAAGCACAATGGTGGATTGTCCCGAAAAGCTTTATTCAGGCGCAGATATGCTGGTCTCTTTGTCGATATATATGCTACCATCGGCCTTCCAGCGCTTCACTGTCAATCCGTCTTCCGGTACCGAACCCGCACGGCCCAAAACGATGTTCAATGAAGGATCTGAGACCATGGAGGAAGAAATGCTTCGTCAGCGCAAGTCCTCGTTAAAATCTTTATTCGACAAGGTCGGCCTTAGAGCAATAGCTGGTAATAACGGCACTCTCGATAAGGAGAGTATACCTCCAGGAGGTTCCTCTCGGGCTCCAGCTTCGAATGGGGCTACTGGGAGAAGGGGTCTGGATAACGTGGATAGTCTCCATGTCGAAAACGCAGATGAGGAGAACGACGAGGAAGTTCTGAACGAAAATGACTTAGACGCTATATATAGACGGTGCGTAGTTTTGAACTCGCTGAGATTCTAGCGACCTATTTTAATTCTGGCTTCTTTGATCAAGTGCGCAAGCCAACGATGCTGAAATGGGGGAAATGGATCCTTGTGACACATTTACGCTCAAGTTGAGACCGTATCAAAAACAAGCTCTTTTGTAAGGTCTAATTTCGTGGGCAAGGGATTATGTTGGCTGAGCCCTACGCTAGGTGGATGTACTCGCGCGAAACCGGTGCGGCGTCTGCTCGTCAATCAACTTCTATGCACCCGCTATGGTCCGAGTAAGTTACTGGATCACAGTTAAGCGTCGTTGTTCATTCTCCATCTAGATATACATTCCCCCCAGAACCAGACCCTGATGGCATGCTCGACTTGACCGACGAGGAAATTCCCTTCTACTACAATTCACACTCTGGTGAATTGAGTCTTGAGTTTCCTTGTGCGGATAACATCTGCAGAGGCGGAATTCTTGCAGACGGTAAGTATGACCTTGTTATCACTTTAGGCGAGAGTTAAACAGCTGACATACTATCTTCACCAATAAAGAGAGTAAGTGTGCTTTTGAGTCGACGCGGTCAGACTCAGTCTAACTTTCTTTATAGTGGGAATGGGTAAGACAATCATGATATCTTCTCTCATTCAAACGAATCGTGGCGAGAAGCCTGAAGAGGTGGTATCAGTGGAAACCGACGAAGAGCAGCAACGGACCAAACAGAAACAGCTGAGGCTAGATGCTGCCTTCCGGCCAGCTGTGAAGAAGCAGATCATCCGACGAAGCAGAGCCACCCTCATCATCGCACCAGCTTCCCTACTTGATCAATGGGCTAATGAACTACGCCGCTCGAGCCAGGATGGAACAGTCAATGTCTTGGTGTGGCACGGTCAGAGTCGTGAGAACCTTGAAACGTTGATTGATTCGGACGTGGACGCAATCGATGTTATCATCACGTCATATGGCACCCTTTCGTCGGAACATTCACGCCTGGAGAAGTCGAGCGACAAGTCTGTGCCGCTGTTCAACAGTGCGTGACCTGTCTATGCTCGCATCTTACTTATCGACACCGTTTCGCAGTCGAATGGTTCCGCGTCGTATTGGATGAGGCTCACAATATAAAGTCGCGAACCAGCAAGACGGCTAGAGCAGCTTTCGATCTCAGGGCTCCACGGCGATGGGTGCTTACAGGTACATCCTTACCCGGAATTAAGATTGCTTAATATTAATTTCGCTTCAATAGGTACACCGATTGTGAATCGCCTTGAGGATTTGTATTCTCTTCTGTACGTCACAGGATCAATCTGTGGTAAATTGTTGCTCACATATTGCACAGCCGATTCTTGAATTTTGCGCCTTGGTCAGACCACTCGTTCTTCCGATCCGTCGTCACTCTCCCGTTCCTCAACCATGAGCCCAAAGCCCTCGAGGTCGTACAAGTTATCCTCGAAAGCGTTCTGCTTCGTCGTGAAAAGACCATGCGAGATCGCGATGGCAATATGATTGTACAACTGCCGGACAAAGAGGTAACTAACTCACCGTCACGTTGAGTGATGTTTGATACATATCTCTTTGCTCCTGTAGATAAAACACGAATACTTGGAATTTGGTCCATTAGAGCGCAGGATTTATGATGGCCTTTACGACATTATAAAACGGAAGTTTGACAGCCTAAACGCGAGCGGCCTGGTTGGAAAGAAATATACTCACATCTTAGCAATGCTTATGAAGTTCGTGACGAGAAGAATGACGATCACGACCAAAGGAAAATACTGATTTGATTGTAGATTACGTCGAGCGGTATTGCACCCGAGTCTCGTTTTGCCCGAGAATGAGGATGGCACCTCGTCCGACACGGGAGGCGGCATTGTCGACATCAACGAATTGATTGGTCAGCTTGCGAACGGTGGGCAAGGTTCCGAGGAGACCAGTGGCGGTTATGCGCAAACTGTTCTGAATAGTCTATCCATGAAGGAAGACGAAGAATGTCCGATCTGTATGGATTGCATGCAGGAACCTGTGCTTCTTCCTATCTGTGCACACAAATGGTACAGTTTAGCTTTACATCTTGAACTCCAGCATTGTAATGTCATTTCGTAGCTGCAAGGATTGCATTCTGGCGTTCCTACAGCGTCAGTCAGAGAATGGAGAAGAAGGCTCTTGTCCGGTGTGCCGTTGCGGACCTGTGAAGGTCAGCAACAGAACGCCAAGATTGTGATACCTGCAACAACTGATGTCCTGCAACCTTCCAGGAGGAGCAGCTTTTAGAAATAGTCCGACGAAAGAAGGCGAGAGCTATGAGCATTGGAATAGCTCCTGAAGCGGAGGAGATCATTTCGGATGAAGCCCCTTCCTCGTCTCCAGCATTTGAGTTGCGCAGAAATGATTTCAAGAGTTCTACGAAGTTAAATGCATTGATTCAACATCTACGTTCGTCACTCCTTGCATTTCCCAGAGTTGGATGCTGAAATATGGACTAGGTCGACTGAGAGACCAGGATCCCTGTTTCAGGGCCATTATTTTCTCACAGTTCACAAGCTTTCTTGATCTGATCGAAATCGTCTTGGACCGAGAGGGCTTAGCATGGTACCGCCTTGATGGTTCTACCGAGATTAAGAAGAGGCATCAGGCTATTTCCAACTTCAATAAGCCTTCTCGAGCACCAAAGGTCTTCATGCTGAGTTTAAAAGCTGGCGGAGTTGGTCTCAACGTACGATGAAATTTAATATTCTTTACTCCATTTGCTAAGCCTTTTTCACCACAGCTGACATCGGCAAACCATGTGTTTATGGTGCTTCCTAGTGATTAACCACGACTTTAAATAAAGCTAATTTTACTTTAGATGGACTGTTGGTGGAATGCGGCGATTGAAAATCAAGGTTAGCGGTTCGAGCTTGAGTTACTCAACGTGAATGCTCACGGTCAATACTTGTCAAGCAATCGATCGAGTACATCGAATAGGACAGGAGAAAACTGTCTTCGTAACGCATTTCATTGTCAGTGTAACGAGCAGCAACTGCGCACTTCTTAAGCTGACTTGCTGCGTTGTAGGTTTCGAATACAATCGAGGGACGAATTCTCACGATACAGAAGAGGAAAACTGCAATCATCAAAGAAGCCTTCAAGGGTCAAAGTGGGGCTGATTCCGAATCGATGGAGAATCTCAGGATCATGTTCGGTGAAGAATGATACTCTTATGAACGCTTTAAAGGCGCCGGTCCCGTTTGAAGCCTTGTCCAGAGTGGAGGCTCTAGTCGTTGTAGTACTTGGATCTTGTCATATAGTTCACAAAACATAATCGTTCGTGAAGGGATGTCAACTTCTCATCGGCAGCGGCCGCAGCTTAGCATCGAAGAGAGGTATCTGTGCAGGACGATTCGCTGCGAAGATTCAAAAGCGCACATCATACTCCGAACAGTAATGCCTCGTTAGTCTAGTTCCTTCATTGACGTTTGGTTTCAAAGAGCACCTCACTTTCTGGGCTCACAGCGACCAAGGAAGAATGTGTATAGTGAGGGGAGGTTAGGCAATGTGCAAAACTGTACTAACAAAACGACAGACGGTACCGTCTTCCTGCAAATCTAAGCAGCGAGTGATCCGACCCTTACAAGCAGCAGTTGAATATGCGATAGAAGAATAAAAAGCAACAAAGAGATAGATGAGTAGTAACACTAGTGCTGGCAGTGACATGACACGAGAGAAATAATGACAAGTAAACAAGACAAATTGCGAGAAAGAGCAGGGAATTGATGGGGGGTGATCCAATTGAGCATCGAGGAAATATGTTGCATACGAGGGTATAGAAGCAATGCATGATCGGGAGCAATCGTAACCATAACGCAAAACAATATGAAAGAATGAACTACAAAGCTAAATGTTCGAGGAAATTGGAGCAAAGAAAATATAAGAATAGAAAAAGGAAAACAAAAAACACACCGCTTGCGACAAATTGCATAAATCAGTGATAGGCAACACTACCAACTCCTATCCGTGAGTATGGTGAACATGTGATTGGGACTCGTCTTCCCAAGAACCGAGTCGTAAAAATCTTGCCAAAACTTCCTCCGACGTTCGTTTGAACACGTCAACACCAGTCGCAGGATCCCATTTACGTCCAGCTGGTCTCTTCGGCTGTCCAGTCGGTGGACTATCCACAGGAGACGCAGGTCCCAACGGTGAGTCAGCTGTCTCTTGTGATGATGTCCGAACAACTGCGTGCGGAAGCGGCTGTGGCTGTGATTTCTCAGTACTGAGTGACGCAGGTTTTGCAGCCTCGCTTTGCCTGCGAGTGATTGGGGTCTGAGTACCTGGCGTGGCATTGGGAGGAGTGCGATTAGGAGATCCAAACGTGTATACGTCATGCAGTCTAGGTGACAACATGCCTGTTGGCAGCCCATGAGATTGGCGGGCAGGGGGAGGCCTGATAAATGCCTCTACGTTGGCCGACGAGGGCGTAGCCAATGCTGTCGGTTCGAGACCCGTCGGTAATTCTTGCACCGGCGGTTGCTTTGGAAGCTCGATATGCGGTTTCCCACTTAGAGGGAACACGGTGGAGCTCGGTTTTGGAGCATTCTTGCTGCTCATGTTTCCTGTAGAAGTCGAAATTACTTGAGACACCTGTACCGCAACATTGCGCACGTCTTTAGGAACGGTTTGCACACCATACGATCGATATTCTTTTTTGCCACTCCGTGCACGTGTTGTGGCCGAGGGCGGTGTACTTAAGCCAGCCTTTGATCCTCGCCTTGACCTTCCACCATTCGAACGTTCGCTACTTGAAAAGCGCCCTGCGTCACTGTCGTCGTCGTCGACTTCATCCTCAACATCGCCATCCATGCTGTTTGCATCCGACTGCTCACCACGGCTCCTGTAGCTATCGGAACGTTTTCTTATACGAGGAGGTGGAAGAGTCAGAGGCAGCGATGTTGTCGACGGCTTCGCCAGTCGCGCAGCGTACTTCTGGATACTTGGCACCGAGTCCCAAGCATTGCTATAACCTCTTGCACCAGGGAAGCCAATTGAGGGAGAAGGTAATTGGATTTTCGGGCTTCCTGCTTGTGTTTTCTCTTCTTGGGTCATATCTGGAGTCTGTAGTTCGGTCTCCTGTTCGGGCTCGGTATGAGCCAAGTTTTCAATGTACTGGGCGTTAGGAGGCCCAGTTTCACCCTCGGGAAACACTCTGCCTGGTATGTGGCGTGGCTTTTGTTCCCACGGGAAAACGGAAGTGACTTTCGAAATATCGGGCTGTGGTGGCTTGTCGTGTTGGAGACCCGTGACATTCTTGTAGTGACCTTCTTGGACAAGACGCGTCGGAATATGCGTCTGTGGAGGCGGTTGGAAGAACTGTGACGTAGTTGTTGTAGGACCAGTCAAGGCATCGTGCATCTTGCCAAAGCTAGTACTTTGGGGTATATCCCAAGCGTTTGGGAAATACGCATCCGGAGGAAAGGCTGAAGTAGTAGGTGGTACATTTGGAGGGGGTTCAATTGCTGGATTCCAACTAAGGAGTGGGGGCGAAACGGGCCTTCGAGGCTCACCTGGCTGGGCTTCGTGATGCTGAGTTTGATGATCTTGCTGTTCAGTATGTTGATAAGATATTTGGTCAGGCCGAGAGTGCGTAAATTGAGACAAATTGCCAACAACACCAGAATCCTCAGTTGAAATCGAATGCTGACTCGAAGGATGACTCTGGCCGCCTTCTTGTTGACTAGGCAAATTCTGTGTAATGGACGCGGGTGAAACAGAAGCAGACGGTGGCAACGGTAGTGGAGCAATGTGAGGCGATGGTGGAACTTCATTCGGACCAGGGGTAGGAGGAGATTCCTGTCGCAGAGATTCGTGTCCTTTCCAGTGCGGCTGTTCAGCGGTAGGCGTGCGGGCACGACCTTCAGAGACTTCGTGTTCACGGTGCTCTAGCATGGCCGATTCCCGAGGAGGCTGTGGTTTCGGGCGCATGAGATCTACGCGACCTTCCAAGGGAAGGCTGTGGTACTCTCCTTCACCTGTCTGGCGCGAGCTAGAACTACCTCCTTCCATTGCCAGCTTCCGTAGATCTTCCAACCTGAGCACTTCTCCATGAGCCATGTCAGAAGCGGCTTGCTTATTTTCGCGGGGAGCGTCCGCATTGTCGTCCCATACGTTTGAATACTTCTTTGCTTCAAATTCGGCTTCCGTTGCGGGGACGAGTCGACGGTAATTTCTATCATAAACGTCAAACCAGCGATCCACTAAAGAGCCATATGCATATATTGGAAGTGAGGTCTGAGATAGCGGAAGTTGTTGGGAAACATGCTGCTCTGAACTGGATGCTTGATGCTGGTGTTGGAGATTTTGAGAAGCTGACGACGGAGCACGATAAGGAAGCTCCTTCCACGGTTTGTTCTCTCCAATGAAATGAAGGACAGCAATTTCACTACCAAACCGCTCGTATGCGGGAGGGTAACTGACCAGCATTTATCAGCCTACATGATGAATATGACGACAGATAGGACTCACTTGTATTGCAGGTTAGGGATTGTATTGTAGATAAAACTGATCCGATTCCAGTTGCTTCCACGCCACTCATTTAGTACACCTTGGTCTCCTCCGTCCCAGCTTCCTTTACTTTTGACTAGGCTCAGAATTTCATTGAATTTATCTTCACCCGGAGAAAGGACCATTACCCCGGAGTTGAAGATATCCGGCCAACCTATGTCCGGCGCCGCGGAGAACTCATGCGGCAGAGAAAATAGATGTGATATGGGCCGAATGGGGAGCACATCAGCATCAAGGAAAATTATTTTGTCGAACTGTGCTAGACGAAAGACATGTAGTTTTGTGAGGACTGTGTGTAGATCTGGCCGACCTGTAAGATCCGTGAAGAAGCCGTCAGCGTATGATTCATGTGGCACAAGGTCAAATGAGAAAGCGGAGACAAGCTGATAGGAGACTGGGCAGAGAAACGGGCAATAGCCAAAACTACGTTTCCACACTCGATCACGAGTCGTAGGTTATGACCACCACCTCCCAAATATAGCAGAAGGATGGCGTACGTTGCTCATTCGTTTCGCTATGTTCCGTGAACACGTTGCAGTAGTTGGATAAAGTCTAAGAACGAAAAAAAGGAACGCCCGGGGTGCGATGTTGCGTGGCACAACGAACGGGATGGAGTGGCACAGGTGAAACACTCACCAAGCAATTGAAGTTCGGCCGACGTGTTCTCCTCAATGACTTCGACACCAATTACAGAGTCGAAAGCCCTCCGGAGGTGCTTTATAGTTTTGACATCGACGGTTTCCGGTGTGACAAGGCAAACCGTCTGGAAGGGGACCTCCGGGTCAACGGGAGGCGAGGGATGAACTTCCCTCAATGCTGCTGCTACCGCAAGTGCGCCGGGCAAATAGCCGTCTGAGGTGACGAGCGTAACGAAAGCATAGCGGGCAGACATGTCGTTGCGTGGTTGACCCACGACGCCCAGGAAGAGGCGTTGGTCAAGATGAGAGACGAACTCCGACGGGATAAGATACTCCCGAAAATGTCACCCGTGACCTTACAGCGCCACCACTACTGACTCTACGAGCCGCAGTCTCTCTACCAGTGCGCCTCAAGCGCCCTTCAGCGCCAGCGAATGTGTTGTCGCTGAGGATGAGGCGAAGGGAATAGAGAAGAGTTGAAAACTGAAGAAATGGGGGATAGATCGGGCCGTCTTCCCACAGAAGAAATGAATGCTTTTACGCGAAAAGAAACCCCTCGAAGCACGCTTTTCTTCTTTCAACCAGAGCCTCGACCGTCTCTCTCTGTCTCTCTCACCCATGGGACTGAAGTCCGAGAACTATATGCGCCGCAAAGTTTGTTCCACCGTCACCATTATGCATTTAAAACCTCAAACTACACAAGTTGCCTCATGTCTCCGCCCCGATCACACTCAAAAACGCGCTTGTTCGGATGCTCGCGTCAGGGTCACAACATCGCTGTTTTCTAGACCAACGGTCATGACGCGTCATCACCAACACCGTACCTGGGCAATGATCGGCTTTTCGACATCTTCAGCCCAAGTTCGACACAATCACCTCAATAAGATACGAATTGCCCGGTAATTGAGGTTGAGAAGAAGTGGGTGTTGCTAATACGGTGCAATGGTGCATCGCAAAGATGTATCTCAGCTGTCGACACCTGATAGGGCGCGAATAAGACCGATTAAGAACAATATCAATGGATCAGATCAGACGAAAGAGCTGCAGTAGGGTGAATATTACAGTACAGTACGCGAGCAATTAATTCACTCCTATAGGTGCACTACCAGAAAGTATAGAGATGTCCAAGTCAAGCTTCTGAGAAGGCGGACATCTAAATGTGATCATTACTCTCGAGTGCCACAAACCCCAACAACTACAGGTCATGCCATAACAACTGATCATCCAGAGAGAAAGCAAGAAACGATTCTCAAGTCGAAAAATATCGGCAAATTCCTTCTGGAGACCCTCGAAGACTTCAATTTGAGCGCCAATCTTCCCGCGAACCTGTCCATCAGATAAGTAGAAGCATACAATCTGGTCTCTCGTCGGGTATCGTAAGCCGCTTAAACTTCAGGAACGTGCAGTGTGTAACCGTCGTTCCGATTGTTTTCTCCTCCTGTGATTGGTCCGAGCAGGAATACTTACAACCGGGTCTTGCATGCTTGTACCGAAGGAGTCGCATTCAGTCCGACCAGAATCGAGAACGGCATTTAATTTTACTCCTTGCCTGGATGAACTGACTCGGACGATGCCTCTTTCGGTCAAACACCAGTTCAACTAGGTTGGCTGAATTGGTTCCGCTGGTCTCTTCATCATGGTAACATGCTATTAAGGTCACAGAGCCAGGCACAGGCATAAACTATCGCATACATATACTTCTGTGGTTTGGTCCGGCGTGGCATTACATGCGTTAACACCCCTGGTTTGCATTTATATAGTATCACTATGCATTTAACTTGAGTCCTCAATAGAAATATACAAAGCAGCGAAGAGCATTAAGTATCATTCGTCTATATGATTGCGGGCACTTGATGCTACGCTTTCTATATTACAATCGTAGATGGATGATAGCACTTAAATATCGGCAATAACAATAACAATTCTCTAAAACTACTCAATAATCCCAGCATCTGAATAAGAAGGAAGCGTTGGTGAAAGGTTGGCTCTCAGTCGGTCGAGATCTCGTCTTATGTCGTCAACATCCGCTCGCAACCGTTCTCGATCACCGCTCGTCGCATCCAAAAGAGCCCTGATGCGTACGCTCCGACCAGCAGTAGTAGCATATGATTGTGATAGCTCGCTGGGCAACATATAATCTGTGCTCCCCACTTGAGATACCTTTTCGCCACCACTGCCGGTGCCACTGCCACTCAGGGCACTACCACCGTAAGCTGAGGCGTACCGTTCGCGATAGTACCGGTCCGTTCTGGTGACATTGGACGGCTCTGGGAATGTTACGGAGGCAGGTGAGTACCAAGGTATTACGGACGAATCGTCTCGCATAGTTCGACTTTGTCTCTGCCGGTGTTTCCTAAATAAGTATCCGCCAATTACGATGAGTATGACTGCGGCGATGCCACCAATGGTGCCTCCGACTATTTTGCCGACTCTTGACTTTGATGACTGGGAGGATGCGGATGCAGACGGTCCGGAGGAAGAAAAGCTCGTTCCGCTAGATAAGACGTCAGTTAGACAGACGAACTCGACTGTGAGAGTACAATGAGACGCACTTTATCACAAGGAACGAGAACATTGCACCGCAAGCCGGACTATCAATGTAAATGTTACAGTTAATGAATAATGTAAGAGTTCAAGAGAATATTACAATACCTGTTTTTCCCAGAATTCGGTTCAGATACCCCGTTTCCGAGTGAAGGATTGTACGACACTGCGAAGGGCGTGTTGTTTTGCTGCGAGGATGCGTAGTTATGGATTTGCGAGACCATAAAGGTCCCAGTAGTATCCGTCGCAGTTGAAGCGGCGAACATCATCCAGTCTGTGTTGATAATTATTGGCCCAAGCACAATATGACACGACGATTCTAACGTACGTGTAGTTGTCCGATCTACTTGCTTGTTATTCAACGGTAGACCGTACTTCATGGAATCTGTGACAATTTATAAGTCAATAACGCGATACTGCGCTTGCCTTGAGCGGAATGAGAATGAAGTCACCTCCGGCAGTGTTGTAAAATGAAGTTACGGCTTGATAAACTTCTTGGGGGACAAGATTAAGTTGTAGAAGCCTGTCTGCGTATAGGTTATAGATTAGGCCGCTCGAATCCGAGTTTCCATAAAAGAAATCAATGTGTGAACCGTCCGACGGAAGAGAATTTTTCTGCCATTGGGTGATGTATGACGAAGCAGTAGCCTGAGAAGTGTGAGCTTAGAATTCACCATTCTTAATTGGGAGACACTCACGTCGAACCGGCTTTGGTCGTCGTTTGAACCTGCAATTGCTGCAATCTTCGCCATACACGCGATGCCAATGATGCCCTTCAAGGCCAAGTTCGTCTGATTACTACTTGATAAGGCTTGTCCCAGAACGAAGTCTGCAGAACTCCTGAATGGTGCCGATAATCACTATCTGGAACCTGCCCAAGAGTCGCTGTGCTAGACTCACTGTGCTGTCGGTGTTAAAGTGTTATTTCCGAGGTACTCTGCCCAACCACGAAGCAAGCCGTACTACAAAGCGTACATAAAATTTCACTGAATGAGTATTGCTGTGGAATGAGAGCACTCACATGCTTGCTGATGAGCGTGTTGTTCCCTGACCACTGTGTGTAGGCCAATGTCATGATTAGCATGCCTGCGGACTCTATAAAATGATGCATTAAGTAACTGAGAATACGCTTCACGTAACTCTTTATACCTTCAATTCCATAAGTATGGGGGGAATTGATATTGTCTGCCGTAGCATTTGGATATGTCGAGCCTGGTACACTTTACTCTGCATGACGTGGAACTTCATAGAGAATACGGGAGCGTACCGATGTTCCTTGCAGCGTAACTAAGGGTGTATACACTTGAGTCCTGGTATTCCATGAGCGGCGTGAGCAGGTATCCACCGAGGTCTGGGTTGAGGTACATGAATGCGGGAAACGCCGCATACAAGGTGTCCACAGCATTTACACTTGATACGGGTCTACCAAGGATTTTGGATAAGAGGATGACCGTATCAATAACAGCCTAGGGATCACGCACCCAGTGGCGTCTGAGCCGAAGCCGCCCATATTCTTCATGAACACCATCAGATCCCACATTTTCCAACTTCCATCTGCAGCCTTGGAGATCGTAATGTCCAACGAGCCCATTACTTGACGGGCGCTCAGAGCAAGCAAATCAGCGTAGCTTTGAGAGATTGTTCGCCCTGCTGAAGATATTCGTGCGTCGAACTGAGCTGCAACAGACTGCGCACGAGGGAAATCATTGAGGAATGCTGCGGTCTGAACATAATCAGAGTCAGTTACGACAGAAAACAGCAGTAGGAGTGGTGACATCACACGCACTGCCTGTTGAGGATCTGGGTATGTAGCAATGAAATATGGATACCGATCCTGCATGCTTGGTGGTACAGCATACTGTATTGAAGGGCTTCGGACGACACCCAGACTCCAGACGGCAGGTTGAGGCGTCGACTCGACTTCACCCCAGTCTATTGAAATGCCCAGCGTGGTCCAGTTTCCAAGTTTGCTATAGCTCATAGTGTGAGAACGAAGATAACAGTACAATACAGACAAACGAGGCTGTCGTACTCTTGGATTGAACGGGGAGCGGGCTGCGTCATATTCCCGAGAGTAATATTAGCGTTTGCCGCATTACTTCGATTTAAAGTATCGTTTGAGATTGCCCATGAAGTCGTTGCTCCACTGATCTGTTGAGTTTTCAATCCATTTAAGCTGCTGAACAAGAACACTTGCGAGTCGAAAACGCACTGCCTTAAATCCATAATACGCCGTCGAATCCATTGCGATGTCTGAAGATTCCGAGTATCTCTGCGGAGTGACGAGCTGCATGGAAAGTATGATGTAATCTCCAGTGGCATTCGCGTTCCATTGAGCAAGTTGGTTAGATGGTCCAATGAATTCTACAAAAGAACGGATCGTCTGGTCGGGAATAAGAAACAAAGAACGAAGCAAGCGCATACGTACGACCTGCAATATCCGAATACATGCGTACACTGTGTGATTTTCCGTCGGTTGACGATGCGGACATTGTGAAGTATGAGTAGGGTAGAGACTGGCGAACCAGGTCTGTTGGCTGCAATTTGCGTGAGATAAGGCTATACGGCGAGATTCAAATTGTGAATAGCACGGGCGCACCTCGATAGGACTTATGAAGGACGCATTGATTCGCATGGGTCCAGCCATGAAGAGGAAGGACGTTCGCGTCGCTGTAAATTCAGTAGACGTCTGTGTAGCTGGTGAAATGCTCGGTACGCCCATTTCTCCCATTATTCGGTAGGCTACCCCATCAACCACGACAAGGCTGTACCAGCCTGTATCCTAAGGTCGATTGTAACGTAAGCAAAAACAGACGACGTGAGAACATTTTGAAGTTGAAAGAGATAATAACCAGGATGAGATTGTTGACCATTGAAACGCACGAAACAATGATAACAGTCACGTACAATGTCCATTCTCCAAAGCTTAGTCCAGAACGCGTGGAGAGGTAGCGCGTTGCCTCCTTGACCAAGCCAGGTATTTAAGTAGGGACTGCGGACAGCAAGTGGAAGGGCAGGAGCGCTGAAAGGGGAGGAGGTCCATGCTGGGTCTTGCGCAAATAGTCTGTCGATGAATAACGAAGCAAACAGAAGACGAAAGAGGGTAATGGCGAGAGTCATATTCGAGCGGGGGAGAGGGAGGGAGGCATGAACAAGGTTGATGTGTCGTTTAGAGGGGCATAAATTGAATGAGGCAGTAGACATCCCGCAGGTGTCGAGAGGAAGATGCGAACAATGCGAGTGCTGATACTTCCTAATAGACTACTTCCCCTTGGCGCTTCGACGAACGAACGAAAAGCAAGGATCTCTGATACCGGTGAATAAAGATCAACTCGCCGCTTCTGCTCCCGCAGTATTATGTTGATCAAGGTGTTTCTTAGGTTTGTTGTCACTCAACATTTGCCCTAGTGGAAGACATCATCCGACATCGAGCACATGGCATTGAGATCCGGGGTAACGCTCCGACCGGTGATTGAAAAAAAAACGGCGTTGCTATGTTGCAAAGACCGCTCATCCGGGGATAACATCGCAGCTTGATGGCATGATGCAGAGTTAAGTGATAAAATCGTGAATTTCGGATTTAGCAAGCACTTGATCCCGTGATCTGTCTTTTGTCAGCAATGTTATGTCATCTTAAACATCTTTCTCTCCGTTGAGGCATTCAACCATGGCCGCAACATCATGAATCCCACCTGTGTTGAATGCAATAATGAAGCGGGAGACACAATGAGGAGATACGATAGTTATAGCTGGCGACGGAGCAACGAGCTGTGGCCTGTCAGGACGACGGTGGATGGCACTGGATGCGCCCGGGGCCGGGGAGTGGGAAAACGAATCAACCCCTGAGAACTGCATTAAATGGACGTTCGACATTAATCTACTATAATAGTATAAATGATTGCAGACTCTATACACCACTGGTTCTGTAGTAAATTTGCAGATGGTTGATGGTATTCGAGAAGCACATCTACTGCTGCGGTCTTAAGCGCAGCAGATACACAAGAACCGGTTTCCTTGTTTCTTTCTGATCGGGCTTCAGGATGTGTCTTCATCTCAACAGCTTGGATCATGCAAACATTTGGCTTACTTTTGATAATATATTCTTTTACCTACACACTGAGGGACGTTTTGAGTGGCAGACATCTTGTTTCTTAATTATCTCACGAGTACTGCCTGTGTAGTTTTATTGATAGTGAAAACGGATGTAATTACGCAAAATAAATTCAATATACACAACTTTACATTATAAATTACCTCCAAAGCCAAGCTACACCAAGAACCAGCGCAAAAGGCAAGACAATGCATCTCCAAAGGATCGGCTCCAAGCTGGACTTCAATCGTGAAGCTACTTGCCCCCGACGGAATAAAGTCAGGATAGTCGAAGGCAAGCGCACGATGAATAGCGAGACAAGGTTCAACGGAGCCGGGAAGTAGTAAGGGGAAGAATACAAGATGACCGAGCGGGAAAATCGATGCCTGAGCGATAAACCGACTTTTGCACCATAATTGTTCCAGGTTGAAGGAACACCTGGGTGATGGAAAGGAGTCGGTGAGAGGGAAGAAAATGATAATGTTATAAATATCGTGAGTGAAAAGAAGAATAGCGCGAGGAAGAACACGCAGTAGATGAAGATGTCAAAAGCCATGGGAGTGCTCGCCCCGAGGAATATATCATGGAAGGACACGGCCAAAAGGACGAGGAGTAAAATCAGGTAGGGTACGAAGAGAAGGAAGGTTGGCATGAATACGGAGACAAGCAGATTTTGGAGCATCAATGAAGGTACGAAAGTTGAAGAACAAGGATCTAGTAGTGAAAGAGACGGTGAACGCAGTAGAAGCAGTTGGACAACATGTAGCGCGAAGGCAATAAGCAATACGTTATGTGAGATTTCATGTCTCCCTGGCATCCCAGGAAGTGCCGACAAGAACGCCATTAAAGTCAGGACGAACGGTGTTGTGGAAGGCCAAGAGTCACCGAGGATACGAGAAATAGCGTAAATCGTAATGCAATAAAAATGGTAGTCAGGACCGTCAACGTATTTCGAATAGGTCGGAGCTGTGTTGAGGATGTACTTTGCAATTATTGCCAGGTAAGCCAGGAAAAACGCAAGATTGGCCAGATGAAGGACACTAGAGTTAAATAAGGAACGCATTCATAACACTGATCCAGAAACTAATGGCTCACCGAGGTGTAGCGAAACTTTCGATCCGCATCATGAGAGTATCTCTTGATGATGCGCGTGTACTGTGCACCTGCCGAGGTCTTCCTTTCTTCCAGACCCGCAGAAGACTGAGAGCTATCCGATCGTCAAGTTGAATGGAATGCGGAAGGCCGTCTTTGTTTGTCAAGATAGTCTTAATCACTAGAAACTTTGTGTCAGTCCTTGCACGGCACAATTGAGAAGCTGAGATACCGAAGCTCAACTTACATGATGTGTACCATCCCGTTCCATTCCTCCCATTCTCCAAAGGAAACTCTGTCCACAGAGCTTCATCGAACGCGGCTTGGGACCACGCAACTCTCTGGAGCTCAGACCAACATCGAAGGGCCAACTCTGTTGCATCCTGTTCGACGGATCGGGAATCGACCCAGTCTGCCTTGTCCAACTGGAAATAAGACCCTGATAGGTATCTCAGGCACAATAGAAGCTTGAGAGTAAGCCCTATACTCGGAGACGTGGTATAGGCATCGACCTTCTGTTCAATTATCGTGTGGACAGCAGGGTAGGCAGCGTCGGCGTAAATACTCCTTTCTAGCTCGAGGATGTACGGTAGTGAATCAGAAGCACTGCCAGAATGCTCTATGAGCGGAGTCCTTTCCGTAGGTTGGGTCACATCCATGATTACTAGAGGTAGGATATAGGAGAGATACAAAGGTCGCACTTGGACAGAACGAACATGGGCTGCAGTTCAGGCGAAATGATACGCAGTTCAATGCTGTGCTGCGCGCTCCTCGACGCGTAACTTATGTAAGTAAGTCCTCTCCTTTCATTCATACGATGACCATTACTCCAACAGTAAAATCCCGGAACCAAACTTGAGATACTTATGTACGCAAATGCGTTGACGTATCATAAATGCCCCGTATGCTATGCCTTCTGGACTAAGTGCACTTCGGAATCTCCCTTCAACTCAGAAGAACCCCAGCTTCTCCAGATACCCCAAGCTGCTGTTGCCTCTTCTTGTTCTTCCGCCCTGTGCAGCAACATCGCTCCCCTCGAGCCCCGAATGCGATATATCCGATGATCGTAGTGAATGCCAGTATAAGCACGGCGATGACGGCAATGCCCACAACTACTTGGGGATTCACGTTGCTATGCGGATCGGTATTTCCTCCTGAGTGAGTAATGGCCGCCGAAGATGTCGATGACGCAGAACTGGCTGCAAGGGAGTGTGAAAGTGACGAGGCTTGTACGGGTGTGAGGTCGTGGACATTGGGATTGGTGTTGCAACCGACGGAGTCAGCAGGGCAGCCTGACGATCCGGCATCCTCTGTGCGACGTTGTTTCTTTGCTCGAGAAATTTGCATGATGCTTTGCGAGGCCCGGGCTGTTCTGGATAAATGACTTGGTGGTGGTGTGTCCGAGCAATTGGAGGGGCCGAACGCTTTTATTAGCGGTGGAACATATTGAAGTGTCAGCTAGCATTCAGTCGGCTGACGCCTGTTATTTTGAAAGAGCCTTCATAGAAGTTACATTCATTGTGCAAACAATCGGTATTACATTACACTTTCATCAACTTCGCTAATTTTCCCATTGGATGCCCAGAGGTGGCTGCGAGCTATTTACACCAAATCCAGTTCGGCCCCGCCATGTTCTTCATCAACATCCGCTGGGGGCACCTTCGGGACGTGCTTGTCAGCATTTGAATTCAAACCAAGCCCAGATTTTCCGGCCAGTTGCACTGTTACTGGCTTGGATGGCATCGTCTTCAGCTGTATATGTCTGTCCGACCTCCGCTTCCTCGGGATTCTGAACCAGAAGCGAAGGTTCTCCTGAAGACAAGCGCGTTCAGTAAACGTAAGATCGCCTCGAAGTCATAAAAAGCACATACCTTCTGAGTGCCGAAAATGAAGAAGGCCGCGAGAGGCACTAGTAAAAGTATGAGTTGTGTTTATGACGCGTTAGTATGTCTTTGGCAAACGTACGAGTGGAAACGAAAAGATAGGCAAAAGTGGCCGTTGGCTTAAGTGTTATGACAATCGAAACACTGTCGCGAATCAGTTAGTGTTCATAGCCCTGAAAATGAGGACGAACGTACATGAACGTAATAACCGAATAGATTGTGAAAATCCCAACCCGTAGGACCAAATGATATGAATTCTGATTTGACGCCCTGAATTGCCGAGACGCTTTGAACAGTGTACGGAGTACAGAAGCTACAGTGGAGCATCGGTTTTTGGAGTGGAAGAGTAGTCCCGATCATCTCACCTTGAAAGCCTAGAATGAGAGCAAGGAGGACCAGCGTAAATGTACAAACAGTGTAGATACTTGATAAATACAGTCAGGAGGCCCTCAGAGAGAAAGGTCGTATGGACATACACTGCATTGGAGGTCAACGTGCAGTAGAATTGCCATTGAATCGACACAAGGTCAGGATGTTTGGCGCCAAACTGTACTTTCATTGAGTACTCAAATTAAGCCAAATAGGATTTGACCACGTACGACTGCCGACCCTATTGTGATAAGTGCGAACGAGGCCCAAGGCAATAACATTAACTGTACATTCTTGAGCGCAGGAGGCGCAGCCATAAGACAACAAATCAGTAAGTTACCAGTCTCAGAGCAAGTGATGGAAATCCATACAGTAAGAGTACTAGTCCTAGAGTCTTTTGTAAGGCTCATTCCCCTGAATTCTAGCCATAACTATGTCAAACGGAAAACAACCATCAATGCTAGTAAGGCGATACAAATTCCAGAGACTCGTTACCTGGAGGACTAAACCCAGCGTTGCTGCAGCGACCCTTCACATATATTCAGGATATAGTATCGTCATAAGACCGGACCCGGGCTCACCCTACCGTACTTCCATAAATCATTGAAGCCTGAGTTAAGCAAACACCGAATTCTGGTGACTCCTTACGCGCCTCGCCAGAGTATAAGCTTAAAAAAACGGTGAGACAAATTTAGACCAAAGACGTGCCCAACTCACAGTAATAAATTTGCAGTGGCATACACAATCCACGATGCCAAGAGATTGAGGAGTGTTGGATGACGATGAGCAACTGTTTTCAGGATGACCATGGTCGTAAGAGCCAATGGCAGACCAACGTGTCCTCCGATGATAAGAAAAGCGAAAAAGACATCCAAAATAGCATCTTTATGTGGTCCAAGGTCGATAGCGGGCTTCAACGAGAGAACCGAAGGATGAGTAGGAGACAAGGACAGACCCTTCATGTTTCGCCAGCAAAAAGTAGAAGTCAGCAGTCGAAGTGAAATCGAAGAAGTATGACGGTTGTTCAAGAAACCCAGTCTCTTTGCACAAAGAGACGCCAGACCAGATGGCGATGAAGGTCGAAAGCGAATGAAGGCCGGCCAGAGCCCACCACTCTCAGTCTTTCAAATTCTCGATGAAGGCGAGCACAACATCACCTCCTATCAATCATCATGATATCAAATTGCACTTGACGGTTGTCGCACTTCCATCCTTCTTTTGGTTGATCAACAGATTGTCCCTCTTCGAAACGGGATGGTAACACGGCGAAGACGTAGAAGGATCGGTCGAAAGGCGGTGCATTTCACCTCCCGCCAACCAAGTATTCACCAGATTCTCACGAGAAAAGAGTTCGGATTCCCCCTTTCCTTTTTCGAGCCTGCTTTCTTGGTTGTGGCTAGGATGCATGCGACGAGTATTGCAACCCGTAATGATATCATGATACCCATGATGTACCTTGTCCTTGCACTAGAATTCTCTTTCTTTAAGATACGGGCTTGACAATCTGGACGGTTCGTTATATGTTACCTGACTGCCAATCCTTAGCGGTATTAAAAGCGATGCCGCATTGCTCGATGGACCCGTCGTTCTTCATTTCGTTGGTATGGACAATATGTCCATGACCAATCAGTCAAAGAGGAGAGATACCTACCTTTTGATCTAGGACACGAATAATCCACGCATGCCGTAATGATCTCAATCAGAACTGCCCTCCTATTCTAATCTGCTTGTATTTTCTGGCGCACAAACAGTAGATGCAATCAAGCAAGCAGACATAGAAGCCGTATTGCACCCATCAGCATCGGCCGCTATTAGCCGAATGCAAAGGATAGGGCCGGAAGCCATGAATCATTTTAGCGCGCAACCTCGAACGTTCGAATATCTAGTTCATACTTATGAGGTTGTATGCCACCTTCGGTACTTATTAAAGAAACATTTGGATACAAAAGACAAGGCGTACTCACCTGCGACTCCTAAAGTTGAATTGGCTAGATCTGTCTGTCAGGTTCAGTCTTGCGGGTTTCAGCCAGTAACGCGCGTATCACAGCCTAAATTACAACCCGCCTTGCTGTAGTATGGAAATTTCGTGCGGATATTGTACCAGGTTCTCTTCTAAGAGTTTCGCATCTCGGCTCATTTGCAGACATCGAGTTGTAGCACTTGAAGTTAGACGAAATCAACATTTCTTGCAACAATCAGGCTCGACGAGGGGATTAGAAAACTGAATTGCGTGTATCAAGAAGAGACTCTGGCTCTGAGAAACTTTGAGCTGCAGGATTGAAGCCTATTTATAATGGATTTTTCTGAATGAGATATGTTGTATACAGAAGTCTGAAGGCAAGAAGCCAAGTCGGCGCAAGTCGGAGGGCTTCTTTTCGACGCGGTCACGCGAATGTCGACACGATCACGTGTGACTAATTAATAAATGTATATATAAAAGGACAGTACCCGAAGTCACGCTCCCACACTTTCTCCTCCTTTTCTCCCTGACGACGTGTCGCGCGATGCTGCTCGTCTCCTCTTTGTCTTCACTGAATTCTGTGATAAACACAGTTTGAGCTCAATGTTTGATTTTTCAAAGCGCAACAAGACCGGTCTGTCAAGCAATTACTCGCATTGAAAGTTCAAGAAATGAAGATATTGCACAACATACACGCGATGTGGCTCGTCTGCGACAAAATTCATCGATGGCATGACGGTCCAAGCGGACCACTTGTGAATCAAAGTTCTCAACTGCGTCTCACTTCTTTCAGATCAAGATATGGGCAAGAATATGGAGTTCGTAATGATGTCAAAATCAGAAGCATTTGTCAGTCGACCTCAAGGTGTGTAGGATATGTACTCGCTCCACCAATACTCTCTGGTATTGTTGTGTTCCGGCTGTTATATCGACGGTCGAGAGGTCGTTTCTCTTCATTAACGTACTTCTATCTTGAACGATCGTGAAGGAGTGATACGTCATCAAGTGAACCCGGCTGTTCTAAGCAAGAAATGCTCGTAATTTCCCTTCAAGACGTCAAGTTGACTTCAAATCCAAATCCTCAAACTGTTTTATGAAAATGAACGCAGAAGTTGCTATTGGTACATTCATGATCATGATGACACTGATGATACAGATACGATTGAGTAATTGGTTCCGGATGGAAAGCAAGATGCGCAAGATCAAGAATAACGATATAAAAGCAACCGTGAAACAACAAATGCAATCCGAAAAGTGACCTACCGACAGAGAAGAAGGCAAATCATTACATCGCGAGGGAAGGCAAGTCAAATGTTAGAGACGGGGGAGGAAAGTCGGGTGACGATTGCAATCCTTGCAAGATTAAGTCGAAAGATTCAGTGTAAGATGGGTATACAGGTAAATTCAAACCAAATAACTGATCTGATGGTCCCTTTGTGAAGTCAAAAGGCTTGTTCGAGGCGAACAACAACGGCTGAAGCTTGTCAGGAACGGTATGCGGCGAGGAGAGGTTCAACGAAGACTTGCATGCCTGGTTATCCGAGTCGTCCAATGATAAACAATGCCCGTCATCGGACAGAGTGGCAAAAGACGGTGTGGGGGACTGAGAACATGCTGATGCAGAAGAGCCTGCCGACGAGTATGTTAAGGATGGCAGCGAGTCAGTAGATGCTGCTGGAGATGTATGGGGATATGGTGGTTCTGATAATTGCTCAGCAGCAACCGCTTCAGGTATGATACAGTTTGTTTTGCATTGCAATGGCAATACAGCTACGTCACGCTGAGTAACCCCTTTTGCCTTTTTAACTCTGGACCTGGGCCGCAAAATACAAGCTGCTGGGTCACTAGCTGACAGTGAAGTGATTGCTTCCGATAGTGATACGTGCAGTGATAGACTCGAGTTCTTGTTAGTTGAACCTTTGGCTGCACGTGATGCAGGTAGTCGTCGACGTCTTGTCCTCTGTGTGTTCGGCTCTGTGGTGCTTTCATCAGCAGATGCTGGAGAAGCTGTTTCTGGTCCCTTGGAGTGTTTTGGAGTGTTGGAGCGACACTCAACACAAGGCACAAAACTCTTGATGAGAGACGACAATGGTGCACGTAATGGACGGACTACAAACGGCCATGCAACACTACAGGTGGTCTCCTTCGAAGGCCTATGCAAAGTAGCCCCACAATGAGCAGTCTGCTTCTGCAAACACTCTGCAGAATCGTCAAGGCTAAGGTTTGCAAACGCAAGACAGAGTGCAGATACGTCCACCCTGTTCAATTTCTGTAGATTCGGGCTCGAAGCTGGCTGACGGCGCCAACGTGGCACTTCAAAACTTGAAAAATCCCCAGCTCGACATGGGAAAGGATCCACTTCAAGTGCAAATTTGGGTGGGTAGGTTGATGGGTAAACATAGGGTGGGTTGTGTCCTACAAACGCAGCTGCTTTCGGCACACTTGCTGACAATAAACCTGGTGCAACCTGATTATCTAGGCTCAAAGCATTGTTCTTCTTTGTTCGTGAACGTCTGTTCTGAAACTAGAGGAGTAGCTCAGCATCCTTGACCAATGGAGGCTCATTCATTGCTTACCCAGACGTGAATCTGTTTGTATGACATGCCTGTCTTCTTTGCCAAAAGCTCCTTGTCCGCATGGGTAGGATACTGACATTTAGAAAAGCACAGTTCAAGTATTGGTAAACATTCCTATTGTCTTGTTAGTAAACCGATTACCAACTTAATAGGTAAGTCAACTTACGTTTTTGAAACCAACCTTTTTTTCTGTCTCCTTCTCGAAAGTGCACGATTTAGGTTGTTTTGCGATTGAACTGTGTATCGAAGCATTTGCCTTAACCACGTTATTGACCCACGACTTTATTTGTTCAAGGTAAAGATGATATAATCCCTTCTGAAAAGCCTCCTGATACTCGTGTAGTGGCCTAAGGCCAGACGGCTCGTCAAACATTATAAGACTTCGGCAGGTTTCATGATACTTTGTTTGACAAGAATCACGCAGTTTTGCCGTCGCTCTTGAAACTGCAGCAAGAAGGCGAGGATGGACAGGTTGCAGCTCCTCCGGAAACAGTTCCAACTCGGTAGGTAGGTGTAGATCGGGGATGCTAGACAAGGCAGCAGGGTGCACAGAGTGTGCACATTGTGTGCTATGAGTAGATGCTTGAGTGTTCAGTTTAGCGCGGATTGTTTGTGCTGTCTGGAGCACGTCAGCCCACGGAGAAAGCATTGTGTAAGGGTGTGAAGTGTGTGGTGGCCGGTATCAGTGACGCCTTCGAGCAGCAAAATGAATTTGGTTTGTGGCTCTATTGTGTCCACGTGCCACTGATGGCAGTTGCGGTTCGCTGCAACGACTTCAAAGGTTCACCACCGCGTTCATCTTCATCTCATAGTGCATGCAACCGATAGAGATATCAGATTTCTTGCACCAGGCAAATAGCTCCTTGCTGTCTGCTGTATGCGATGGGGACGAATCATTAACGAGGTTCAGTGACGACTTGGTGTCTGTGGACTACTACCTTCACAGACAGAATGACCTTTTGCCAGAATTAGGCTTGCTGGCATCTCATACTAGTGAGCACATAATAGCATTGGCATCTAGCTTCTCAGAGCTTCGTGTTAGCGAGGAGTGCTTGGGAAAGAATTTGATGTTAGATGTCAATGGAATTCTGGACAATGCATTCCCACTCAGCATGCCGACGTCGTCACTGCCAACTCCAGGAAAGGACAACACCACAGCCCATGATGTCTACTCTGCTAGAGATTCCAGCCAAAGACCTGCCTGGGTATTGGTCAAAGATTTTACTGCTGCATGCAAGTGGTTGGCAAAGCATTTCTTTAACCCTTATCCTTCACCTTCTGTCAAGAAGGAGCTTGCCGGGCTCTCCGACATTTCTGCTAAATCAATGGACGATTGGTTTACAGTTGCCCGGCGAAAAATCGGATGGACTGCATTTTCGAAGCGCTACTTTCAAAGCAATCGTTCGCTAGCCTTGGACTGTGCACATCGTGTGTTCGTCGAGGGATCCAAGCACCACTCGTATTGCCAAGAGATCGTGCACGATTTGGAGAAAATCAAAGTCATGGCCGAACATTTTTATGTTACTGCAAATCGCAATACTCATGAGCCGAGCTATTTTGCAAAGGAACTGGATAACATCAGTACTCAAACGGTGGAGTTGGCCAGTAGGCCTGTTTATCGAAGACTTTCAACATCTTCGACGAGCAGCTCACAAGTATCCGTGTCACAACCCTCGTCAATTTACCCTTTGTCGCGCAAACGCTTGCGAAACAACAATGAGTCCAATGAGGCGTTCAACTCTGGAGGTTTATGCTTATCCAGACCATGCAAGCGAAGCAGGTACTATTCTTTATATTTCCCTCACGAACGAAGTTAACTTCTTCATGCAGGAGCATGAGCTCTCCATCAAGAGAGTCTTCATTGACGTCTTGTTCGTCAGAATCAAACGTGACACTCCACGAACTCATCACGCCTGTGTCCTCGCCTAATCACCCGAATTTGCCTCTGGAATTATTTGATGGTTGGATGGACAGTGTTTCTGCAGAGTCTACCTTCCTACCACACGACGTTGCCGATAAGCCGCCATCGGTTCTGTCACACAAGCGAGCCCTATCAGACTCAGAAGAGGAAGGGCCGACTAAGCGCATACGACTAGAGAAAAACAACGAACCGCCTTTTGCAAGCCATGGCCTACCTACTGTGTCTATTGTTAAATCTATGCCAATAGCGCCCACCAACCAGACTGGACTTTTACCACCGTGCCCAAGCCTTACACGTTGTCAGGCATCCGTGACCCTGTCATTGGCGGACAGTCACCCAGGCGACAAGACTGGAGCGGAGTTTGATGAAGACACTTTGAACCTATTCATCTCTGAGCTTGATTTCAGCATTCCTGAAGCGCCTATCTCGATTTGGGATGAAAGCCTGTCAAATAGCGTCCTTGAAACAAGCCTCTTTGATTTCTCCTCACTCGACCCAGGAAAACGATTGAGCTCAGGGCATTCATATGACCTCAGTATGTTCAATCAATCTTTGCCTGTTCTTTGGGATCGATTCGCTTATGGATTACCTTTAGATGAGCTATCTGCATCCATTCCTGTTACGAATGCACCTTTGACTGCATCCGAAGATGCACTTCTGGCAGCCTGCGCTCCACAGCAGAACGTACTTTCGCTCTCCAACGCATCCAGCGGGCTCATCAGCGATGCCCACAACCTCAGCATGGCGGCACAGAGTACAAGCTGCAATCCGATTTCGTTTTCTGCTCTGGACCTCGAGTTTTTGGAAAGCCTCGGAATTGCGCCGCAGCCGCAGCCGCAGGACGCGCCTTCATCCTCTGCTCACAATCAAGACGTGCCCACAACACTCGTCGATGTTCCCTCGTCTTCCCAACTGGCCGACCTCGCGATAAGCGGGCCAGAGCTCGCTAACAAGCTTGTTTCAGAGGCATACAGGCTTCCGCAAGAAGTCTTTGGATAAGTTCAGATGTTCTCAATTCATTTTAACTCATTTTCATATACAACTTATCAATTCACCCGCACATTTGGACTGACCGCATCACTGGACATATCTCTTCTCGCACATTTCATCGTTCTTCCCCTACATCCTTGGATGGATAGAATTATTCTTTTTTATTTTGCGCATTTCCTGTACTTTATTGTCTTTCTGTAATGTCGTATACGACATCGGTCTACTAACAGCTCAACGGATCAGAAACCGCATCGCAACAGCGCAAAACGCAAGGCACTCAAGACCCTCAAAAAGAAGATCCCTCAAGTTGCAAGCGCAGCAAGAATTCTCAAGATGCAAGGCCTCAAAAAAAATTCCACTGAAAGTGTTGCTACGTGGAATGCGCGTTGCAAGTGACAGGCCCATCAAGCGGTGTGCACCACTTTGATTGAATGGCAACGAGCACAAGACATTCGGATAATAAGGCGAGTGACTATTTGGGAATGCGTGGCTTGAAATGCCGCTGATACAGTGATGAGTCTGCTGTTAATGACGCCTCTGCTGGAAGATTTGGAAGTTTTCTATGAGAGGCGTCCCGGAAATGGCGTGTGTGCGTTTCCAGTATTTTTACGATGATGAGGCTTACTGCCGTTTGGGATGGTTTGATCATTCGGTGCGAGCTGGTTGCCGAAGACGTCGAACAATAGGCATTCTGAATGGCGCTTAGCCAAATTTGGATGGGGTGTAAAGCGATCCAAACAGAGCACCACACCTTGTTTCCTTCAATCCGAATCGTGAACGAGTTTCTCGGTTTGTGTTCAAACAGGGTAGTGTTTCCAACTGCGGTTGACCTAACATCCGTCCCGACCTTTATCCCGCTCGTCCCGCCACACTCCGAGCCATCCTTTCAGCACAATGTCAATGCACGATTTACTTCTCCAGCTTTCCCAAATTTCATCCGCACTCTATGAACAGGCATCCCCTCTAGATGATTCTACTTCCAGGCTTGGGTTGGATATACCCGACTTCTTGCTGCCCTTCCCGGGACTAACGCTCGATGTCCCGTCGCCGGGTTACCTTTCCACAGCGTTGATTGACGCAGGCGCGCCAGAGCCTCTTGCTCACGAATTATCCGAAATACATTCCAGATCGTCCAACGAGCTTGCCGAACGATACTTACAGGTTTATAGAACCTCCTGTGTTGATATTGCCACCAGGGCTGGCAAGGATGAAAACAGTAGAGCAAAGTTGTATCGCCATCTGCAGGAGACTAGCCATCGACACTTTCGTCAAAAAATCGAAGCTTGGGAAAAGGACACTATTCATGCTATTCGCAGCAGACCAAACAGTGACTCAAACAAGAAAACCGCTATACGACGGTCAGCCTTCAACTCTGTACGTTGCTGGTACATGTTGCACAACTAGAGGTTCTAATTAATCTGCGTTTTATGTCCAGGATGTTACCCGTGTGCTTGGTGCAGTTTTCAGGGAATCTCCATACCCTTCTCGTGCTGTGCGGAAGGAATTGGCATACAGATATGGAGTTACTGTTAAGCAAATTAAAACATGGGTGAGTTCTGTGTGATTTTCCCCTCATAATGGTGATTTATCGGAAACCTTTGAAGTTCCAAAACCGACGTTCTCGAGCCAAAAAAGGCGGATTTGACAATGCACCATATGGCTTCCTTCAAGACCAACGCATTCCCGAAGTGCAAAGCAGCAACATTCCAGACCTCTTCTTTCCTCTGCCAACCGCTCTTTCTGACGACTCACTGACATCCGATAAGAATCATCCAGTATCCGGCTCGTCGATTTCACGTTTCCCACCGAAAGCATCAGATACCACATTACCTTCATCCTCAGAGGCTGTCAGACGTTGCGGCACATCCACAGACAAGCACAACTGTTTGCCTTCATTGGAAGTATATCAGTCTAACAGAATCAACTCGTCCAGCACACTTTCAGACTGTGAAACAGTTGTAGACTCTGATTCGGAAGCGGAAGTTGAAGAAAATCACAAGGTGTGTAGCAGTATTGTGCATTCTCATCCTTAGACGTGTCCTTTCTGATAGTCAACCTTTCAGATATCGTTGTCTCGATCTTCCTCAGTCACTCTGGTTGACGAGTCAGTTAGCAGTCTAGCTTGGCAATCCCCAAGTTATGCATTCCCTACCAAATACCCTCCGAAAATCGTTGAGGATCCATTTCCTTGCAGAGCATATCACGACTTCTCGTTTCCCAAACCCGTCTGGCAGCGTATTCCTTGCTCTACATTCACCCCACACGCCCCAACTGATGTATCGGAATTATCGGGTCAACTATCGCAACTCACGCTAGACGTTTCTGGTACAAGCAATGCTCCACATGAAGATGCAGCAGACAGTGGGCATGCGTCCAAGGTCTCGAGTCGGTATATACAGCCAGGCAATCCGATTGCTACACATACGTATACTGCTCCACTACCATTCATGGTCCGCCCAGTTCGTCATCAATCTTATCAGGTAAACAACGTGGCAGAACTGGCTGCTGAATCCACCTGTGCCTTTCCTGACATGCACGAGCCAACCGTGGTTGGTTCTTGTATTACCAAACCAGATTCTCCTAAATGCTCACTGTTAAGTAACGTAACAGGGGAAACTGTTGACGAGACACTGGCAGAGCCACTTCGCAAGACTGCTGACAGGACGATTTCTTTATCTGCGCCAGGAATGTGGGGTAACCTGGGTCTGAATCCTCATGATGTGGAGTGTGTTTTTGGGTTGGCATGCTTGGATCCCTTGTTTCCTTGGAATTTTGAGGAATTATTGCCCCCCTTCTCAGATTCTGTTCCAAATCTTTGGATAACCACTGTGTAAAATTATTGGTATTAAATATTACAGTCTCCAACTTGGTAGAGTGCTTATTGTGAGAAAGATGCTAATATGGAGATCTGCGTGTGGAGGCCTGTGCTTTGTTACGTACTTTCCTACCTACCACTTACCACTCACTTCAACGGCGGCGTCCAACGTCATTCCCCGCTCAAACTGGCGGTATGCCATCCGAACGTGATCTGGACGGCCGTCTATTCGGACGCCTTCTCACAGTAGACGACCAGTTGGAGAACGTCTCCGAGGGTGATCCAAAAGCTATGAAAGCACTCGTGAATCGACTACAAGAAATCCAACACATGACAACTCGTGCAGTTGCAGAGAGCTCGCTGACTATGAAGACTGCCTCTCTGCTTCGGCGGGTAGTGTCTGCGGGCGCATCCTTTTCAAAGCTTATGTTGGAAGCCCGTCGGACAAAAGAAGAGGTTGAACAGAAGATGCATTCCCAGCTAGTGGATGTCATGGCACGGCTGTCCTTGAATGATCAAGTCGGAGCAAGAGCACACACGGGGCCAACCAAATGCATAAGCAAGCACAAGCGTACTGCTGTTGTTCCAACAACCCAATCTGCGACTAAGCGGCGCGTTCCTGTCGTCACAAGCCACGAATCAGACATCCCGACCTTACCAGCCCATGTTGCACGGTCATACAAATGGCTCCTCCAACATATTTACGATCCGTTTCCACCGATGGCGACACGAATACAAATGGCCAAGGAGACAGGTGTACCCGAGAAAACAATTAGCGACTGGTTCACTAATACACGCCGGAGAATAGGTTGGACTAGCATATCAAAGAAGCATTTTAATGGGTGTCGTGCACTAACAGTTGATTGTGCCCGGATTGTTCTGCTTGGCAAGGCTGCAAAGGACCCGGTGTGTGAGGAGCTATATGGTGCATTCCTTACAATGAAAGGCAAGGCAAATCGGCTTTTCGAAAAGTCTCTTGGTCCCAGTGACATTGCGGCGCGCTTGGAAGCTTTTATTACTAACCGCACTTCCATCACTGCAATGGAGAAGTCCCGGTCCAGTTGTGAAAAGTCGGATGGATTGCAGGATGTACTTGAGCCTCCTCGGTCGGACACAGAAATGAAGTCGCGAAAGCGTCGTGCCTCGGACGATCAAGAGGGTTCTGCCTCTGGATCACTTGACCAAAACAGCAGGCAAGCTAAACGCCTGAGGTGAGTGCAGCTGCTTTCTATCTCCAAACAGTGCCCCTAAATTTTGTTTTCTAACCAACAGGCGGACCTCTGATCCTCTTTCAGCGCCCAGACCAAACATACCCCAGAGGTCATGTCTTGACAGTGTCGAATGTTCCAAACATCAATCCTTGGCGAGACTTTCGGAATATCGGGCTGAATTTTCGCAGGGAGCGTCGGATCCCCTGCAATCTCGACCTCGCAAGCGACGCTTGTCAGTCGATGATGAAGTTCCTAGTGCAAAACGCCCTTGCAGGTTACCTGGCAGCAATGGTTTGTGTGCAAACCGTGTTCTTTGATCATTTTGAGACTGATTGTGTATATAGGTGCAAAAACACTAAAGCAGGATCCGCCTGCCTTCAATAGTGCAGCATTTACTGGATTGCATCCCAAAGACGGCAGTCCGTCGGATGTTTCGCTATTCTCGGATGTCCCACCACCAATCACTTCAGAAATGACAGACCCGGCTCAGTCTGGTACGTTATACATATTACTTATCAGCAACTGTGGCTGATTGTAATTTTTTGAAATATAGTCAATCTGTTTCCTACCGATGCAAGGATATCGACGTGCTGCTCCGAAGGAAACTTGGCGACCGTGGCACCTACAGCAAATGACTTATTCTATGACCCGACGTTTCTACCGGTGCCAGGTTTACTTCAGCCCACAGTACCTAGCATGGATATCCTATCTTTTTCCGAACTCTTTGCCTCTGGGGACTTCGCCTCGCTTCCTGCAATACCGAACTTTGCCTGTGACGGCTCGGATATTCTACCTCCATCACTTGACCCGATCCCTATCACTTCAGAGCTATTCATTACGTATCCTCCTGGATCAAACGAAGCGAAGGAGCAATGTTCACCAACACCAACGGCGGTGGATGATGTTCAGTCATTGTCGTCTCTGGACTTTGATTTTCCTCTTGAACTCCAACTCAATCCCATAACACCAGATCCGTGGACCGTACCAGCATGTGATAGCGCATTACATTTCAACGGTTTATTAGAAATGCCACGCATTAACAAGGATTCCTGGAATCCGTGGGAAGATCAAACAACGGCTGGCAGTCTCGGCTTGAACAAGGTAAGATAGTCACTCTCACATAACGTGCACACACTGATGAACTTGAATACTTCTTTACCTTGGAATATCTAGGCATGATCTGATACGTCTTCCAGCTTCTGTTTCTATTGATCTGTCTCTTTTCCTGGGTCGGAAGATACCCAACTACGCACACTGTACCAACAGACATTCGCATCATATCCTCATCATTGGATTCCTATTTTTATTATTTTATTTGCCATTCTTCGACATTACAAATTTTATTACAGTAAATGACCGATTCAATTCTAGGGAAAGCCGCGGCAATCAGTTGCAACCACAAGACATTTCCTCAAGTCCATCCTCAAGTGCAAGTATCTACAAATGCAAAGCAACGAAGAACTCAATGCCTCATCAAGATCTCGTCTTCAATGCGCCAACTTCCAACGGTCGCCATAGCGTTCGCATCGCCGCTCTCCAACTCAGGCGAATCCAAGATTTTACTAACAATCCTCCAAGGATCCTTCCCGCCACCAAACTTCAAGACCTCGTCCTTGAAACGCGCGCCTGCTTCCCGACTGAGAGGGTCCACCGTAAACACGTGTGTCCAAATGCGCGATGCAATAGCGCGATCAAAGAGATAAGAGTAGTACGTAGCGCCATATCCATATAAGTGACCGAATTGTGTCTGCCAAGCAGTGCCAGGGACAAACGGAATCAGACCCTTGGTTTCCTGCAACTTTGCGTAAATGCGCGTTGAATCGAAGTTCGACTCGGCTGCGAGAGGTGAATGGTATTCCTGATCAAGACAGGCGAGCAAGATTTGTGTGTAAGTGTCGATTGAGTGGCATGCGTCGATGTGATGATTCCCTGCGCGTGGGACAGAGTTTTGATTGGTGTGGTCAAAGAGACTGAGGATGGTTGGTGAGGTGAGGAAGTGTTCCATGAGGATTGAGGGTAGTTCGACGAAGTCCGTTGCACATCGCGTGCCGGAGACATTTTGATATTCAGTACGTCCAATCATTGCTGCAGAAAGACCTCAATATGCTGCGCATCCATCAACCAGTTTTAGTGAAGTACTCACAATGCATCGCATGACCCATCTCGTGAAAGAGTGTTTGCACATCGTGCCAATGCAGTGCCGAAGCTCCTCTCGTAGGCGAAGGAGGCATAAATTCGCAAAGTAGGACCACAACCGGTAACTGGTACTCCCCCTCAACACCTCGTAACTTGACGCGGTGTTCCTGGTCAAAGTCCAGCGACATCTGGATGGTGTCATCAGGGAGAACTGACAAAGGTTCGACCGTATCTGCTTCTGGATCATCATTATCCGTACGTCGTGAACATCTGACAGTGTAGTGTGCTGCACCGCTGGCCTTTCCCTTCCTTGCGAATAGGTCGGCATATATCCACCCGATTACACCAGCGTCTTTGTCAACCACTTCGAGTTTGCGCACATCTGGATGCCATAATTCTCCCGAGACCGCATCCAATGGTCGAAGGGTGACACCATAAAGATGCTTGAATAACCTCGAAAGTGCCATGAATACGGTACCGGGTGTCAACGGGGGGAGCGGAATGGATGGGGAAGGCGGCTCCGGAGGACAATAATAGTCTCGGTCCCATGCCTGGATGATAGGACGGTCCAGTAACCCTAGGTGATTCTGCTTCCTCTCGCTTAACGCAAGAAGCGCATTCCGGGCGTGGGGTCGTGTGTAGGATAACAGCGCATCGAGGAATGATTGTACATGCTCTGGAAAATCATATCAGCCACGGTAAGCGACATGCATGATTGCTGACATACCAGGTGACTTCGCCATTTTGTCGTTCAACGTTAGATGAGCATAACTCTCCTTCCCACACAAGCGTGCAAGTTGTGCCCGAGACTGTAGTAGCTGTTCGAGCGTTTCTACCTGTTCCTCCGTACCTGAGCTAGCTGCAATATATAACTTTCTTCGCGGTTCTTCCAAAGGAGCAGAACGCATGATCATTTGAGCTTGCAGAGACCCGGGGTAGACGGCTAGTGGACGGTTCGTCGTTCGAGCTTGCAGTTGTAGCCGAGCGCCCATTCCGAAATCCTTGAGACCAGTAAGTTCTACAGGCGTGATCAATGCCGGAGGGCGAGGTGAGGACGCGTCATTCAGGAACTGTCGACCCAGGGTGATAATATCCGACGAAAGCTTCACGAATTTCTTTCGTGCGTTTTCCGGCAAGTTGATAGCAGATTTCTCAAAGTCTCTCCAGAAGATTAAGGCTGTGTAATAAGCTTCTGGACTCAGAGACCTAACGATTTCGGGATTTAAGAACACGCGTTCCAATACCTGAGAGGGATGACCGAACAATCAGATTTGGGTCCGAGGAACTAGAATATGACCGCGTACTTTGTACAGACCAACATGAGTATTTAATACATTCATGAACTCACAAAGCATGTCGTATGCTTCGTTTGCCCTCTCCACCCATAACGGATCCGGGTGCGAGTTCCGCACGACCTCTGAAAGGTCGATAACACCACACAACAGGTCGCTCAGCTTGTCCAGGTTCTTGAGCGCAAGCAGGAGGTCTTGCTTAGTCCCCTTTACTTGCAAAATTCGCTCGGTAAGAATAGATGCGCGAATAAGTGCACCGTTAGCCAAATGCGTCAGCGAGTCGGGGTGTGTCAAGTCCTTGTGCGCAAACAGCCCTGAAGACGCGCTAGACTGGGAGACATGCCCATAGGGTCGATCAAAGAAAGGAATCAGGTCCGTCTCCTCCGACGTCGCTGGAATGGCAGTCGTCGCTGCTGGTCGCAAACGCAAAGCATTGTGGGGTGGTGCCCTAAGGTGGCCGCGAAATGTGAATAGTGCTTGGCGTGACCTCGAGAGTACCGACGTCGACGACTTGAAGCTTGCCAACATGAAGAGCCTGTCAGCATTTCGAGAGTGAGGGCCGCGCAGGGAAATTGTGGGGATCGACACCGTCACGTGCGCGCCCCATTCATCTGGACCACAAATCAGGTCTTGTTCTTTACGCGTTTATAATGTACAACTTGAGAAGCCTGCGAATGCCTGTTTTATTCATTGCTATGCAGCGTGATCGATACGATGCACACAGCCCTATCTGCTATTGCTCCAGACACTACGCCTTGAGTAAATTTACTCATGAGAAACCTCCATTACCATCCACGATTTAAATTTTCTGTATTTACGAATATAAGGAGTTATTGCAATCCTTGGAAGTAGAAGGGCTGAGCGACGAACAGATTCTCGCACAAATCGCCTGGTGACGAAGCTCTAAAGCTTAAGGCCTAAGTTCGCCTCGGCATATTCATCTGCCCGAATCTTTACATTTGAATTTTGTCTGGTTATGCGACTTACGTCATCACAGTCGCCTTACATAAGACAACCGTTGAACGCCGCGGAAGCAAATGTGCAAAATGAGAATATGTCAGGTACTTAGCGGTCAATAAACGAAATACCGATTTCGTTAAGTTCTGCCTTTCGTGCGTAAACCAATAAAAAACCTATCTGGAGGATACTGTAATCATACAACACAGCAATCAATACAGTACGGTTATCGGAGTCGACTGCATCACTAGCAAATATGACGTCAGCATTGCTGATCTGTATACAACGTCTGTATCCAGATCGACATGAATTGAGCGGTATATAATTGACATTTGGGCACTGGGCACGCTTAAAACAGTTTGGTACTGACATTACCTCGCCCTCCTCTATTTTCATAACCACCACAATGCCAAGCATCAACGATAGCAAGTGCGTCCTCGTCGTGGGAGCCACAGCAGGCATAGGACGTGCTTTGGCACTCGCCATTCACGCATTGCCAACGAAGCCTACGGTTATCGTTTCTGGTCGTTGTAAAGAACGGTTGGACGAGCTTGTTAAGCAAGGCGAAGGGTGTATTGAAGCTATCCAAGTCGACATATGTTAAGAAAGGGGAAGTGAGGTTATGTGAGAGGCTTAGAGGGATCACACAAAGAGGGGGGATAGTGGACTCAGCT